GGAAATTGTGTCTTCCTCAACCGAGGAAGGTGGGTATAAGCCCGATGAGGACAAGTCACCGGGTATATCCAACACCTGCTCCTCTGAGTACAAAGGTTCCATCTTAGGAACATGACTGCTTAGGCCTCGTGTCAGATAGACCCCAACATCTCGGGAACTTGCAGCTAGTGGGGCCTTCTTTGAGCTCCTTCCCATGTTGGTAGGAATAAAATATAATCCAAAAACCAAAGAAAGTTACCTGCGCTCTCTCCTTAATCCCTATGTATATTTAGACAAATGGAGGTTATTTAGTTACTCCAATGGCCATTGGAGGGAATGCCCGCCTGCCAACATCAAGGCAGACCCCCCTAAGCGGGTCCTACACTGACCCTTCACCTTGCTTCCTTGAGCTTCTGGCAAAGATATCTCCACTGAGACAGAGAGGGGTATTTTTTATATACACCCCTATATACTTATTAACCCTTAATAGGGAACACATGGGATGGGCGGCTGCATTGTAACAAAGCTGTGTGATACAAAAAAATGAATACAAATACAAAAAAGATAAGTCCTGTGCTCACTCCCATCACTCCTGGGCGGCAGCAATGACCACAGTACACATCAGCCCCAATATATAGTAAAACCAAAGAAAAAAGTTACCTGCGCTCTCTCCTTAATCCCTATGTACATTTAGACAAATGAGGTCATTTAGTTACTCCAATGGCCTTATAATAGATAAGGTGGTTTATATTAAAAAAATACAGGCTTTTGAAAAGGTTTAAGCCAGCACTCAGTCGTGGCATGTCTTGCCAGCTCCAGTGCTCGCTCCTCACCCCCTTTTGTTTTTATTTTGGGCATCAATAAAAATCTACAATAACAGCAGGATGTAAAATGCACAAAAATATATATACTGGTCCATTTTATTCTGACCAATCTATAGTTTAGCTACATTACCACTTTCACAACTATATTCTGATCCATTTTACAAGTATATTCTGTCTTGGAGTTTGACTGTGATTTTCACTATTCATAAATTTTTCATTATTCACAAAAATGTAATGTAACAGGCATATGTTGTTACTAATGTTGTAAAGCCACAGGCTTCTATTCCATTTGATTGTGCATGCATAAACTCTTAAAACATGTTTACACATTCATACATTATATGTATATTAACTGTGCAATTGAACTAGACCATTAAAAAGATGTAAAAATAAATGTAAAAAAACAAAAGCTGCCACTGCAACTGAAAATAGTGAATTCTAACAGGTGAAGTGAATGGATGCAGTTTGCATTTGCTACCGACTGGATCGGCTATTAAAGGAGCAATATAGGGTCAGGAACACAAACATGTATTCCTGACTCTATAGGGTTAAAACCACTATTTAGCCACCCTGAGCTCCTCATGCCTCCATAAATATAGAAATCTTACTTGTTTTCAAGTCTGGAGCTGCTGGCTCTGTCCCTGTTTCCTTTAGACCTGCCCACTGCCTGATGACATCAGCAGAAGCAGTAGCCTGATCCAATCACAATGCTTCCCCGTAGGATTAGCTGAGACTGCAAAAGGCAGATCAGGGGCAGAGCCAGCACAATTCAAACACAGCTGTGGCCAATCAGCATCTCCTCATAGAGATGGATTTAATCAATGCATCTCTATGAGGAAAGTTCAGAGTCTGCATGCAGAGGGAGGAGACACTGAATGTTTGGATGCCGTTTAGGCAGCCATGACCCAGGAAGGATCTCTAACAGCTATCTAAGGAGTGGCTAGTGAGGTTATCACTAGGCTGTAATGTAAACACTGCATTTTCTCTGAAAAGACAGTGTTTACAGCAAAAAAACTGAAGGTAATGATTCTACTCACCAGAACAAATTAAATAAGCTGTAGTTGTTCTGGTGACTATAGTGTCCCTTTAATTGACCTTATCACACCCTTATTCACTTTAAACAATACACAAACTGCAGGAGAGTCTCTTGCAAACTACCATGGGTCGGACGACCACGAAATCTAAGCAGGAGTATCCGCAACACAGATTACATATCAGAAATCATCTTTGTCAGGTGCAGAGTGCTGCTAGGCCCAAGATGGCTGAGTTTCAAGTAGAAGGTTCTGAAATCTAAGAGGAGCTTTCTTTTGGGCCTGAGGAGGCGGTTACTCCGAAATCGACTACTGTACTCACCTCACCAAGGCAGGCAGACTTGGCCCCATTAACGACGGCAGTCTTAAAAGTGAGTCTGGCAGACCTACAGAAAAAACATCCTAGCAGATGCATTACAACAGAATCAAACCCAGTTGTCGATTTGCAACAATTGAGAACATGCAAAGAAATGTAAATCTTAAAATCAGTGTGATTTCCAAAAGGATTCCAGTGGTATAATTTACTCATTTCCGAAGGCGTTTATTTGCATCTGTAACCACAACTAAGCAAGCAAAGCCACCCAACCACATGGGTTATTTCGGCTACCAAGCCTGATAAAGCACTTGTTGATTCTAGCAGAGACCTGGTGGTCCACTTTCAAAATGTCTGAGATAGGGCCACGGCTGTGGCAGCTCTTAGAGAGAAGTCTCTCTTCAATTTAGAGGAAAGTATGTATCTCAAATTTTTCAATCTTTCTACCTCCACTCTGGTGTGGCAACAATCCCTCCACACCTTTACAGCTCTCCTTCGAAAATCCGCTTTCGGTGGAGCACGTCCCGAATCTTGATGGTAACCCATGAGAATTCTATTATTCGAATTCGCAATATGCAGCAAGTGGTGACTGCATTAGGGCCTCTCGGAATGCCGCAGGACTCTCCCGAGCGGACAGAGAGGCCTTCCGAGAGCACAACACCGCTGGAATCCAGCTACTGTTACCCCTTTTGTCCCTCGGAGATTAACACCAAATCCATATGGTGCAGTTTCCATCTAATGATATTTCGATATCCAGCAAGATTTCCAATTAGAAAGATCAAATTCCTTACGGTTACAGTGTACCTTAAATAGTTTGTTAATGCTTTATTTTAGTGTATTTTGGTTATTATTTCTGAATTTGGTGCATAAGCCTATAGGCTGCTTTCTTCCCCCCAGCCCCTTGTTTTATGTATAGTGTTTTGAAAACTTAGAGCACAAACAGAGGTGTGTACACCCAATAAGGATTGCTGTTTTTTTAGTTGTTAGCTAAGTTTACTATCTTGCAGTAATTTATAAAGATAGCCTGGGACATGTATTCATTTTATTGGTAAAACAATAATTATAAAACCCTCAATTCACTATATAGCAATTTCATGCATGCATAGTAATACCGCTAACAAATGACAATACCTAGTTAGTCCTAACTGATGTGAAATGTCTGTGAATTGAGTATTACGAATTAAAAAAAACAAAAAAAAACTGTGGATGTAGTGGAGATTCATTATCTGAATGTAAAGGAAAATCGCTGTGTTATGGAAGCACAGTGGAACAAAGAATCACTGTATTCTAGAAGCTGGGACTTCTAGCATTCCATAATACATTATAAAATGCAGTATTTTCATACTTCCCAACTGTTCTACCCTACACAGAGGTTCTGATTTTGAACTGGAGTCTTTTTTTTCCAGTTTATTTTGCTGTGATTCTGGTTTAAAATTTAAGGTCATATACCACAGAAACATAGAATGTTACGGCAGATAAGAACCATTCGGCCCATCTAGTCTGCCCAATTTTCTAAATACTTTTAATTAGTCCGTGGCCTTGTTTTAAGTCTAGGATAGCCTTATGCCTTTCCCACGCATGCTTAAACTCCTTCACTGTGTTAACCTCTACCACTTCAGCTGGAAGGCTATTCCATGCATCCACTACCCTCTCAGTAAAGTAATACTTCCTGATATTATTTTTAAACCTTTACCCCTCTAATTTAAGACTATGTCCTCTTGTTGTGGTAGTGTTTCTTCTTTTAAATATGGTCTCCTCATTTACTGTGTTGATTCCCTTTATGTATTTAAATGTTTCTATCATATCCTCCCTGTCTCGTCTTTCCTCCAAGCCCACCACTTGGCTTTAAATGTTACGCGGCACTGTAAGTCATAGCATTACCCACCAAGAGTAAATTTCTGCTTAAATTCCCCTAAATTTTCAATCGCCAGCGGCTAATGTTAAATGGACATTTTGAGCATGGATTATGTGACTGTACGTGCTATCCTGCCTCAGCAACAATGCCTCCTTCGCTCTCCGCCATGGGAATCCCTAACGCAATGGCACACAAGGCCGCCGGCGGACCTTGCAGATACGTGCGCCAGGCTCGTCCTACGGGTACGTTTTCCCGGTGCATTTCGCCAGTGACTGAACCCGTTACCCAACGCCCCTCACTCCAAGTTCGTACTTCGCAATTTTAGAAGATTCGACGTTCGAATACGGACGATCCAATACGCCCATTTTCGCCTGCGGGGGGAAATACATACCTAATTAAATAATATTTTATTAACAAAAAATTATAATAACAAAAACAAACTAATAAAAAAAAAAAAAATTATATAACGATATCCGAGTTTAATCGATTACATTTTAATTTATTTAAATTAGACCTCATCCCTGCCCGGCCCCATTAAATCCTGTTACTGACGGACTAGCTGCACCCAGGCTGCCTCTCTACATGTTTATCCTGCAGCCTCCATGCTTCATCTGACCCCTCCCTTCCACATTGCAGCCATAGGCCTCTAACTGCACTGCAAGCAACCCTGCTAGTGACAACCTAACTGGGCCACGCCCCTCCCGGCTGTGTCACCGCCCACCATGCCTTCTCTTTGCATAAAGATTGGATGACCACGCCCCCATTTTTTTTTCACAGTCATAACCTCCTCACCGCCACATATTAAGCCCCGCCCACCATGCCTTTCTCAGAAATACAGCGAGCCTGCTGCTGACAACCTAACCCTGGCTGTCACGTTCGCTAAGCCCCGCCCCCTCCTCACCATTCCAAGCTAAGCCAGTGCGGCGCAACCGAACCTTAAGCCCCGCCCACTTCAAATGACAGACAGCTTGTCAGCGCCTCAGCCGGCTCCTCCTATTGGCTGCCGCCCGCTGGCTGCGTGCGCTTCACGTTAGGCTGCGCCTCCCCCTTTCCTTTTCTCTTGCTTGGCTGAGGGGTCGGAGCCGCCGCCGGTCCCCCCCCCCCGTCACCCGCCCGGGCGAGCCACGGCAAGATGGCGGCGGTGAGCGGGGTGTCGGTCGTGGCCCGGCTGGAGGGCCGCGAGTTTGAGTACCTGATGAAGAAGCGCTCGGTGACGGTAGGCCGGAACTCGTCCCAGGGCTCGGTGGACGTGAGCATGGGCCACTCCAGCTTCATCTCCCGCCGGCACCTGGAGATCTTCACGGCCGAGGAGGGCGGCGGCGAGTTCTACCTGCGCTGCCTGGGCAAGAACGGGGTGTTCGTGGACGGCGTGTTCCAGAGGAGAGGGGCCCCACCGCTGCAGCTCCCCCGAGTGTGAGTCACAGAGCCCCCCATAACGGGCTGGCCCAGAGCCCCCCATAACGGGCCGTGCAGGGACCGATGGGGGGGCGGGGGGCGGACACACCGACATGGAAACTGGGGGGGGCACAACGACATGGAAACTGCAGGGGGGAGACCACCACTACACACAAGGGGGGGAGGGGAGAGGGATTGCAAGAGAGGGGGCCCCCCCATGCTGAGTGCAAGAGGGGAGGTGGTATAATAAGAGAAGGGGGGGGGCTCTCATGCAGAGGGGAGGTGGTATAATAAGAGAAGGGGGGCTCTCATGCAGAGGGGAGGTGGTATAATAAGAGAAGGGGGGCTCTCATGCAGAGGTACAAAGTGGAGGTGGCATAATAAGAGAAAGGGGGTCTTTGTACAGAGGGGAGGTGGCATAATAAGAGAAGGGAGGCCTTTGTATAGAGTGTAGGTGGCATAATAAGAGAAGGGAGGCCTTTGTACAGAGGGGAGGTGGCATAATAAGAGAAGGGGGGCCTTTTTCAGAAGGGAGGTGGCATAATAAGAGAAGGGAGCTCTCATGCTGAGGGAGGTGGTATAATAAGAAGGGGGGCTCTCATGCAGAGGAGGTGGTATAATAAGAGAAGGGGGGGCTCTCATGCAGAGGTGGTATAATATAAGAAAGGGGCTCTCATGCAGAGGGAGGTAATTATAATAAGAAGGGGCTCTCATGCAGGGGGAGGTGGCATAATATAAGAAGGGGGCTCTCATGGGGGAGGTGGTATAATAGAAGGGGGCAGCACTGTATAGAGGGAGTGGCACAATAAGAGAAAGGGGCCTTTTCAGAAGGGAGGTGGCATAATAATAAGAGAGGCTCTCATGCAGAGGGAGGTGGCATAATATCTGAGAAGGGGCTCTCATGCAGAGGGAGAGTGGCATAATAGAGAAGTGCTCTCATACAGAGGGAGGTGGTATAATAAAGAAGGGGCCTTACTCTGTACAAGTGGAGGTGGCATAATAAGAGAAGGGGTCTTTGGCTGGGGGAGGTGGCACTTAATAGAGAAGGGAGGTGGCATAATAAGAGAGGGGAGGTGGCATAATAAGAGAAGGGGGGCTCTCATGCAGAGGGGAGGTGGCATAATAAGAGAAGGGGGCCCTTTGTACAGAGGGAAGGTGGCATAATAAGAGAAGGGGGGCCTTTGTACAGAGGAGAGGTGGCATAATAAGAGAAGGGGGGCCTTTTTCAGAAGGGAGGTGGCATAATAAGAGAAGGGGGGGAGCCCTCATGCAGAGGGATGGTATTGCTTATAGGAGACGTATTGGTAGAAACATTAGTGCAGTGGGAATAAGAGAGGGCGCATTTATGCTCATAGGTGATAGGAAACAAAAGGATTTTATCATCTATCCATCATCTTTGTAAAGGGACATTAGAAGTGCCCTCCCTTATGGTGCATCACTCCAGTATGTCAGATGCACCAAAGGGGGTGCTGAATGGGGCCTGATCATTGGGCAAAGGGTAATGCAGGGTTCCATTGAACAGGGCTGTATCTGGAACTGATAGGGTTATTAATATTGGAGGGTAAATGTACTTGCTGATTGGAGTAATGGGAGAGGAGTGCCATTTATGTTATCTGTCTTTCTGCCAAATTCAGTCCTTCAGGCTTTGAACACTGAAGGAAGTTAGTTATCTGTTTGTTTTTGTTTTTTCCTGCCCACATTGTGTTTTGTCTCTTTTCTCAGAGTTGGTGATGAAAATGTTTGGGTTTACATTGGTTTCTGTGTACTTTATAGGAATTATTTTTCAGGTATGTGCAAGCCCAGCAACAATACTGAGGCCAAAATGCCAGCGAGATGTCACAAGCCACCAAAACAATTTTTTTTTTTTTGGCTTGGATTAAATCCTGGCATGCTTTCATTCATTCACTAACTGCATCACATGGTTGAGATAGTAGGATAATAGGCAGTGCAATGTTTACAGTTTGAACTCCCAAGATGCACTTGGCTTCTGACTTGTGTGATAGCTATGTTCATGTGCTTATCCATTACATTGTGTTTCCTGTTTAATCAAACTTCATTTTTGTGTTTGGTTCTTCGTCCATGTGTTTAAAATTTTGATTAGCTGCTTAATAATGAAGTGCTGGCTCCTTTAGGAAGGTTGCAAGTGATACTGCCTTGTCATTGTGTAGTCACTCATAGTGTGTACTTGTGTTGCGTATCTTACGAACACATCTATTGGCTCTCACTTGCTGCAAGATAGTATTCCTGCTGCCATTAGCATTATTGTACATGATTTTACAAATGCCTTTTTACTTAGGAAACCTGTTAAATCTTGAGTACTTGTAGTTTGCTCTCTCTGAGTACATATTGAAGGGATATTTTGCTCGCCTGCGGAGTGGTTGCAGTGTTTAACTTTTTTAGAATGCTACAAATGTGTTTCTTACCCTTGTGATACTCCTAAATTGTCTTGGCAGAGAATAACTGTATATCATATATTGTCATCTAAAGATTGTACAGGAAAGTAAATATGATACTCTGTTGCTATTGCATGCTTGCGTTATGCAAACCAATGTTCATACATCTTGATCTGTTATAGCTTGCAGTCTGAGCACATGGAAAGAGTAGACTTTGTTGAAAATAATAGAAAAGTGGGGCAAGGTTCTAAAAGTGGAGCAGTCTCCGTGGAAACTAGTGGAATGTTCCTGTTGACCCCTTTTGAATTCCAATGTGATTGCTCCATGTTTAGAGCATTAACTAATTGCAACTTTTTTTTTTTTTTCTTTAACTGAATCCATTGTTATTGTAACATCCAAATTCATTGTTATATCTCCCTTGTGCTTTGCTTGGTTATATTTACGGGAGCAATCTGGTTTTATACACGTAATCACAGTGAGTATTTTGCATACTTAATGTCCTTGAATGAACAAATGTTGCTTTTATTTACATATTCGTTGATTGGCATGACCTTGTTTGTCATTTTCTTCTGATTCAAACATTGTTTTTCATTTTATAGTATTCACTGAAAACAAGGTATTTTATATCATTGCCTGTTGCATGTGAGAGACTATATACTTCTTATAGATATGCCTGATGGATTAAACTCTACATAGGTCATTACATGCTACTTAAGGAGGGCTTTAAAAGCCCAAAATTTTAAGTGAGAAATACTTAGAAACTATTATAGATGACACACTAAGCAAAACACTGGTTAATGTCAGTAAGGTACAGTCATGTATAGAAATGTTTATAAAAACATTTTTAAAACACCATAATCACTTCAGCTTCTTTTAATGCCAGGTGTGCTCTGGCACCATCCTTTGGTAGGTTGTCAAATTGGCTTAGTGTGGTTTGACTGCACACTTTGCTTTCATGAAGCGCCTACGCTACATCTGTTCTTCTCTAGCAGGACACCCCGGTAAGTTGTCAGACCATGCTAAAACTATTTGACATTTTATAGGGCACTTCGGGCACCATAACCACTGCAGCGTGTTGGAGTGTTCCTTTTATTCACATGATAAATATATTTTGTCTTTTTATGAACAGATGGAAGGACTTCAGTTTCAGTGTGCTTTGCATCTTGCGCATTGTGTTTATAGAAAGCTATAGCAGAACTTTTAAAAGTTGGTACAAAGTTAGAAGAATGGAAGGCTAGAATGTAAATTTTTTATTTTTTTGTTTGCTTTAGAAAGACATGAGTGGATAAGACTGCACTATACAAATAAATACTGGGCCTCTGTTCCTCCCCCTGTAATCTGTTAATTAACAGGACTCTACTTACATACTTCTATGTGATACATTCTCTCTCCTTCCTCACATATTTTGTACAGTGCACAAGAAAGATTGGTTGTCTGTGCATTTTTTATGAAGATGTTTGAGCTGCAGTCTTGGTTAGTTAGCAATCTGTCCTTTTCCTTTTGTAAAACAAATACGTTTAACTGCCCGTACCTTTTTTTTAAGAACACGTGATTCAAGCATGTTTCTGAGTGTCGACCTTTGATTCTGACAGCAGTATCTCCTGTTTGTCCCTCCCATTCCCAACAATAATTTTCCTCTGGTTGATTATGCCGATTTGGCTGTGATTTCAGACTGCCCCCACTCACCTTAATGCAGTTGTGGCCTTCCACCTGCATCCTAAAGAGCTTGGGAGTGTGTGCAATACTGGCAGCCTAAAGCTTCACCTATCAGTTTAACGTTAAACATGACTCATTACACAAATTGCTCATTAAAGTTTTACTTTCTGTGGTTTATTTAGCAAGATTTCTGCAGAGCCTTAGATTGTTCTATTTAACGATTTTTATATCCTAAATTGAGCAGCCATACACTGTGCACGTTTTACTAGGTTTGCTAATATTTTGCTTGAAGACACTCGAACACAAGGCTTTTGTGAGTTTTGGTCTTGCTTAGATCATAGATCTTAAAGGGACACTATAGGCACAAAAACAACCTTAGTTGAATAAAGCGGTTTTGGTGTGTAGATCATGCCCCTGCTGTCTAACTGCTCAAGTCTAGTTAAATCACTTTGTTTACACTGCCTTAGTTACACCTCCCTTCATGTAATGTACACAACCTTCCTAAACACTTTCTGTAAAAAGATCTATTGTTGCTACTTTCTTTTTTGTACATTCTGTTTAAATTAGAATTTATCTCCTGCTGTATTGGTAGCCTGCTAGAGCCTTAATTTGCGTCCTGTATGTGATTAAAGCACAATTTGCACTGCAGAAGACATAGACTACTAAAAGTTGATACTTAAAAATAAAACCATTATTTTCATGCAGGCTGTTTTAGTCACAGCCAGGGGAGGTGTGGGTAGGCCTGCATAAACACTATAGTGTTAGTGATACATGCTTGTGTTCCTTTAAGCTAAGGTTGTCTTGATGCCTATATACCTTTTAAATATATAATTCAAAATAGGGTTTCTAAACTTTAATGTTTGGTAGTTGTTCCCTACAAGGAATTAAGTGGTTTTATCAATATTACACAGGTCTGAGCTGAAATATATTTGTTACAACATATACCCACATCTTTTGTGTGTGTGTGTGTGAAGCAGGTTGTTTAGGAAGTTGATAAGATGTTGCATGAATAAAAAAAATCTCCAATTGGCTCCTTTTGTATCTAGCACTTGGTCTGCAAACATCACATGGCAATACAGATAAATGCAGAACCACCGGATGTCATTGTGGTGCAGTGTTGTGCATTGCTCCCCTGTGTTTCACTGCCTGAATCCTATCACAAGGCCTCAAAGGAACACTGAGAAGCCATTGCACAAGGTCAATGCACACACGGCTTTAGCTTGAAATAGTCTGTGAATTGGTCATTCACACTGCTGGGCCTGCGAAATCCCGCTATCCCAATCAACTCTACTGCCCTTGAGTTCCCCTTGTCCGTTTTTGGTACCCCTATCCACAAAACTGCACCTCCCACCTTACTGACTGCAAATTCCAATGAAAATATGCACTTGCATATAATCAGCACAGCATCGAACATGGCATATAGTGTTATCCCATTTCCTATATGCAACAAACCCCAGTGTGGACAATATCTGTATAACCCCATGCTAGAACAAAATGACATTTCTTCTGAATATTCTGGAAGTTTCTCCTGCTGTCACAGGATTTTCCTGAAATGATTGTGTACATCTATCAGCCTACGCCGGCATGTACATTTGTTTACCCCAGGACTGCCTGGCAATGCTAAAACGATACACTTGCAGAATGAAAGCAAGATTTGTTTCATATTTAATATGCTTTTTTTTTTTTTTTTTTTCCTCTAAGCATTTTCTGTGTGTGCATAGCAGCACTGTAGTGTCAGAGAGCAAAATATAGAAATAAGCAGAGAACAGCTTGCTTCCTGAGACCTGCATGTAAAATGCATGGTTTAATAAAGACAATAGGGGATATTTGTCTTAAGATCTGAAATGTACAGCAAGTTTTGAAAGTGAAGACATAAACAATGGAAAATGCATATTATTGTTTTGTGCCAGATTTCTGAACATTCGACTTTGACGAACCTCCCCATGAGTTTATATTTTAGCCCCAGGTCTCAGTGGAGAGTAAAATGTTGACAATTTCTTTTTTGTATTTGATCACTGTTTTGTAAGCAAGTTTTGTTTTTGTTTTGTTTTTTAGTTGGAGAATATTCATGAAAAGGGGTGTGTGTTTGTGTGTATGTAAACACGCACTATTTGCATGCTACAAACTGACCTTTGTATTTACCAAAGTGTTTGTATAAGACCAACATCTTACCATAGATGGTATTTATGTGACAATAACAATCAAACTGAAGTACTATAAGTGCAAACTATTTCTACTAAGGCTTTACAACTAGGCTGTCTGTAAACCACCTGTTAAGGCGGCAAACCTTTAATTTTGTGCTGCATTACACAAACTGTTGTTGTTTGCTAGGACTGTGTTTTGGACCTTCTCTGGAAGCAAAAACCTTGAACAGCAACATGTGAACAGTCCCCTCTGTGAGTGCAGCCAGGGGTGTGATGTGTCAGCAGGGAGTGAATGCAGCCGTGGCAACCATATATAAACAATGCAGAAAGGCAGCCTTATCCAATGTTGCCATGTACGGGATGTTTACACTCTCCTCCCCTCCCACCCTCTGTGGGCACAGCTTGTTTGTGACTGGAGCTCAGATCCCTCCCTCCTACCTCCAAGCTAATTTCAGCTTTGTTTACACCAGGCACTGCTACAAATAAACAGCTGTCCGTGTTTTCCATATACAGAACAATAGGGATTTGCAGAGCAATGTTTATATCCAATGCATATCAAAGAATGTTCTGTATAGAGAGGATTAAAGGAGAACTCCATTTTATTTAACGTTTTAGTACTGTGCACATGAACTAGCACTTTCCCCTTTTCATTGTAAAAAGATCAACATGACTTTGTAAAGCGTTTCCCTTGATAAAATGTGTAGTTGTTTGTTTTTGTTTTTCTGTTATATTATTTTTTTTATTGTTTACATTGCCAACCTATTTAACTGCTGAAATATACAAACACGTTGTTCTAAATATTAGCAAGCTCTAAATAAGAATTCTGTGACACTAAACAGCCCTCTAAAAGTTATTTTACACAAGAATTTCAGGTCTGGTAGGTTGTTGGCAAACAAAAGTGCCTCTCCTGCTAACTTGGAGGATATGGTGAAATGGCTGAGTGGGCGGAAGAATGTGAATGTTGGGAATTCAGTATGTGGGCCTCATTATTTTTAACACACTCTTGGTGATACCTTAATTTTAATGGGGTCACTCGTTGCATATGGCAGAAGGTGCCCCTGAGGAATGATCCCAACTTCTACACCGTTATTAGACTCTTCTAAATTGGGCCTGTTCTTTTTCAAACATTGTTTTGGCATATCTTGAGCTATTCCCAATCAATATGAGAATAACTTCTACACTAGAATGAATTTGTCAACTTGTAGTATTGTTTGAACTGCTAAGTGCTCTCGCTGTGAAACATGTATTTTGGCTAAGCAGCAGCAACATTGTAAGAGATTGAATGGTATAGCTCTGAGTCTTATTTCCCCCCATATTACTGTTTGTGTGCTAATTGGAAACTTTTTTTTTTTTTTTCTCCTCCAGTCTGTTGGCTCTCACTGTGTGTAAACATTAAGAGGAAATGTCTCCTACAAACTTGAGTGAATGAACAGCTCATAGCAGGAAGTTACGTTATACTCAAACACGTGTTTGTATATGTGGCTCAGCAGACTGCATGGTCTATTCACTAAATGGCTAATTGTAGCCAAACTATGACTAACACCTTTTTGTTTGATTTATTTTTCCTCCCAACTTTTAGTTCACTCCAAAATGGTGTTCCCTTAGTTTCAGGCATTCTAAGCATGTACAGTTGTTGTTAGGAAATGTGGTCGCATGTTGGGAACCTTACATTTTTGCTTTTCATTTATTTTTGAATTCTAAATATGTCAGATGTTTCAGATTTTGAATTACTTCTAAGTCCAGCTAAGTTTTTGAATCTTTTTAGGGTTTATAACTAAATAGTGGGTTGTCTGAAACTTGATGAGTGAATGTATAATTTTTAGCCACTGTAGCTTAGTTAAAAACCTAGCGTAGTTGAGCAATTTTTCCAGTTGGAGTGTTTTGCCTCAAATTTTATTTGGTAAATTTCTGCCAAATAATGGTTTTATGAAAAACTACTAGAAAGCACTGTAGTGTCTATGATCTGTAGACTATACCTTGTAATGTGTCAAATTTTTGTAAACAAACCTTTTTTTTTTTTTTTTGGAAAACATTTAGTTCAGACAATTACTTTTTAACTTCTTATATACCATGACGATGCTTTTCCCTACAAGTGTGCTGTGTAATTGTCATTGGAGAAATTTCCAACCGTTTTAGGTGTGTCTGTGATTTATATATATATAAAAAACACATTCCCATGATTCTTTGGTTAGTTTACTCACATGGAATCATGGGATATTTGAAACGGACGCATGTCAGATCAGTCTTGCATTCAATACAAATTTGAATACAATAGCTTTATTTAAAAGCACTAAGTAGCTCATTTTTATTAGATCATTAACATGTCCATTTCAAAAATCTGTTTCTCTTACTGAAAAGCATATTCCCAGTACATTCTATCTGTATGTGATTGTACATTTAAATACATTTGCACCTTGGCTTGTATACAGTGAAGCAGTGATTTCTCGGTTTTAATCAATGGGCCTCACTCACAGAATTATTTTGCAAGCCCGGATCTCTCTTTCCGCCCTGGCCGATAGGTACCCTAATATGCTGCAGGAGTTACACCTCTGGGAGAAGAAGGGTTAATCAATGTATGTGCAGCGTTTCACAGCAGATTCCAGCCACCACGACCACTTGAGATGACTTAAGTGGTCATGGTGCTTGGAGTAACAATTTTAACAAATATATATATAAAAGCTTGAAGAAAACCAAAAAAAAAATCCCGTCTAGTTGTCTCACAGGCACCCTTATCAATGTCTTGTGAGTTACACTAGCTTCAAGCTGTGTGATTAACCCTCCTTGCAGAGTATATTTTATACCACCATGGTGGCTTCCTTGCCAGCACATGTTCTTGTGAATGTAGTGTTGTCCTTCACTTGGTTCTTTTGGCAAAAAGCAAGTGAAACAATGTAATTGTTGTGACTGTGCCTAAAGGTATTGAGTTTCTCCTGCCTGACAATCCTTTTTCTGCATACAGGGTTAGAATGAGAATTGATTGACAGGTGGGGAGGTAACGCCTAGATTTACTTAGCCTTTCCTTTTATGTATTTGCTAGTAGCAGAATGTCACACAGTGCCCTGCGTTGTAGCCGAGGGCAAGTTGGGTATATTTTATTGGGACTCTGAGGCTTAGAGACCTGTTAAAATCTACCTGACATGCCATCAACTACAATCCAAGGGCATTGTATAACATTTTAGTCTAACCATTGCAGCTCATTGTATGGAACAAGGCTCTCCTGACACCCATGGCTGGGCTCCTCTGCTGCCTTATAAATAATGTATTACTTTCGCTTTCAAATTATCCGTGCAAAAACTTACACATTTGGATGTCTGTGAGTGCTGGGTGCTGGAATTACTATAAGCAATATGGAGCACAGTCACATCCAATGTTTTCTCCAGATGCTAACAATTCAGATTGTATGTTTTTGTTTTAGTAGTGCTCTGTATATGTTTGATTATATCACTCACTTTCCATCTGCTGCTACGGGACATGCTGGGAGGAATTCATAGATTGTATCCTGCTGACGTTAGCCTGCATATCCTATTTCTTAGGTGTAGCAGATCAGGCATGGTTTTCAAGGCTGTGCTTTGCAATGTCGCTAAAATCTGCAGGCAATCTAGTGACCACATCACTCTGTATTGTGAGTGTGGTTTTATGAACTGTACCCTAACTTACGGTGGGAAATAACAAGCACTACTTTTGCAGTCTGTGGCCTGTCTACCACAGTCTTCTTTTAGGTCGGACTTTGTTTAATGTTTGAAACGGTCTTTGTCCACCAGCTCATCCAGTAACTGTAAAAGAAAGTGTGAGTGTTTTTCATTAATGAAAGCACCTGATGTGTATTTTGACTTGTTTACAGAGAGCAAAATCTTAACTTTTGTCAGTGATTTGCTTCTCTGGCCAGTGCCCAGGGCAGACACAGCACAAACTTCAAATGTTTCCAATGTTAGATATAACATGCATAGTGTAGTCTTGTAGCAAGTTAGGGTTGGAGTTCTGTGGTCAATTGAACCCATATTTCCACGGACACTCAGTGCTGCAGTGTGAAATATTAATCTCTAGCTGCTAGTGCGTAGGCTTTGTGTTATTGAAGAAGTGCATTTGAAAACTACCCTAGGTGGGTTTTATAACCTAATAACCTAGAGCAAATCTACACCAATAGTGTCAGGAAATCATCATCTGTTCTACTTGCAAGTAATGTCTTTCTGGCCTTCAGACATTTTCATAACACTTTTTATTTTATTTTTATTTTATTTATTTTGTTCACATAGCACAAATGCCCAGCAGTTCTGGATAAATGTCTATGCCGGACTTGCATACCGTCTCCTGCCTAAATCTGCCCAGATCTCTGGCTCTGTAAAGCTATTACAATATTCCAGGGCTCATACCCTGTCCTGTATAGTGTGTGTGTGTGTATGACGCCATGTTGGCGTAATTGCTATGGTGGTATAATGTTAATGTTTATCGTTAGGGCAGTGAAAATGGAACCTGGAAAAATAAACTTGCCCTTATCACACCTAAATGATATATTTGGTGTAAAATATTGAGATATGCTCAACTCGCCTCTGTTCCAGCACCACCATCTTCTGAGCATCGTGGTTTACTCTTCATGTAACACCCACCACCAGTATGTCCTCGGCCCCTGATACTGGTTTCTGTAATTTGGTCCTCAGTGATGACATGCTGGCTTTTTTTGCCAGCATCTGAACTAAGTGATGTAATTCACGGTGTTCCTTTATTCCCTTGCCACCTCTGGCAGCATCGGCTTAAGAGTTTTTAGCAGAGCAAACATCTTCATTGACGCCATCGTGCTGGCTTCATTGCCAGCCTGCCGGCATCTGGAGTGATGTCGATTGCTCTGCTTCAATACTTGATAGCCTGTGGGACCTACATCGACTAAGGAGTTTACATAGCAACCACAGTGCATGTGCTGTGGTTGGCTTGCTTGGGTCAGCAGGAAGACATTTTATCCCTTTGTCAAATTGTTGTAATTTTGGTTATTTTGTAATAGGTTTTTCTCCCAATCTATACACTTGCTAGCAAATCTGTTAGCACAAGGTATAGAAGGGCAGAATAGATGCCCTTTAAGGGGAGGACTTTAGTGTAATTTCAACATACATGTGGAAGTTAGTCCATTCAAGGCCAAATGAACAGAGTTGAAATTGTAGGTAGCTTTGAGATTTGTTTCCAGTTAAAGGGACACTATAGTCACCTGAACAACTTTAGCTTAATGAAGCAGTTTTGGTGTATAGAACATGCCCCTGCAGCCTCACTGCTCAATCCTCTGCCATTTAGGAGTTAAATCCCTTTTGTTTATGAACCCTAGTCACACCTCCCTGCATGTGACTTGCACAGCCTTCCATAAACACTTCCTGTAAAGAGTGCCCTATTTAGGCTTTCTTTATTTCAAGTTCTGTTTAATTAAGATTTTCTTATCCCCTGCTATGTTAATAGCTTGCTACAATCTGCAAGAGCCTCCTGTATGGGATTAAAGTCCAATTTAGAGATTGAGATACAATTATTTAAGGTAAATTACATCTGTCTGAAAGTGAAACCATTTTTTTTTTTTTTTTTTCCAATGCAGGCTCTGTCAATCATAGCCAGGGGAGGTGTGGCTAGGGCTGCCTAAACAGAAACAAAGTGATTTAACTCCTAAATGACAGTGAATTGAGCAGTGAAATTGCAGGGGGATGATCTACACACTAAAACTGCTTTATTTAGCTAAAGTAATTTAGGTGACTATAGTGTTCCTTTTAAACTCCTCAGCTAGAGTTGCCATGTGCTATTCAGTCTTTTCCCAATGGTGTTCTGCTCTTCTGTATCCTCATCTCATCTGCCATCTTTTACTTATTAAAACTAGATCTCTAAAGTAAAAGATTCCGACGCTGGGAGATCTAGAAGCAGATTGGATAAAGTTTCTTTTTATTGATTGAGCCACTTTAAGCAACTAAATGTTTTTAACTTGAGGTTTTTTATTTTATGTTCAGAATGCATGGTTTGTCAACTATATTTTTAATAAGTTGTATTATGTTTCATCCATCTGAAGTATTTCCTTCTGTTGGCTTTCTAACGGTACATGTGGTGGGAAACTGTACGGAAGGAATGTGATCAGTAAGTGGATAGTCTCCTCCTGAGCATTGTGCTTTTAGGAGAAAGTGTGTTTGTTGGTGAGAATTGGGGTGGGGAGGGTTAGTCAGGAAACTGTACAGAACCTGAGAGCCTGCTTTTCCTCATTCACGATTACCGCAGCTTTCAGAAGTAAAGAATGTAAACAAGTGATACATACATTTGTGGAAAGCAGACACACATTGCTTTCAGAGAACAAAATCTATCTAGCTATGTATCAATTTTCCCTTCTTATTGTTGAGTGGATACACAGCCCTGGCAAGTAAATATTGCCTTTTCCTAGCCATTTAGACCTGCTGTGAGGAAGCAGATTTATTCAGCTTGAAAGAACCTAGACAGCTGGTTTTAAGCTCCAGGCGTTAAGCCCTCTTCCTCTCTAACTAACCAGCAGTTGGTTTGACAGTCATGTTTCCCGTACTAAAGCTGCAGCTCCAAACTCTTCTAGCCCAAGCCCTCCGCTGAAACACACACACACACACACACACACACATCACAGGGAAGCTAGGGTCGTTGGATACGCCATGTTTCCCTGGGTAGACATCACTTGCACATATTGATGGGCAGCATTTTGAAAGTGCTGCCTTGCAGTATGTAAGATTAAAATACTGCTGGTCGGAAATAATCATTGGTCCACAATGAATCCGACAATTTGAATTCCTACTAATATAGGGTATCCCTTTTTAATGTGCTGCCCATGAACATTATGTGATACATTCTAGGAAAATTGTGGTTATGTAAAGATCAAACAACAAGCAGGGCCATGTTCTCTAGGCTCCTACATTCCAGGCTGACTTGCAGGTGTGACTGTTAATAACATCAGTTACCATCAGAGTAAAACATTTTCATCTCCTGACATCACTGTGAGTAACCTTAAATCATATACATGCCCAATTCTTATCTCCAGTTTGCACTTTCCATTGGCCTGACCTCTTAATGTCTGCTTGTTGATGGCACACGCTAACAACTCTAGCTTGCTGAAGCAGTTTTGGTGTATAGACCATGCCCCATGCAGTCTCACAGATTAATTCTTTGCCATTTAAGTGTTAAATTACCAAGCAACGTGTAATTTTCAATCCGATCGTACAGCACGTTCCATAGTAAACACACTGTGCAATAAAGGTAGCTAAAATGTAGACTTATTTTTCAAGAAGTGTGTAGGGAGGCTGTATGAATCATAACCAGGGTAGGCGTGGCTGCATAAATAAAGGGATTTTTTATTTTTGTATTTTTTTTAAATTTTTTTTGTGTCTTCTAAATGGCAGACAATAGAGCATTGAGACTGCACAGTATTATCTACACACCAAAACTGCTTCATTAAGTTAAACTTGTTTTGATGCTTAGAGTGGCCTGCCTTTATAGTGAATACAGTTTGTTTAGTCTGTTCCTTGTGCTTGAAATTGAGATGTTTTGTGGAATATAACGGTTTAAAATATTTTGGAAGGATTTTGAGAGAAGTGTTAACTTAATCCTTTTTAGTCCACTTAAGTATTTCTGGACAATTATCTGTTTAGCCCAAACATCCGCAGAGTGTTACAATATTGTAAAGGGGAAATTAAAACTGTAGATAACTGAAATGCAAAATTACGTTGATATAAAAATTCCCTACTCAAGGTTAGAATCTAGGAAAATAAATTCTAAGTTTTGTACATGTAAATGTTTTTAATAGTAAGCAACCTATGCACATAAATGTGGCTGTGTCATTGCCATTTGCTGGCTAGGCTACTGGTGTTTTAAAATTCATTTAAAGGAACACTATAGTCACCTAAATTACTTTAGCAAAAATAAAGCAGTTTTAGTATATAATTTACCTTAAATAATAGTATCTCAATCTCTAAATTGAACTTTAATCACATACAGGAGGCTCTTGCAGGTGCTAGCAAGCTATTAACATAGCAGGGGATAAGAAAATATTAAACAGAACTTGCGACAAAGAGCCTAAATAGGGCTCTCTTTACAGGAAGTGTTTATGGAAGGCTGTGCAAGTCACATGTAGGGAGGTGTGACTAGGGTTCATAAACAAAGGGATTTAACTCCTAAATGGCAGAGGATTGAGCAGTGAGGCTGCAGGGGCATGTTCTATACACCAAAACTGCTTCATTAAGCTAAAGTTGTTCAGGTGACTATAGTGTCCCTTTAATTCACTATTTTCCAAGGTGTACACCACAGCTTCTCCTAGACGTGTCTTCAAGAGTCTGATTTTATTTGAATTCCAAAGGTGTGTTTACCCAGAAGATGGGCATCTCTCTCACTTATTGGTAAACTTGAACTGTCGGTCTGTATTTTGGCAGGCCGTAGTTTGTTTGATTTACATCTGCAACCGTAGAGGTGCTGTAACGAGGTTGGTTAACATGAAAAGGAACTCAGAAGAGATTTATCTTGTTTGACCTGCAATTCAGTTTCTAAGAATATTCTTGGAAAGCCCAGAGTAGATTGTGTGTGTGTGTGCTCTGTGGGCTGAAAATACTGCAACATTTCTTACTGGTAAAGGCCACGATCGTCTCTTCCTGCTGTGGGTTTTCGGCTTGTAATGAGGGGTGTCTGTATTGTTACACTTTTTTATTTTTTATTTTATTTACATTTGTCGTCTTTTGTGCAGCTTTTTTTTTGGTTACAGATGAGGCAAGACTCAGAAGGCTGTGCACACATAGTTTGTAGCACAAACCAAAAATAGGCCATGTTTACAAGAAGTGGGTGTAGGGACATTTGTGTGGAGGCAAGCAATAGGAAAGAATTGTGTTCTATGGAAAGGCAGTAAATGCAATAAATCCTTTTAGAAGGCAGAAAGTGCAACATTTTTATTTACATCCATCTGTGACTGTTGGTGGCAAAACATATTGCTCTTAACCCCTATTTTGTTTAAAAAAAACAAACCATAAAACATTTTCCTTCTCGAGATGTAGAATCCTATTGAACTTTCCTGTTCAAATATGTATTTCAATTTCCCTTGTGTTTAGAACTCATTTCTCTGGTTTTAGTTTGACTGACCTATTTGAGCTGCCGGGTAAATTAATCTGGCAGATTGCTGTCGGCTGGGTAAGCATTCTAGGTAAATGTACTGCAGAGAAAATCTGGAGTCAGAATTTAGCTGCCACAGTTCTAAATGAGCGATAACCAGCAGGCCTCATCTAGACAAGGTTCTCGATCACAGAGCTGACCTTCAAGATGTCTGCCCACTTCCTCGCTATTGGAGTGAAATCAGATCATGCCGTATGCTTGACTCCCTGATGACAGGAGGCAGGGAGGAAATAGTCACACTTGTTATGTAACTGTGCCGGATATTTAAGCATTGCTGGAATGCTTTTCCTCACACTGCTCCTGAAGCGTAACATGACTGCATTAACCCCTAAGAAGAGCAGCATGCAAGAAGCTTGAAATGTATTGAGACTAAAGGCAGCTCACATTCACTAGTATAAGGCTTAGTATATGGTTACTTGTCCACAAATTCGGATAAACTTGGTTTATTTACCCTATTTTCAATGTTTCCACTGCTACAGGCTCAATGCAAACGTCATAGTTTTGACTACTGATCAGAGCTTCAGTTTGACATTTTCTGTGTAAATCTTTTAGACCCTGATGATCTTTCTTTACACACGGACAAAAAGAATGGAAACCTAATTTCCGGGCTCCCAATCTTCACTAGCCACAGGGAAGTGAAAATTTAGCCATAGTGAATAGAATTGTTCACCACGGTGTGTATGTTATGGCTTGCTGTGGCGAGTACCTTTTTTAAAGGAAGGCTCTGGGCACCATAACCACTTCAATGGAATGACAATGTTATGGTACCAGGAGGTCCTTGGCGCCAGCTTCCCTAACTGTAAATCCCAGTTCCTGCATCACGCACCCGATCGCTCTGCCCCCTGTCCTTCTGCTATTCAGAATTGTGAGAAGTCTTGGCCAGGGGTTCCGCTAATTGACTGGTAGCGTCAACTGATGCTCTAAGCCAATCAGTAGATCCCTCTTTCAGAAAATGGCTGCAGAAGCGTACATAACTTTTTTTTTCAAGGCATTGTGAGTGTGGAGATACACATTGGTTTCAAACAAATGTTTTTCTCTTCATCTATGTTTACCCTGGCTTTGCCTTGTCTGAACTGTTCATGATGTAATGTGCTAAATCGTTAATATAATTTATAAAAGCAAACTAAGCATCTCATGGAAAAAGGTTCATAGGCCAGGGCTTGACAAATCTCCTTGGAATCTAGGAGCCAGGTAGAACAGTTAGGAGCCAGAGAAATCTACGCCAAAAATAAAATTCTTAGAGACACTATGGTCACCAGAACCACTAATTAATGCAGTTGTTCTGTAGTCTAATATCCTGTCCCTGAACATTGTTTAATGTAGACATTGACTTTTTCAGTCAAAAGGCAGTGTTTACATTGCTGCCTGGTAACACCTCTAGCTGCAGTCACTCAGACGGCCTCTAGAGGTGCTTCCTGGGTCAGTGTTTCACAATGTGCAGCACCTACGTTAATGTTCCCTATAGAGATGCAGTGATTCAATGCACCTCTATGAGAAGTTAAATTGGCGCAGTGGCATTTTGTTGTGCATGCGCAATAGTTTTCCAATGCTTTCCTATGGGGAAGCATTGGATTGGCTGAGATCGTCTGAGATAATCTCTGTGACTTTCCAAGACACCCTAAAACCTGTACATGGCGGTATTGTTTTACTTGGGATACTTCACAGAACACAAATGTGTTTCAAAATAGTAAAATGTATTACAACGATATCAGTAAAAATGCCGTTTTTTGCATTTTTTACACACAAACGGCACTTATACTGACGATATTGTTGTGGTGTGTTTTACGGTTTTGAAACCCTAATATTTGTGTTCAGCGAAGTCCCCTGAGTATTACCGTGCCCTTTATGTACAGGTTTTATGGTGTTTTCAAAAGTTAGTCAAATATAAGGTTTGTGTTTCAGTTTTTTCACATTGAAATTTACCAGATTGGTTACGTTGCCTTTGAGACTGTATGGTAGCTCAGTGATGAGAATTAGCCCCATGATGGCATACCATTTGCAAAAGACAACCCAACAAATTGCAAATTGGGTATGTCCAGTCTTTTTTAGTAGCCACTTAGTCACAAACACTGTCCAAAACTGGCGTTCAAAGTATTTAAATTTTTTTTTTTTTTTTTCACACACACAAATATGAACGCTAACTTTGGCCAGTGTTTGTGACTAAGTGACTAACATGCTATATATGACCCTGTAACTTCCTATAACACCATACAACCTATACATAGGGGGTAATGTTTTACACGTGAGACATCGCTGAATACAAATGTGTATTTTATTGCAGTAAAAGCAAACAGTATTATGACATTCACAGTTAAATTGTCATGCAGAACTAAAAAAAATTTTTTTCTTAATTTCGCACATTTTTTTTATATTTTATTCATATTGAATTTTCATAGCTAAATATTTGATGTTAAATGAAAGCCCTGTTTCTCCTGAATAAAATATATGTGTGGGTGCACTTAATATGAAAGAGGTGAATTACGGTTGAACAGAAACCTAGTCAAATTCCAAGTTTTGTTTACGTTTTATTTTGAGCAAAATGTGTACATTTGGCTCAGTCCACAAGGGGTTAAGAATCCAGTATTTGTTGTCTGTGTAATCATCTCTCTGTCTTTAGACATGAATATGCAGCTTTATAGACTGCAACTTTGTGTTTGTTCTGCACGCTGTTTACATTGGTGGTTGAGATTTGACTTTGTTATTGGGAAATTATGTATTTTTTACTTGTCTCTGAGATTTGTAATAAATACTCCACCCTCCTCTTTTAACCCTTACCCGATGGTTATAATGAAACTCCACACATCTCCTGTCTGTATGTACTTTACATGACATTTTTTATATCGCGTATCATAGGGGGTTTAATCAGCATTATTAGGCCTGGCTAAACAGTCATGTTTGTAAATGGCTAGAACTGTGGTACTGTCAGAGCTCTATGGCCATTCAGTGATTCTTTTGTGTGTTTTGTTAGTAGTTGGAATTATCAGTTTGTTTGTTTTTTTTTGTTTTTTTTTACAAATTATATTGTCACAAATGTCAGAGTATCTCTTTAGGGACTCTTCAACTGCCCACTTTATTAATCAGTAGGCGTTAAAGGGACATTCCTAGGACCACAGCTTCCTTTGGGATCTTTAATTCTGTGTACAGTTTGTTGTTTTGTTTCTAAACTGCATTCTACCACCCATATGTTAATACATAGCTTGTTCTCATTGGGAGCTGCATCCTAACACGTTGCCTTTGAGTCACTAACAGGCAAGGTGTCTGTTTTGCTCCTGGGTATATAATACAATTTAAAGCTGGGCAGTTGGCTTATAATGTCTGCACTGTTTTTGTTTACTGTTCAGCACACTGGTTAGCCATTGTTTTAGTTCCAACATGAAACTGCTACAACACTTTAAGGTATTGTCTAGGTGGGGCTGCATTCTTTAAGGAAAACCTGTCTCTTTGTTTCCCCTTATTTAGATAAGTATTACAGCCTGTAAACATACCTATGTACAGTGCAGCTCCCACCCCTTTACTGTTGGCATTGCAGTGTCCTCTGCCAGGTTCATTCTTCAGTCTACAAGAACTCCTTGCCTTTGCTCAACTTTTGAGCAAAATGTCTTTTTCCTTTTTTACAATTTTTTTTTTTTTTTTTTATTCACAAAATTAAAATGTAATCTTGTTAAACATCAAACAACGCTACAGGAGAAGCAGCATGCATTTTCAGTTGAAAAGCTCTTCATTATAATCCGCACATATCCTCTATTAATAAATACTGACCAGATACAAGATGGTCTCTGTTGCGTCTGGCATCTAATAGTTGATTGAAACTTTAATTTTCTCATAGCATCCAAACTGAGCTGCCAATGTGCTGACCTTTTTTTATAATGCATTTAATGATCTTCTCATCTGCTTATTAGATGGATCAACTACTAGAGCAGTGGCCTGATGATTCTGGGTAAAGACCATCATTGGACAAGTTCATTCTTTTCTGGAACCTAGATTCATGTTAATTTAATTCTTGCACAAGCCTGACACTATTCATAAAATATCGAAACCCTGTATTTTGGTTTCTTACCCCGCTCCCTATTGATGTAGCACAGAGCTGGAAAAGCTTGTATGGTTTTAAAGCTTATCCAAGTCTCTCTGCGGTTTGCATGTAAAGGCAAAGCCATGCTTGTCAATTTAATGTTTGCTTATGCAGGTAAATACAAATGGGAGCTATGGCTCAGCACATGCTTACTCTTGTATCTTTCATTTCCTAGCTGTAGCCAGCTTCAGTACCCGAGGCGTTATTACATAATCCTTATTGTTTCCATTGTTATTAATTGCAGTTTAGTTTGTTAGAAACGTGCCTTGTATTTTTATCTTGTAATCACACCCATTTTAATTTTTACTTTTTTTTTTTTGTTTACATTTTTTGAGTGCCGTGTAGGCGTTGTCTTTTTACTGGAGATGCAGTTTAAGGCATGTTAATGTTTTGTACTCTGAGATCCTGGATAATGTATGAACTTTTAACCACATAGATGCAAAAACAAAACCTAAACCGGTTTCTAAAAATTAAGCAAACTCCATTTACAAGAAAGAAAAGTGTAAAAGAAGTTAATACTTTAGAAATATATATGCTTTAGGGCTTCTCAAACCCCATTTGTAGAGAAACTGAGTTCTAAAATATTGCTGTAGCTATAGGCCATGCTCCAGGCTGGAGAAACAGAATACTTTAAAACATTAAAGGGACACTCCAGGCACCCAGACCACTTCTGCCCATTGGAGTGGTCTGGGTGCCAACTCCCACTACCCTTAACCCTGCAAGTGTAATTATTGCAGTTTTCATAAACTGAGAGGTCTAATGCCGCGCATGCACATTAGGTCCCCCCCCCCCACTGGAGGGCAGACCGGAAACCACCGCCATGGGACATTGGTGGGGGTCTCGGGTAAGTCACTGAAGGGGTTTTCACCCCTTCAGCAACATGGGATGGGGGGTGGGAAGGAGAGGGTACCTGCAGTACCAGGAAAACGGTTTGTTTTCCTGGCACTGGAGTGTCCCTTTGAACAATATATACATAAAGGAATTCAGTTGATGCCATTGTGTTCGTTTATTTTTTTTTTGGTTGGTTTCTCCCCCCCCCCCCCTGCTTTAAAGGAACGGGCTTAGCTCAGAGCTTTTGGCTCTTCGTTGTTGGTCGTGGAGATGGGGAGCAGTGCCCAATGGACCTTGGGTAAGAAGTCGAACTGTTCTTAAACAATGTGGCTACTTACAAAGGGCAGTGGGGGGGGTGAAAGGGTAATCCTGGCACCATAACCACTATAGTGATTATGGTGCTTGGAATGACACTTTAATAGTCTATGCAGGCTTGCCTGGGCACCTTCTCTCCATTCACTGGTGCAGCTGGGAGGGACAAAAATAAATATTTGTAATAATACTGTTACACAACACTTTCAAATTCCTTTTTTAGTGTTCAGCTCCTCTTGTTTTTTTTTCCTAAATCAAGCAGATTGTAAACCTTTTTAACTTAACAAAAATGAAATGCTTGCCTGGAGTGTCCCTTGGAGTACTGTGAAATAGAACTCTGTAAATGTACAATTGTACCTCTGTCGCAGCTCAAGTAAATAAAATCAGTTTCTTATTAACTGCTCCAATAAATTTGTTGACCCCTAAATAACATTAACCTATAAAACAAAACTTTTTAGCTCCCTGTGGTGACAATCTAGTGATGTGTAAATTAAATTCTAGTCCACAGAAGTAATGAGATCTGTCGGAATCCTCGATAATCCTGCGGGTAGCTGAGAATTCTTGTGGAGCTCACTGATTCAGGTAAACAGACATAAATAAAAGGAGGGAAACGTTTAAAAATAGTAGAAGGCCTGGCAGTCTAAAATTATAATACACCACAAAAATGTACCAGCTAATGTGGGGTATAGTCCTGAACTGACAATGGAACCAACCACCTGAGGATTAGGATATTGCTACAGTCTAGCTCAGTAGTTGTGTGTTTTTGTATTATAAACCTCCAGGCCTGAACCTGAAATTGGATAATAATGCCATTTCATAAAGTTCCCAATAGTTGGGACGAATGCCACAATTAATTGTTTATTGTAGTAGCACTGTCTTCCCTGTTGATACTGGGCGGGGGAGTCAAATCCAGAATAGGCTTTCTGCCTTGAGAAAAGGCAGTGTTTACACTTGTGCCCAAGGCCACCTCTAGTGTCTGTTCCTATTTCAATAGTGAACCCAGTCCAACATGTACTGTCTTCTGAGATCCCTATGAGATGTAGGGTAAGTAAATCTTAAGGGAATGCATCTACATTGGTAATGGAACACAAACGCGATAGGGTTACTTAAATTCAATATCATGGACTATGTATTGTGTACTGAATTGTAATACCAATGGATTATAGAACTATGATTTTTAGGACAACTACGTGCAGGTATTTTCTGGTTATAGATCAAATTCATTTTTAAATTTTTCAGCTTTCAAGTAGGCAGTCTCTGCGTTCCTATAACAAAATGACTTGTTTTTTTAATTTTTTTATTTTAGTAAAATCTTTTTTTTGCTTATGAGTAAGTGTGTTTTGGTGGTCGCATTTTCTCCCCCTCCTCCTTTCTCATAAAGCGGTTTGACAAAACTTTGCTGTCTGCACCCAGATCCTGGCACCATTGGCCTTCAACTTTAGTTTCGCAAAAGGTAGATCCTTATCTGTTGTTCAATTCTATTGACAGCTGGGGATCTACCATTTGCCCTTCCTCCCTGGGTTTTATTTTTGAACAGTGTTTGTGTGTTTAAATGGTTTTTCTCTATAGAGTATGTGTGCATGCAGGTGTGTATTTGTATGCGGTGGGGCACTTGTGTGTGGTGTTTGAATGCAGGGGTGTGTTTATATGTAGTGTTGGATTTTAAATATAGGTGTTAAATGTAGTGTGCTTTTGTGTGTAGTGTTTGTGTTTGAATTAAAGGGAGTCTGTATATAATTTTTGTATTTTAATACAGGGTTGTGTTTGTAATGTTTGATTTCAGGGGTGTGTTGGAATGTAAGGTTTTCTTTGAAATGTGGATGTACACTTGTGTGTATTATTGGTGCTTGAGTGAAGGGGTGTGTTTGTATATAATATTTGTGTTAACTTACTGTAGTGTGGTTTGCATGTTGTGGTGTTTGCTTAGATGTATGCATATACACTGCCACATATGCACATCAACACAGATAAACAGTGACACATGCACACTCCTTGACACACATTTTTATTTTATTTATAAAATATTTTACCAGGAAGGATACATTGAGATTTCTCTTGTTTTCAAATATGTACATATACGTGCATACATGCTATAGGCTATAAATAATCAGCTAAGCAGAAAAGGGCATAGAATCTCTCTAACATACAGCCTGTTTGGCATTAAATGGACACTGTAGGCACCCAGACCACTTCAGCTAATTGTGCTGTGACCCTTTTGCACTTAGTGCTGCAATGTAAAATATTGCAGTTCCAGATAACTGCAATGTTTACATTGCAGCTGTAAGTCTGCCCTCTGTGGTTGTCTACCAGACAGCCATTATTATTTATTATTATTATTATTATATTTATATAGCGCCACCACATTCCGTAGTGCTGTACATTGGGTGAGGGCGCTTCTGGAATCAAAACTGACTTTTGGTCTGTTATCTGATGCTGGACGTCCTCAAGGACCTCCAGCGTCAGATTGTCCCCATAGGAAAGCATTAAAGGTACATTATAGTCACCCAGACCACTTCAGCTCAATGAAGTGGTCTGGGTGCCAGGTCCCTCAGGTTTTAACCCTTCAGATGCAAACATAGCAGTTTCAGAGAAACTGCTATGTTTACATTTGGGGTTAATCCAGCTTGTAGTGGCTGTCTTCTGGACAGCCACTAGAGGCGCATCTGCGACGGTGCAGGCATATTTTGCTTTAATCGCGCAGAGCATCCATTGGAAAGCATTGAGAAATGCTTTCCTACGGACACTTTGAATGCGCGCGCAGCATTTGCTGTGCATTTGGCTTCGCTGACAATGGGCGGTGGAGGGGAGGTCACCAGCGCTGGGCTGGATTAAGGTAATCTGCTGAAGGGGTTTTAACGCCACGGGAGGGGAACCCTGAGGGTGGGGGCACCCTCAGGGCACTATAGTGTCAGGAAAACCCCTTCAGCCCCGAGGGAGGGGGGCACTGTAGGAGCCTATAGTGCTAGGAAAATGGGTTTGTTTGAAATATACACCCTAGCTTTTATCTGAAATGCCTGCAGGGGCTATAGACGCCAGACACACTTCATTAAACTGTAATGGTTATGGTGACTATAGTGTTCCTTTAAACTCTGAGTCTCTAAAGAATGTATTGCAATTACTGTGTAGTGTTTTAAATAGTTAATGTGCCACCTTTAACTACAATATGAATAAACAAGCAAAGTTACAGGATCCTATTTCTGCATGACCATATAATATGTACACCAGAGTACATTCAGAGGCCCAATTCCCTTTTTTATTTTTAAAGATGGCCTAAATTGAATTAATGAAAACAAAATTAACAAAGTCTGCTGATACAGAATAAAACCAGAGCATGTCTCTGTGGCCCTGTTAAATAAATTGTGTCCTAAGCTGGATCACACAGTGTAAACCATGAAACTAACCATTTTAGTTAGCATGGATATCTGAAACATGTGCTCTTTTTACTTTTCAACACATATACATATATATATATATATAAATTCAAAATGCACTCACAGGTCTTCAAATATAAGGGAAAAAACTGGTGCTTTATTAATCCATATGTGATATACAATGAAAATCAATCGACGTTTCGACCCTGCCGGGTCTTTTTCAATCTTGAAAAAGACCCGGGAGGGTCGAAACGTCGATTGATTTTCGATTTTCCTGTGAGTCCCCCCCCCCCCAAGGAACAGTTTTTTTTACTGTAAGAACAATCTGGATGTGGAATTCTCTGCCTGAAGAAGTGGTTTTATCAGAGTCCATACAGATGTTCAAACAGCTACTAGATGCATACTTGCAAAAACAGAATATTCAAGGATATAATCTTTCAATGTAGGGTAATAACTGCTTGATCCAAGGATAAATCTGACTGCCATTCTGGGATCAAGAAGGCATTTTTTTTTTTCCTAGCTTGTTGCAAAATTGTGCTTCAAACTGTGTTTTTTTTTGCCTTCTTTTGGATCAACAGCAAAAAACAAATGTGAGGAAGGCTGAACTTGATGGACGCAAGTCTATTTTCATCTATGTAACTATGTAATACATATACGCACGTGCACATACATATACGCGCGCGTGCATCCATATACGCGCGCGCATCCATCCATCGAGATATATAGTAAGTGGGGTCCCTCGCCTTCCCTAACATCAGTTGTTTTAAGTGATAAACGGTATCAAATTGATTTGTATTGATCCAGTCCTGAAGAAGAGAGGGAACTCTTGAAAGCTTGTCTTTTAAAAAAAAAAAAAAAAAAAAAAATTTGGATAGAAAACTAGGTAAATACAAAAATATCTACGCTGACTGTTTATTTGCTTGTTTTATTTCAAACTCTTTCAATGTGGTGGATTTCCCCCCCTCCTTTTCTTTCTTAAAAATTCCGTAACACTGCCTCAATAAGCTCTTTATGGATGAATGTGTGAAGTGTCATTGTATTGGCTTTCTATAGAGCATGATTCATCGAAAGCCATTTAATTTGTTCTAGCAGAGTTTGTAGTGCATATATTACACAAACGTTTCTTATCACAGTTGGTAATAATTCGTGGACCACCGTGTTTTATACTGTAAACATAGATCATTGTAACAGATATTTTCAGACAAAGCCAAGGCTTTGGTGGGAAGTTGAAGCTTAGAAAGGTCTGCTGGGAAGAAGGGTCAAGGGTGGAACTAGATTTATATTATAGAATGTCATGCCCTCCACCCACGTTTACACATCTATCACTGGCCATCCACTCATCAAGGGGCCCAGAACAGACATCTGTGGTAGTGCAAGGGGCCCCTGTACATTATCTGCTGGCCTGGATGATGTCCAGTGTTGCTATACTTATTGATTGTGCAACCACAGCAGCTTGTAGCAAAATGGACAATACATACCTCATTCCATTGGCTCCTCCACGTCTTCGTTTCCAGTGGGAACAGCTTGCTGCGGCTGTGTTAAATCCAGTGGAGCCTCAAATTCCATAAGCATTACTCGATGGACTTTAATGAATTAGATTCTGAGCCTTCAGCAGCAGACATGAGACCACTCTGTGAGCCACTGCTTCTTCTCAGAGGTTTTTTTTCTGTCGGGCCTCCACCCCTCCTAACGCACACACTATTTAAAGGATTTTTTTTTTTATTCCCCTCACAATCTTTTGTGCTTGCTCTCCTTACCAAGCATAGTGTGTGTATGTGTGAGAGAGAGGGAGGTGGGGGGAAAGCTCGGTTTCTACAGTAACTGATTGCCCACAATCTGGCTTCCTGACGAGTAGCTTTAGATTTCATGCCCTTGCTTTGTTAATGTCTGTTAAAAGAATTCCTTCATCCTTGGTGCATTCTCTAAATCGATAGTGCTGTTTAAGACTTTTTTTCCCTCTCTCTCCCCCCTCATCCATTTATACAAGGGGTACGTTAGTTCTTTGTATTCAAGGGGCATGCATTATTTCCCTATTTTCTCGAATCCAAAATCAGCAAAGCTTGAAGACCATTGCTGGTCATTTAGATAGTGTATTGGTGCGTTTTATTTACAAACTTGTATTCTTAACACTACAGTTGTACGCACTGTTTATTTTCAGGCCCCACCCCCTAAATAGGGAGGGGAAAGTTCTGCTCCACCTCCCTTATTGACTTCCTGCAGGTTCTCATCTTGTCATCCAAATGCATTGGGGACAAGAAGCACATGAAGAGATAATCTCCTCCAATCAAATGCTACTCATTGAGAAGCATTAAATCCAATGCTTCCACATGATAAGCATCAGAGGGCGTTAAACGTGCTTATGCAATGTGTGAGTACGTTGAATGTCACAGAACAGATTCTGCCTCTGTTGTAGGAGCTGAAGCACCCTCTAGTGGCTGTCAGGAAGACCGCCACTAAAGGTGTGTTTAGCCCTACAATGTAAACACTGCCATAATCTACAAAACTGCAGGGCTAAAATAACAGGGGCCTATATATGGTTCTTTTAAGTCTGAATTCTCTTTATATAGAGCACAAATTGATTTCAGTGCGACACACTTTCATTTTCTCTTTTTTTTTTTTTTTTTTTTGAAATCGAACTTTGCTTAAAGTGGATGGTCACCATCTGGGGTCTTTGCATAATTTGCAAAGACCCCTGATGGTGACATTGTCGCTCAGGGTCTGGTTACTGGAGTGGTCAAATGTGATATTTATTTACCACTCTTCTTCAAATTCTGGTGCCAAGAGCAGACATCGGCGGTCTGTGAATGATCGCAACATTACAGGATTCTTCATAGAAAGAGCTCATTTCCTTATAGCAGTCACTAATGACGGATGGGGGAAGTGACCAGACTTGACAGCAGCAGAGCTTCCCCATGTCAAAGTAGTCCCTACTTTGTCTCAATATCTTTTGACTGGATTGGAATTTCAGTGACATTCCAACAGTCAATGTGAGTATTTCATAAAGATTCTATCTTTATGAAATCCTCATTTTAGAGGAGGCGGTGACGGTGCTGCTATAAGCTCTGGTGGTGGGGTTGCCAAAAACCATGCCCCCATAAGAGAAAGTAGTCCTACTTTTTCTCAAGTGTTAAGGAAGACAAATACAGTGAATGTTAAAGACAATAAAACATAAGGAGAAATTGTTGCACCCTGAAAAAGACTATTCATTTAAAAAGAGAACCTGCAAAATGGTAGTTGCTTTAAAATTACACACAAGGCAATGAGTTGCAATTTTCTTGCTGACTCAACGGACTACAATTTTTACTTGCCAAATACAATCCTCCTTTCCCTTTAAATTCATTCAGAATGATATGGTTAAAGAGAAAATGTATATGTAACTTTCTGGGCTGTACTTGAAATCAACTCTCTTACTGGTGTTAATCAAAAATGTGCCAAGCCAGTGGTGGGTGAGGAAGTTATTCTTCATTCTCTGTTTGATATTCTTAACTTGTTTTTTATATTTTTTTATTGAGCCTCTTAAAAGCCTTGATGCAGAAGCTGGAATGTCAGGCTCCATTTTTTTTAATCCTTCATTATCCCAAGGCTAGTTCTGTCTGAGCCCACAGACTTTTGTCACAATGTGATAATGTGTTATATTCTGTTGCAGCTGTCTTCAAATTAATATAGTGTGTTGGCATTAAAGGAACTGGCAGTCAGGGATATGCATGTGATCTAGGAATTTCTCACCTGTAGGATTTAACAAAACAAAACATTTTTTATTTAAACTTTTATGCTTTTCCAAAGTCTAAACACAACAGTTGGACTCATTCTAGACTCACTTTGAAACCATTAACTATGTACTGTAGATAGGTTGTGTTTTAATAGGTATTCTTACCATGTTTAAATTTGAAAGCAAAGATTGGTGCATCTTTGTGGATCATAACACTTTTTATATGTTAATGAACCTCTTGCCGTGTGTGGATCAAGGCCAGGTTGATAGGCTATTGAAATAGTGGAGAACAGTTTACAGAAAAAAAAAACCTCTTTATCTCCAATTCTTTATTTTTGGTCATTTCAGAAATGGTAGTACTATCAGTATTGGAAACCGAGCTGTACACAAACTGTATACTTTAATAAGCCTACCCAATAGGTCTGTTTTTTTTAAGTGTTAAATTCTAGAAAGTGGTCCTAATTACTAGTAGTTGGTCAATCGCCATGGAAACCAGTGGGACCAGCATTAATCTCTCTTCCCCATTTATATTTTCCGCCACTTTTTAGAACAGAACATTTGGATAACTCTCTCCCAGTATGTTGATCAAGAATACCCTAAAAGGCTAGGATGATGGGTCCATTAAAAAAAAAAAATCTAAGCCAAATTTAACCACACCAGAGAAATATGGAGAAACACATAAACGTAAAGGAGCAAATATTGGCAAATCGCCCTGAGTAAATGCCCAATCTGGATTTAGGCATCCTGTGCTATTACAAATTATCCTTTACTGTCACGCAGTCATAATGGCCATTCTCTGAGGCCGAAACATCGAAATGTTTCAGCCTCTTATTTATAAAGCACCAACAAACTTCGCAGCACAGTACAATGGATTATAGGCCTAGTGATTAGTCATTGCTTCCCCTCTTAGAACTGTGGGAGAGGGATGCATGTCTTGGGGAGTCTTGAGGTTTAGCCAGTTATTTGAAACATCCATAGGGCACGCTATATGTATGTTTATATGTTTGCTTATTATATTAGGTATATTGCTTTAATAAGGAAAATACTTTCATTTAAACATTGTGATTTATGGATACAACCGTTCCATATGTAGTTTTTTAAATCAAAACTTCTCTGTGTCTCCCTAGTTAACTCCAAATTGGGAAATGCTTGGGTGTGCATTGGTATTGTGTGCAATGCTTTCTGCATTCAACGCTCTCAACCTCCTGGCAGGCTCGTCAGTTTCCTACATTCTCTTAATGTTCCTAAATGCTCACCTGACTGGGGGCATCCGTTGTGACCTGTTCTGCATGATTTCCTCACCTTCATTTTAATCCAGTCCCTGTGGAAAAATACTTGACTATCAAAATGCTGGTCCTCTCTCCCCAGATTTTCTTTTTGCATCTATTTTATTTCAAAGATGACAAAGTGTTGTGTGTTTTTGTTTGTTTTTGTTTGTTTTTCTCCCCCCCCCACCCCCCCCACCTCCTTTCTCTTTCCACCCCGTTATTGTGTGTACAGTATTCTATTGTTCCTAAAATACTCTGCACTGCTTGTGTCTCGTTGTGCATTACACCAAATTGTGACCACTAAATGCTTCCTCCTCTCTGCAGCAATATCCTATTCAGTGTAATGTGGTTTGGGAGGAAGTAAACATTTCCGGCTATGAACTCCAAAACAAAATATTGCTGTGACACACTGCATGTGTCATTACTCTCAGCTGCGAAGCGAGTGTTACAGGGATGGCTCGCAGCCCTCTTTACTGCTATATGCGATCGCTAGATAGACCTGCAAAGAGCTCACTGGAGCGTTTAGGAACATTTACTGTAGCAAAACAGATTTTAAATTTAAAAAAAATAGATTTTTTTTTTTTTTAAACTGTTTGTTCTGATGTTGTACCTACATTTTTAATAAACCGCGTCATAAGCCATTTCAGAAATCAGAAGAGAACGCCATCTTTTTTATTTTTACAGTGTTTTATAACCTTTGTTTCCTGCTGTACGGCTTACTTTTGTGTAAAGTGTTTAAATTGTTACTCCAATCAAAAACCAGATCACTGTCAACAAATCATTTATTGCGGGGTGTGTGTATATTGTGTGCTCACAATTTTATACTGAAGTGATCATGGTGATTGGAGTAACCCTTTAAACAAATAACACTTTTGCCATGACTTTGAAACTAGTGGATGCTTTTTTTTACTGATGAAAGGTTAGGAAGTTACTCTCTGTAAACATAAGCGAGCACCTGAGTACATCTAGAAAAATCTATTGTGTGCCTTATTTATAAACTGCAGTTTTTGATGTGCACATTCTGTAAGTTTCCATGGCGACTGCATCATCAAATTGCCTCACAATTGCAATGTGTATCCCCTTAGCTTGATTTCCAATAAAACATACCCTTAAGTGTTTGAACCATGTGTTTTAAGTGACTATTTTTGTAGCTTAATAAACACGGATCTACGCACATAGAACGGAGTGAACATGGCTTACATGAATGTATGTGCCAGTCCTTTTTAATTCAGGTCTCAGTTGTCCCAGAGGATTATACCTCAGTTTGGCTACAGCGTTGCCTTGGTTTAGAAGTCAGACTCTGTTCCACTCATTATATACATGGAAAACAATCTTGTATTGTCTGCTGGCTTATTTTAGTTTGGGGAGTGGAAATTTCCAGCCTTGTGTGTAGATGAATATGCAGACAGAGAATGTTTGTGTTTAGCCTTCGAGGTTAAAGCAAGGCTTAACAGTCAGATATCTAATGAGCAATATGGGATTAGTTGTAGTTATCACTTCCTCAGAAGTCTGTTTAACATGCTCTTTCCCCATACTAATCCTAGCCGGTGATTGACCTGATTGCTGTAATACCTCCGCATGTATAGAAACCCAACGTTTAGAGGGTCAGCGGTAGGTGAGTTCTGTGTTCTGTACTCTAGTGCTTTTGAAACGTCTATGATAAGAAGTGATGTGGTTCAGAGCAACCTCATTTCATGGTGCTCCAAACATGCTCTTGTGGGCTTGAGACATTTTATGAGCTCCTGTGAGTAGTGGGGGTTTAATTTGCATGACATCCAGCCACATATATGAAAATAAGATACATATTTATCAAGGCAAGATTTTGTATGTTACGTGTCAGGCCTTCATAGTAACTGGCCACTGCAAACCTAGAGTCCATGGCACACACCAGTGTTGAATTTCACTCACCAGTTGAAACCTGAGATTTACATGAAAAAAAGTTCAACACGCGTTAGTCAGGGGTACCCAAAAGGTAGATCCTAGATGTTGTAGAACTAAAACTCCCATGATGCTTTGTATGCCTTTAGAATGATAAAGCATCATGGAAGCTGTAGTTTTTAAACATTTACCTTTTGGGGACCCTTGTTATAGGTGACTTTCAGTGTTTAATTCAATAGTGTAACTTTTAGAAAATATCTTTTTTTTTTTTTTTTTAAAGTCTATACATAGTTACTCTAACATTCTCTGCTCCTCACCCTATTTATAAAGGATCAATGAATGATTACATGCCAGAAAGCCTGCCACCGGTGGGTTTTTTTTTAAGGCGGCTTGGATTGGCAGTGCACCCACTGGTCCTCTGTCCATGCTCCTTCATGAGACAAAAACCAAATTAAATCATGGATCCCACACAGTGTTAATTATTAATGGAGAATTAGTTTTGTAGTTCAGTTAAGATTTTAATAGCCTTCAAATGTGTACTGTCCCTAATATCTCTTAAAGCCTTTATGTCCTATGAGACCGACTAGAGTTTTAATTCCCATCCTTTCCTATTTATATTCAGCTACAGATTCCAGCCACTAATTTAATGTCTATTGTAGAAGCCACAGATCCTTTTATTTCCCGAAACTTGTAACCAAGCAAGCTGGTGAAAGTAACCCCCCCTCGTATCCTTCATTAGGCTTCTTTTTCCTCCATTCACACTCAGATTAATCGTTGTATCCCCTGCCCTAGAAAGGAGTCGTTCAGCAGTGGGGAAGTCCCCTTTAGAATAGAATTCTGCTGTCTGTTGTATTGAAGGATCTCATTTAGAACAGGTATCTATGTAACAAGGCTGTGAAAATACTGGATGGCTGTCTTGGAGGAGGGTTTGTAGAGTGTTTCCATGAGGATTATGTGACTTGCGAACAGGGGACCCACAATCTTCTATAACCCAATATCTAAATTGACCAAAATGAGATGTATTTTTCTTAATGCAGATATAATTAAATAAAAAAAATTATCTGTACCAGTTCAATGCTGCATGACCACTAGTTCCCAGTATCTGCAACGTCTGCCGAAATCAGGAAATGGTTAGTTTCTTACCCAGTCTTGGCCTTATTTAATTGGGAACAATGTGAATCTCTTAACGCTTGCACGAGAATGGCTTGTGGGATATGTAGATCACAGGTTTCTTTAAGTTAATGCCAAGCTCTGAAAATTCTTTCAACTAGCGGAGAGCTTTATTCATATTATTTTGTGAAATAAGCACTTGGAACCACAGCTGCTGTACAAGTTCCGCCCCCATCCAAATAATTAGGGAGCTTTATAGATTGAGGGTGTTCATGCCCAAACTAGTATTTTTGAGGAAAGCTCATAGCACATTATGTTGCATGAATTGTTTCCTTAATGTAATCGCAAAATTGAGATTTTTATTGTACTGACCACAAACAGGGTAAGTAGGTGGACATTGTGTTTTTAAAAGTCTTGGTGACCGCACTGCATGCATAGAGGATTTGTACGTTTGTTTTATTTATTTATTTATTTTTTATACACAGTTGCCTTTTTATGGCTGTTACAATGTGGAATTGTTTTTGCTGATTCTGTGCAGAGCAACCTTGCTTTATGGCAATGCTGTAAAATAATTAAAAATCAGTGCTGTGTACTCCTGGGTGAAACGATGTACAGTCTTTATGCTTTCTATGGATGTAAGATATGTTTTACCTCTTTAGATTCTGATCCTGTTGATCCATTAGTAAATAGTGAATTGACATAAAAGGGCTGTTTTTTTAAATTTTATTATTTATTTTTTTTATATTTTTTTTGCAGAGGCAGCCTCCCCTTATTTCTGGCTTTGATATCTGTCTGAGGCTGGCATCTGAAGCACATGGTTAAATATAGCCCTCCCAGAGTTCCTGTAAAGCATCTCTCCTCGCTTACTTTTTTTTCTTCCTCCTTTTCCGTTGCTTGCCGGATTAACCGGTCTTTGCTGCACTAGATTTTTTTATTACAGCCAGTTAAATCTCTGCTGATTCCTCGCAGAATGTTTAGTCTGCTTGCTACACCCACATGGAGCACTGTGCCTGCTCCTACAGCTGAAGCATGCTCAGGCTCTCACTAACCCTTTCAGTGCCCTGTAAAGTAATCGCCTCCTTCTTGGTGGTCAAGCCATTCTTGTTGAATTCCTTTTCTCCCAGAGCTTTGTATTTAGTTGAAAAGTATTACAAAGTGCAGTTGTTTGTACATCCCACTATAATCTGTGTTCAGGAAAGTGTTTTTTGTTTTTTTTTACCCAACTTTTCTGTATGGGTTTAGTTTCAACTGAGTTTTGTTTTTTTGTTTTTTGGTATCAAATTAATGTCAAAATTTGCAGTTTTCTTCTCCCCGTTTTTTTTTTAGGTTCTTGGTATAGTGACCAAGTTTACAGATGGCTGCAGTTTATTTTTGCACAGGAAAAAAAAAAAAAAAAGTGCCAAATGATAAGTTCCTTGGGGCAGGCTTGTTTAAGGATCACAGTTCAGTCATCTCAACCTATAAATGCTTTTTTACTGTTTTGTGATAATACAACTTGCTGAGTGTTCTAGATCAGTCTGAGGAGTGATATTGTGCAAGCAGGACTAGGTCAGTGTTAAATCTGAATCTGTAAATGCTTTTCTTAGTATTGCATTTGTTTAATCTCAATATTTATTGTCCTGGGACAGGGGCTTGGCAACCTTTGGCACTATGTAGTCTACTCTTCAACATCTGAATCGCGGAAGGTTTCCTGCCCCTATCCCAGGATATATTGTGCTTTATCTTCCACGCACATCTCTAATGGATAGTGTAAACATGCTGCTGCTGTGTATATATTGCGTAATCCTAGAGGAGCTAGGTGCTTCCTTCTGTCACTTGTCCCAATAAGGCAGCCGAGCTGTTAGTGTCTCCAGCCTTGTTGGTTTAATGCTCCAGGCTATCTTGAATTTTGCCATCATTGGCCACTGTCTGGAAAATGACATTACCCACATTAACAGCTTAGTTTGCTTACACCGTTTGTGTTTTATTCCAGGCTTAGCCTGCATGGCATTCAAACCGTACACTGTTAATCTCCCACCCAGTTTAAAAATAGAGACTATATCTGAATTACCAAGAAGAGCTAATAGACAGAAACCGCTTTGCTGTCACAGATCAGCAGTTTGTACTTCTTGGCAGACCGCGACCTTGACATGTGTAAAGATCCATGTTGGTGTTTAAATATAGTACACTGAAGGGATGATGTATATACGACTAGAGAATCAATTCTATCTCTTTGCATGGGGCCTAGTCAACAGAGATCAGCTTTATTTTCACTGTTCGACACAAGACTGTTTGTTTTTAGCTCACCTGATTGTCGGCTACATGATAGGAGCTCACGTTTGTTTTCAGTGACTTAGAAATCTAATGTACCAGTTTTTGTTGTTTTTTTTTTTTAATTCGTACATCAGAAATCAATTGGCCCGTGGTTTACAGTGTAACTATCGTTTAAAGAATCTAACTTTCCAGAAGTTTATCATCCACAATAAAGTAATCTGGTCATGGAGTTATAACCAGCTGGAATGTGGAATAGGATTTTATTTGCTTATTTTGTGTGAAAACTTTAATCTGCGTAGTTTCCCCCTCCCACCCCGGCTCTTCAAATCCTGAGAAAATCTAACAAAAGTAATTTTAAGTGTATTCTATTTAGCAGTGTTAGGTTGTGGTCTCATTTGTTGAGGTTGCTGTTGTTCCTTGTAGGTTTTGAAAGACAGCCTCTTGTTAAAAACAGTAATAGTTATTTACCACCAAATTGGCATTTTTATCCCATATAGGATTACATGTGGCTTTAATATGCTGAAGGCAGACACACTCTTGAGTATTATTTAATTTTGTACTCTGAGATATCCATGTCAGGTAGTGTCATGGATGTTGTTTATATGGAAGGTTACAAGATTGAATTTAAACAAGTGACCGTACCTCTTCCTGTGTCATTTGGGCACACTGCAGTGTGCTTCATTTATGTAATGCCAACATATTCTTCATGCTTTAAAGGGACACTGTAGGCACCCAGATCACTATCTTCTAGACCGCCACTGGGGACGCTTCCTGCAATGAAACGGACCTTTGGTTTGGTATCCGACGCTCTGCATGAGGACCTCTAGCGTCAGATTTGTTCCCCGTAGGAAAACATTGATTCAATTCTTTCCCATGGGGAGGTCTAATGCACGCACTGGCACGCGTAAGACCCTGCTCGTCGTGGGACAGAGGAGTGTGCAGAGGCGCAACCCAGCACTGAGGGACGTTGGTGCTGGCATAAGGTAAGTAAATTAAAGGGTTTTTAATCCTTTTACTTACGGGGGGTGCGCAGGGGCTAGCGGTAGTGCCAGGAATACAGCTTTGTACTCCTGGCACTACAGTATCTCTTTAATTCTGATAATAAAGTTGTCCTGGTATAGGTAAAATAGTACCTATGTAGGTAGTGGGAGAGGATATATTTAGGTTTGCCTCCTCGTGTTTCTGGATGTTGGGGGATGAGGGTGGCTGTTCAGACAGTGTGATTCTTGGTCCAGTTATTTGTACTTAGCAACCCCTTTATTTCTCTCTCTCAGATGCACCTTCAGATTTCCCAGCACAAATATCAAGATCACATTCACAGCTCTGGCCAGCGACAAGAAGGAGAAACAAGAGGCCCCTGAATCCCCAGTGAAACCAGTGCAGCCCCAGATCTCTCCGCTGACCATAAACATTCCAGAGAACATGGCTCATTTGATCAGCCCTCTGCCCTCACCCACAGGAACTATAAGGTATGCCATAGCAGGATATCTGAGACTAGAGAGAAATGTGACTGCCAAACTTTCGAAATAACCATTTTAATCTGTTGATTGCCATCACAACAATCACAAGCCTGCTTGCATGTTGGCTGACTGCTTCTGCCCCAGAATACCAAATGATCATGATGTGCTGCTAATGCCCCATCCACTTGGAATGGGATTTTGAGAGGTTTGTCATAGTAAGAAATTAAACTTGTATCTGGGGATCCTATTGCCTGAATGAGGAAAGTTAGTGCTGCATCTCCATTCATTGTGTGCAAGCAGTGATTTTTCTACAGTTCTCTTGGTGTAGTCTGAAGATTTTATAGATCACATGCAGGTCATTCTGGTCCATAAATAAGCGAGGGTAAATAATGCAGTTCTGTTCTTTAATCTGTCGTGGATTCTGTGCCAAACCTGTCTCCAGATTCTGTTATTGTCTAGCTCAATATAAACAGTGGGGGAAAAGGACTTGGATGCAGAATTGAAACATTAAATTCCATTCTTTCATGTCCTCAGAGAAACCTGCCAGTTAAGGTTTTTTTTTTCATTTTGTCAGAAGAAAAAAATTTGTTATTGAGTCAGCAGTTTTCCTTGGAAGCCTCTATGGCGTCTGCCTAATGGCTGGATGGAAGCATTAAGCAGGGTACTCATGTGAAACTGTGAACCTGCTACCTGAAATATCTGCCAAGTGAGCTATGGCAGAAGCTTGATTTCTTATGTATCTTAGTGTTTTTCTATTATTCCTGTACATATATTACATGCGTCTGTACAATCCAGATTGCTGTGTACCATTCCCAACACGAATTTGCACTTTTTGCACAATAAAAAAAAATTACATACTCTTCACACACAAAGCTTTTCAGGAAGTTAAAGGACCACTCTAGGCACCCAGATCACACAGGGTGCCTGGTCCAACTAGGGTTAATTTTTTTTTTTTTTAATATAAACATAGCCGTTTCAGAGAAACTGCTATGTTTATAAATAGGTTAATCCAGCCTCTAAAGCCTCTAGTGGCTGTCTCATTGACAGCCGCTAGAGGCGTTTGCGTGCTTCTCACTGTGAAAATCGCAGTGAGAAGACGCAAGCGTCCATAGGAAAGCATTATGAATGCTTTCCTATGAGACTGGCTAAATCTTTGCGCAGCTCCTGCCGCGCATGCACATTCAGCCGAAGAGAAGGAGAGCTCCCCGCCCAGCGCTGGATAAAGGTAAGATTTTAACCCCTTCCTTTCCCCAGAGCCCGGCGGGAGGGGGACCCTGAGGGTGGGGGCACCCTCAGGGCACTATAGTGCCAAGAAAACGAGGTGTGTTTTCTTGGCACTATAGTGGTCCTTTAAAGAGCTTTAGGGGTCTGCAATTTCCCTTTAAACTCTGATTTTCAACTCTTCCAGGAATCCAGAATTCTAATTTGTGTCATGGATCCTACCATCGGCATGGTTCTGCAGAGTTTGTAGAAATTACAAGCAGTATGATTGTAAATAAAATCTATATTTAAAATCTTTTAAAATATTTTTTCTCCACAGCGCTGCAAACTCTTGCCCCTCCAGCCCTCGTGGCGCAGGTTCGTCAGGTTACAAAATGGGCCGTGTCATTGCCGCAGACCTTCACTTAATGACAGAAAACTCCCAATCAGAGAATGACAAGGAGGCTTCGGGAGGAGACAGTCCCAAGGTGAGGCCCCAGTCTATTTAGTACCAAATAAAAACATTGAGTTCCTATGCTAAAAAGTCACTGCAAAATCCATAGATGGGAAACACAATCGGCTGTCTTCACACATTAGGATTGTTTGTTGGAAATACAGACACCTGAGTGTTTGGAGTGAAAGATTAAGAAAGTGTGTGTATCTGTATTTATAATCGTTACTGGCAATAGTCTTACAACCTCCAGTCAAGTAACTGCTTGATTACTTTGTAGATTTTGCTGTGGTATACAGCTTGGGGAACATGGTTTAGCTTTATGGTGTGTTTTTTGGGGGTTATAGGAATTCGAGTTAATTGATAAGCGAATCACATATTTTGGGCCATAATATTTGAAATGGGGTGGGGGGTAGAAAACCTCCAATTTACTGTAATGTCTATTTTTATATATATTTTTTTACATTTGTATTTTATTGTATTTAATACACTTGGTATATGTCCGAATCATTATATGGAATTAAGGTAAAAAAATAAACATATATAGGAGAGAAAAACATATAAATCGGCTGCATAGCGGTGGTGAGGATGTACGTATTGTGTTATCAATACTGTTAAGGCTGAGTCAAACAGTGACCTGAAATTTGGGATTAATTGTGTGTGTTGGTGTGTGTGTGTGTGTGTGTATGTTTTGTTTTGTGTGTGTGTGTGTGTATGTTCTATTTCGACTTAATTTGTAACTTAGTCTGACATTTCTTGTGAGACTGCTTTATTGGTTACTGTAAGAAGGAACTACTACGTTGCCTTCTAATAGTGGCTGATTCTGCGCATTTCATCATTGTCATTTTTTTATTTTTATTTTTCCCTACAGGATGACTCAAAGCCCCCTTACTCCTATGCACAGCTTATAGTCCAAGCGATTACTATGGCCCCTGACAAACAGCTCACATTAAATGGAATATATACGCACATAACAAAAAACTATCCATATTATCGGACTGCAGATAAAGGCTGGCAGGTAAGTGACACTGTGACCTGCACTGGGCACTTCATTAAACGATGTGTGGTGTCTTAAGACCAGACGAAATAGAACTGCAATTCTAAACCTGTGTGATCTTCAGACCTACATACACAAAGCGGTGGAATACATTCAGCATCATGATTCTTTTATTACTGAACCCCTTCACCGCCAAATGCTCCTTGTTTGTAAATATATTGGCATACCATTTATTTGAAATATGGTGTTCATAGCAAGCAGATAAACATGCCATTACGTTGAGTGTATAATAAGAAATCTGGTTATTCTCACAGATTTGAAAAAAGTCAAATAACCTGCTTCTTGGTGTTTGTAGTGATGGCAAAAATAAAATACCACATTTTGTAAAGTTAATCATGTATTTGCCCCCCCAAAAAAACAGACCTGGCACACTCTAATTCTGCTGACTTTTGTACTAATTTATTATATGAAGGATCTGAGAATGTTTGTTTACAGAACACTCTAATTGTTATAAATACATATATACTTTTATCTGGGCCGTTTCATTGCAGCAGAAGTAACTCTACCGGCTGCATCTCTGGAAGGCCACTAGATTGTTTTACCCTTAGTAGACATTGCCGTTGATGCAAAATGTCAGAGTTTTACCTTAAAGGGTTAAAAGTACAGGGCCATACCATGTCATTGAGGTGAAGTCGTATGGGTGGACTTTTAAGATGTGGTTGTGGTTTTGCAATTCTCCCTTTAGTGGGTAAGCCGTGTTTTAAAAAGGGATATAGGTTTAGTGGACGACAATGTGATGTTCCATATCATTGAAGCAGTTATGGAAAACAAGGACTTGTAGGAGTTGTAGGTTTACTTATTTCATTGGAAAAATGCTATAGAACAATACATAAATATATTGAGACATGTAGGATGTGGTGACTTGCTCAACAAGATTGTACAGGTCATCAAGACTTGATAATGGGATACTTTACCATGATGCCTCATAGTTTCTCCTCTAGTCACTGTAGAAGACCTTCTCCAAGACCTGTCCTCACTGGGTTTTGGCTTTTGAAAGAATATTTCTCCATCTCTCTGCTGAAACCTTAACTCTGCAATAATGTATTTTTTAATTGTAAGACGTTGTCTTGGAAGGGAAAGCTTGACGCACATAGATTCTTTTTACGGAGGTATTTATCTAGGCAGATATCTGCTCAGTTATTCAACAAGGAACCCGTAAACGAGTGGTTTTTGTTTGGTTATCTTTGGAGTTTTTTGGGGAGGGTTTTTGGTCTTTTTTTCTTTTTTTTTCTGTTCAACTAAAAGAAATGTTTCTTTATATCTTCCTAGAGAAAGTGTGGTTTTTAGACTGTGATAATCACACGTGATCCTTCTGTACACCATATCCTGAAGGAATTACACAGAAAATTGGCCAATTGCAAAGTTTTTCTGTGTTTGTAGCAGTGGTAATCTGCTAGACATCGGTCACAGCGCAGTCATTCCTGAAAATGTTAAAATCTCACATTACTTCCTAGGTTCTAGTCTCATTTTCCTGCTTGTCATTTTAGCCCTAAATTTGGATCATCTTTTAACATCAATTTATTGACTAAATTTCTTGGCAGCCTGCAGGGGAGAGCTTTTTTACCAGTGTCTTCTATATTTTAATCATTATTGCTTTTGCTTCACTTGTACCATAGTTTCTAAGCTTTTAGTTTAGGATATGTAATTTCATTGATGCAGTGCACCCTTCTTGCACAAGGTGTGGGGGTGGAAGGAAAGTGGCATAGCTGGGTAGGGTGTGATGTTGGTGTAATACACACAGCTCCAGCATTATGGTGGCACAGACGGCACTAGTGTGGGGGTATTTCCATTTTTTTGGGGGTGTATTTGTTACAAGCCTTTCCCAAAGCAATTACTTTTAGCAATATCTCATTGCAAAGTGCTTAACGTGTCATAATTAGATGGCTCTAAAGCTTTGTTCAGAATGCTTTTGTTTAAAAAAAAAAATAAACAAAAATAAAAAAAATCCCTTTTTAATAGTCTGTTTTTTCTTATTTTAATATACATAATCTAGTATTGGCCCATACCACCTTATTAGACCTTCTGAGAGATGCTTAGTTGAAGTCACTCTGGAGGTGCAGTCACTTCCTTATTGTGACCCTCCTTACCATGCCGGTACTGGACAGATCAGTGACTGGACAGGCTCTATATGTGTTTCCCACAGCTGTCTCTCTGTAATCAGCCTAGCTATTTCAGAGTTTGGATTATATTTGTGAAATCTATTCTGAACTCATCTGTATCACATCCTCCAGTTCAGTAAAATGTTGTAGTCCTGCCAATAGAAAACGGTCATGTTGGGAGTAAACATGTGTTGCTGTCATTTGTTTGATAGGGTTGGGACAACACCTAAAAAATTATGTTTACATCCTGACAGGTGTGGGGTTTTTTGGTGTTACGTTGAAATGTGGCAATATGCTACTGTGGATAGCTGAAGCATTGTTACCATGAAATGCAGGCTAGAGATAGAGATAGATATATATATATATATATATATATATTATTTTTTTATTTTTTTTAATGCACACAGCCGTTTGCTATTCCTTGGATGTCTGGGTTTATGTAGTAATCATTATTTGTACAGGTTTGCTGGTTGCAGGCCTCTCTTCTCAGATAAGAAATTCAGTAAAACAGTAACTGGGGGAATTGGGTAGCACACTTTTCTAAATGTCAATAAGTGGTGTCTGGGAGGTTTGCTTTTGAAAACCTCATTAAATCTGTGTCAAATGTGAGTGACCGAGTTGAACCAGAATTTTGAAAACTTTGGTTATCTTTAGGTATGCCGTCAAAATTTCCACTAGCCGCTGGTGAGTGCAAATGTAGCTCTGGTGAGTTGGCCGTGGTCTTACCAGGCTTTCTGTGGCAAATAACTTTAAGACCTGGCCAGTAGTGTAGAACTTGATTTTAAGCCCTGCTGTGTAATTTATTCAAACCAAATTTACTGACCAGATAATGTTTTTTTTTTTTTTTTTCTACCTAAATCTTTAGCAATAACTTCTTGAATTGAGGTAAAAGGATAATAGATTGGTATACATTCAGTCTGTTTCTTCCAAAATGAATGCAGTATGTTCACCTCCTGGCTAATCAGTTGAAATAAGTGATAGGCACGCCAGTTAGTTTTCACATGAAAGCTGTCACATTGTCACAATGCATGGATCATGGAGTTCTTTGCTATTGATTGCCATTGGCTACACACAAATGCACATAAACCATGTCTATTGCAAGTCAGATTCATCAGCCTTAAGCTTGAAGTATGCAAGTACCAGTTAAAGGTAAAATATAAGGTGTCTAAAGTACATGCAGTGCTTCCATAACTCTTAGTGCATTGTGAAAACAGCCCTGTACCGTAAATGGAGTATTTCACGTTTTATTGTACTTTAATCTGTGTGATTTTAAGTAAAGTTGCCATATGTAACTTTCCTATGCTTGCTCTCTTGTAGAATTCTATACGTCACAACCTCTCTCTGAACCGATATTTCATCAAAGTACCACGATCGCAGGAAGAGCCTGGTAAGGGATCGTTCTGGAGGATAGACCCAGCATCCGAGAGCAAGTTAATAGAGCAAGCTTTTAGGAAACGAAGGCCAAGGGGAGTACCCTGCTTCAGGACACCTTTAGGACCCCTTTCATCAAGGTAACAGGATGTGGATCTGTCTGAACTCCTGCAATGCACATTGAGATTTAAACATCCAAAAATATACAAGAATAATCGGGATGTGTAGATGACTTGATTCACTCCATATGTGAATTCACAGAGGGAGGACTAATTGTTTCTGTCTACACTATCACAGTACAGTTGAGATAACTTTGACCTGTCAAGGAAACAATAATGTTGTTCAATTCTCTCTACATATCGCCCTCTTCTGTTGTACACTGGTATTGATAGCTTTCACATAGAGTAGTATGGAAATTTATTTTATTTTTGTTTTCGCATTGAATGGTTATCATTCATATTATGACATGTCCACAACAGGAGAACATATAAGCAAGAGAGATTGCCATCACAATATGTGGCATGACCAGAATAGTGTCAGTCCTTATATTGGCTTCCTGTATCCTAAGAGTCAATTCAAAATGCCATACCTATAAAGCACTGAACAATTCTAGCCCCTCTTATATAGGCCATAGGTATGCCCCTTCTCGGTCTCGCCACTCTGCCCGTGACCACCTGTTGTCCTGTTCCTATGGAATAGCCTGCCTACCACCATCAGACTCTCCCCTAGTCTTCAATCATTTAAGAAGTGCCTTAAAACCCATCTCTTTAGGAAAGCTTATGGCCTCCCAGAGTAACCTCTACCTCGCATACCTGTCTCTTGCTCTCTCCTAAAGGGCAGCACTCTACACTCTCCTCCAGCTCTGCTTCACTCCTACCTTATTTGGTTGTTGTTTCCTGTCCCAATGTGTTTTAGACCCCACTTTCTTTGGACTGTAAGCTCGTTTGAGCAGGGTCCTCTTCGACCTATCGTTCCTGTAAGTTTTCTTGTAATTGTCCTATTTATAGTTAAATACCCCCCTCATAATATTGTAAAGCACTACGGAATCTGTTAGCGCTATATAAATGGCAATATGTTGTGGAAACAAAATCTTCTAATAACCGGTTATGCTAACACAACTTATAATGCAGTCCCCACTGATTTAGTCTATGAATTCACACTTTTTTTTCCCCCCCTAATTTTTTCATGCTGTTAACTCACAAATTTTTAAAAAAAATTTTTAGTCTCTCTCCAGGTTAGAAATGTTGAATTTAGTGATGTAATGAAACTGTATTGTCACAGACCTCAAAGTAATTACACAATACATAAACCTATAACATCTTTTATGAAGGGATACAACAAGCACCATGACCACTTCAGTGATCGGAAGTGGTCTTATTGCTTTAGAGTCTGTGCAGCATTTCGCTGTGAAGTGATGCACTTACACATTTTGACAACAAAACACATTTCTCTAACAGCACCTCCAGCAGTCATTCCATGAATTCACTAGTTCTGCTTATTAGATTGTGTTTGCAAATTTTTGACCAGTATATTTGTACATTAACTAGTAGATGATAAGTATCCTCCAATATCTTTCTCTGAACAGGAGTGCACCGGCCTCTCCAAACCACTCTGGAGTCTTGTCTGCCCATTCAAGTGGCGTCCAGACCCCGGAGAGTCTGTCTAGGGAAGGCTCTCCAGTCCCTCTGGATCCAGAACCTAGCACCATCCAGCCAAAGCTCGCAGTCATCCAGGAAGCGCGGTTTGCACAGAGCGCTCCAGGTATAATGCACAATATGGGATGCCTCTTACGGGTTTCTCTGAAAGTTAGTACCACTATACTGTGTATGCTTTATATTTCTGTGAATGAAATTACCATGGCAAGGTAATAAAGTACCAGCAGCTGGCTGCCAGTAGAGACAGAAAAGAGGTGTGTAATATGTATAATATTTTATTTTTTAATTTTTTAAAATAAAAAGTAATAGTGGTTTAAAGATGGATGCAGTTCCTGTGCATGTCTTCTTTGATGTTGGGATCTTGGCTCCATTTTGCACTATATATGCTTTTTTCTTTCTTTTTTTTTTTTTTTTAAATACTTTCAATGTGTGTGTGCATACCCATACAGGACAACTCAGCTCTGTCTCCAATTTCAGCTTCAGCTATAGGGGAGTCCCATCTCTATAAACTAAAGGATGATGATGCATGCATTCTAGCCTCTTGGTTCCCCACCCCATCTCTGTCCACTGAAGTTCAAGCTATTGGCTGTCCTGGGCCTTCACAAACTGCTCCCTTTTATTCCTTTTGGCAGACAGCTGATGTATCAAAACTACAGCCTCTCGGTGAAAATAAAGTTAATCCTAAGCAAGAAAGAACAAATGTGGGGGGAAGAACATAGCTTCCATAATTGTTACTGTACATCAATCTAGTTGTTTTGTGTTGATGGGTAAATGTACTGTCCCTTTAAACCGGAGTTGGTAGTAAGTGTACTGTCCCTTTAAACCCAGTAACTTAAATCAACAATGGCTTGACTGCTTCACAAAACCCCCCATGAGATAGTTTTTGTGTTTTCTTTCCAGGGAATGAAACGTCTGGTTCCTGATTACTTGTTAATATTTCCTTTTGCGTTTTCAGGATCTCCACTCTCCAGCCAACCAGTCCTCATCACTGTGCAACGGCAGCTCCCACAAACCATAAAACCGGTCACATATACAGTGGCCACCCCAGTGACCACCTCCACATCCCAGCAGGCGGTTATGCAAACTGTACATGTTGTGCACCAAATCCCAGCAGTATCTGTCACCAATGTGACCGGCTTGACACCTATCAATACCTACACGGTCGCAGGGCAAGCTGTGGTTGCACAGGCTGTGATGGCCCATCCCAAGCTAGAACCACATGAGAATGGTGACCACAAGGAGGTTAAAGGTATATCTAGAATGTCATAAACTACCTAGAATTTATTAATGTGTCTGTGCTGCATGGTAATAAGATTCAAGAGATGAGTGAAGTCAGGATGTTGATGTTGTACCCCAACAAAATTCTCTGTTACTTTGCAAGACACTTTATTAAGCAGCTACCCTACTAACCGTACTGCTCTTATCTTTGTATCATACATTTTCTATTGACTGTTTATGATGCTTGTTAATTAATATAAAGCACGTTTACACTTAGGACAAATTGGGACAAAATTATAAAATTAGTTTTACATTTTAATTTAAAATTTCCTTTATAACTGCATAATATATATTTTAGTTTTACTCTCCGGGACTAGAGATTGTAGATCTTTGTAGCAGCTCTTAAACTAGGCCACATTTTTATTTTTTTTATTTTTTTTAAGTCTTTATTTTCCTTTTTCTTTTCTCTCTAGTTAAAGTAGAAGCTATTCCAGCAATTGGCCATCCTGCGCTTACTACAGCCAGTAGGATCATTCAGACCTCCGCCTCTGCTCCCCTCCAAACAGTTACTATAGTTCAAGCTCCTCTAGGTCAACACCAGCTTCCAATTAAAGCAGTAACACAGAATGGGACACACATGGTTCCCATCACCACTGCCATTCAAGGACAGGTCACCACAGGTGAGAGAGATACTGACCTCTTTTGGGAAATGCTACTTTGTGCTCAGCGTTAAGGCTTAGTGCTAAAAACATGTTACAAATTGGGCAAGTAAACAGCCACTGCCTCCTAACTATAGCTCCATTAGATAGCCATCCTGGCCGCAAGGCCCGTAGTAGTGGCTTTTTACTCGCACTCCAAACTAAGTTTAATTTTAGAGACCATTATCAAGCATTCAGAATGGTCTTGTGGTGCTCCTAATCAGTTATGTCCCACTGACTTTGTGTGTTAGTTACTTTTGTTCAAGATGTACAATTGGTTGAGGCACTTGGCTGTTTAAACTAGGCGGGGCCGACAGGAAGCCTAGTTGGCGTTTGATGGCTTTCGTTTTATCACGGTTGTGTCCTTTAAGCTACATAGCCACCGGTTGGTCACTCCTGGGTTAAACGGCTGGTAAGTATCTGTTTTTTGTATTCAAAACAGTTAAGGGTATATTTTACAGCCTTAACAAGAGTAAAAACTGCTTTGATAATAATTGGGCATGCCCATGAATGGTATTACATTGCCAGTCATGTCTTATTACAAGCAATATCACCCACATTAATGGGGCTTCAGTGGCCATAGGAGATATTGATTGGCTGAAATACGCGTCTAACAGAACTGAACACGTAACATTCTTCTAATAAGCAAGTTTAAGTTCCATTAAGTTAAACTGTGCAATGCCTGTACTGGCCAGCATTTTGATATGAAGGCCTGCACATTATTCAAGTAGCTTGGTATAGGAATGTTATTTTATAGTCACTGGTATATAAAATATAGAACATGTGGACCGCGAACATGGCAGCCACACACCCTAATTCTATATCTAAGGACTAGACGTTCACCATTTGCAAAGACTCACGATCACACCAGATACATGTATAGTATATATTTTATAATCTATAAAGCTGGTAATACCTTCATGGACATTAAGACCCATACTATGTATGTAATAATATACAAACTGCTGGGAAATCTGAATACCACATGTTTAGTTTGCTCACATACATATATAATACTTGTCTAGATGGGAGCATTTTACGAACAAGTGGGTGTTGGCAAAAGATGGTAAATATCGGGGTTCTCCTTAGCCGCTTGATGATAATACTCCAAGCCTGTAAACCAGAAGGTATTTATATGTGTATGTGACCGGTAAAGCTTAACTGCACATGTGGGATCAAGTTGGTAGGGGGTCAGATTTGTGTTGGTTGAGCAATCATGTCCCCATCCAATCAGACACCCCACCCTATGTTATCCTTCTTCTTTCCCTTACTCCGTGTAAATTTGAGTATCCCGGGACAGGTGATTTTGTCCCCTTCTAAAATGCAGTCCAGATCTTTAGCTGAATATTTTTTTCAGCTAACTCCAACTACTCGCTGATTGAGAGCCCCTGGCAGTGGAGAGGAAATGGAACCAGAGGTAGGACTGAACCATGCATCCGTCTGTTTGTTCTCTTTGGTCTTTTCTTTCATGAGGGATGTTAATGCAATGTTACTGTAAGACTTGTTTGTTGTGCGGAGGCTGTGTGTGTGTTTCTATATCAGTCTGAATGCTGATGCACACTTATGTGCAACATTGAGGTGTGATTTTGTTGCTAGGTAAGCATGAAAGAAGCATGAGACTCGCAGACTGTGTTCTTGAAGCTTTAGCATGATCCAGTGAAATATGACTGCTGGATTATGCTAAAGGATCACCGTAATCACTTCACCTTACTGAAGTGGAATGGTACAAATAACCTGCCGCTGCAGCCTTTCTTTGAAAAAATGTTTCACACTGAAGATAAAAAAAACCAACTTATTTCTTAGGGTAGGGCTGTCTATTTATTCACAACCTAACATTTAAAGCCTGTAAACCTTTTCCTGCAATACAAAAATAAAACATTATAAAAATAAATAAATAAACCAGCCAGTACAGTGCCTGGATGGCCATATCCGTTTCAGTTTCTCCCTTTGACTCTCACATGGCTAGGAGTAGGCCCGTGCCAAGAGCAGAAGCATAGTAGTTGCATGCCCTGCTGAAAATGTCCATCGCTATAATGCTCTGTGAGGTTTTGCTTGTACAAATAGAAATCCAGCCGGTATACCACCGTACAAAAAGGAGCAGAATGAAAAACACTGTACAACTTGGCAAACAAATGCAAATAGAAAAAAAAAAAGTAATGTATAAAAATACATGGCATACATACCCAAATGTACAAAAAAAGGAACTGCCGAATGCATTTTGTGCATAATGTGCACTAGCTAATAGACCTGAGAAAACCTGTCTGCCTAGTAGAAGTTAAAAAAACGACAGGTGGAATGGCATGCTCTGGCAACATCTCGCGAAACTGCTTATGTAGAATATAAATGTAATCCATCTCATCTGGTGGTGGGATAAAATGGCATTTTAACCAAATCGGACATAATGTATCTTCCCATTACATCAGTTTTTTTTACATTCCAAAGGTATGTCTTTATTAATGGCCACAATGTTTTATATTACATCGGTTTTCTTTTTTTAATATATATTTAATATTCCTACAAATAATACCGGTCATAACTAAAACGGTGATTTTTACAAGAACACAGTTTGTAGGATATAAGTTGGGGGAGGGAGGGGACTGGAAGCCTGCCGCGTGTGTTTGTTGAGAAAACTATTACACAGAACTTAAGATTGGCAAAAGCAATTCTTGTTGTCCAATGTGTCTAACCTCTATTTTTTTTAATATCTCCAGTATATATTCATGTTTAACTTGATAGGTATAGCTGAATGGTGAAACGCCTTACACATCAGCTCAGCATTTTTAGTTAGAGGTGTTTAACTCGCTCCCTCTTGCTGAACGATTTCTCCCATAATTCCTTGCTAGACTATGGCTTGCCCAAGTGAGGTACATTCTCCAAACCTCCAGTAGGTGTTCTGAATACTTACCATGGAGCCTCATTGACTTGGAATGCAGTGTAGATATTCAGTGTTGCAGTTGACAGGGATTTGAAATAATAAAAGCTAGAGTCCAGAGGTTTCCTTATTTCTCTGAATTTAACTTTACCTTGTATTTGCTGGCAATGAAAGGCTCTATAAACGCTTCCAATACAAGCTGTTCTATAGTCACATGAGAGCCTAAAACACATATTTAAAGAAATTGTCTATTTTTTTTCGTCAAGTAATTAAGGAAGGGTTAGTTCTTCAGAATGGCTGACAGGTAGTGCACTTTTCATTGGTATTAGTTTTTGTTTTGCTGTTTCATGTTAAAATACCCATCTGTCAGCACACATTGATAACTGGCTTAACCCTTTTGTTTCCTTTCAGCCGCAGCAAGCCCTCTACACATGCTGGCGACTCACGCCTCTGCGTCCGCCTCTCTCCCAACCAAGAGGCAGAACGGAGACCAGTCCGACCAGCCGGACCTAAAACGAAACAAAGTAGATGAACGTGAGGATTTAGTGATAGCCGTAAACCGAGAAGTCAAAATGGAGGGAACCACAACATCAAATGAACAGGACAACCAAAAATAGGATCCGTGGCAACTTTTTTCTTTTTCTTTTTCTTCTTTGTTCTATCATTGTTTTTTGTAAGTTACATACACAAAGAAACAAAACAGAAAAAGGTGCCAAATGCAGACACTCTTTATCGAACAGGGCCCTGTGGAAAACAAAACTTTATAGATCAGCACTGAAAAAAAAAAACACAGGTGGCCTTAAAAACTACAATTAACAATTTCAGAAAGGAAAAAAACACACAAATGATGTAGGTTTTTTCCCATTTTCCTGGTTATCTTAAGGCCGTCCCCCCTTTCCTGCTCGTTCGGTGCACACAATTGGAAGTACGCCCTAGTATGGAAGGAGACGGATTTTTTAAAACAAACTACGTTCACTGATGCGTGGTTACTCATTTTGTTTTGTATTTTCCTTTTACGTACTGAGCACATCATTGTGGTTCGCATGATAAGTGCTTGTTGTGGACTGGATGAGAAATAAGAGTATATTTCTTTAAAGGGAGAAGCTATAATTTCCATCTCTTGGCAGCTAGCCTCCTTTTATCCCCCCTTTCAGAGCCAGGCAAAAGCTCAGTCTTGGTTGTGAACGGGCTTATATACATCAGATTGCATCTGTTTGCTGGACACATGGATTTAGGATTTTCATTTCCCAGCAAACAGACGGGTCATACATTTCGTCGTTTCCATCCACTCCAGTTCTACAGCTACTTTATTTTGCAAAGCCAAGTTCTTTGGATGTTTTTTGATTTTGGTCAAACTGAATGTAGTTTATATTATTTTGAATTTTTTTAATTTCTTCTTTTTTTTTTTTTCTGTATTTGTTTTTAGTCCCAGTAGCCGCTACATCTTACACCTGCAAGATGTATGTTTTGTTGGTTTTTTTTTTTTTTTATATATGAGTTGTGTGCGTTTTTTTATCCTCTTCATATTTTATTCTGACATGACCCCATATTTTTTTTCTGGCCATTTTTGTGGTGATTAAAAACAAAAGCTTCTTTTGAGCGTGCATGTAACAAGACTCTTGGGAAGAAAAGGAAAAAGAGAAAAAGTAAAGTAAGAGACATTTAACAAATTGTAAAGAAACTGCTATGAGTTTTGATCAGAGCTGCACTTAACTCCTTGCCCCTTCTGTTCTCTGTTTCCCTGGCCTAAATATCCTGTCTTTCACCCTTCCTCCCACTACTTCTAGAGTAAAGAAACTTGCTTAATATTGTGTATGTTTAAATGGCAGAACCAGCTGTTAAGCTCCCACTTAGAGACGTAAAACAGACCAACAAAAAAAACAAATGACAAGACATCAAGAAGAAAACAAAAGCAAAAAATAAAAAAAATCGTAAAGCAAATGTCTCCAGGGTACAGTCAACATTTTTACATATTAAATAACAATGAGGTTTTGGCTCTCAGCACCTTGACTAGGACTTTTTAAGAGGTTTTTGTTTTACTTTTAACATGTTAATTACCAATATAATAATGGAAGCCCTGTCTGTTCGTGTCACGAATGTGTGTGTGTTTTGTTTTTTGTTTTTCTTTGTTTGTTTTTGCCCCTTTTCCCTCAGTGGAGGTCCACAAATCTTTTAAACAGTGGGCTATTTTTATTGGCCAAGCTTTATTCAAGCTCTTGGTGTCCACCAAAAATGTACAAAGATTTTTTTTTTTCCCCCTATCATGTTATATATGCCGTTGGGTTTTATTCTAAACAGCAGATGTTCGACCTGTAAACACTAGCTTAAAAAGTTTGGACCATTACAAAAAAGTCTGTTGCCTAATTCAAGTACAGCAGGGTTGATTTTATTTATTCCTATTTTGTGTGTGATTTGGGACCATTAAAATATTTTGTACTCTTGAAATGAATAAAGCCAGGAGTATGACATTTCACATGAAAAATCTGCTTCGTTGTAGACGGTTTAAGTGTGTAAAAAAGGCAACATTTCTGTGATTATCTGCATCTACCAACAGACTTGAATTTGACAGCATCTCTGCGGAAGCACGTGTGGTTTTAGTCCTCCTTGCTCCAGTAGGGATAGTCTATAATCCCTGAAATGAACAAAGAAAACGTTACCTGCGCTCTGGCCTAAATCCCCATGTGCTTTTAAACAAACATGGAGGCTCTTTAGTTTTATTCTAATGGCCATTTGAATATATAAGCTCACCTGCCACGTCAAGGCAAGCCTCAATAGGTGAGTTCCTACACTAGCCATTAGATATGCTGATATCAGCCAAGAGTCTCCAGTGAGACAGGAAGGGGTATTTTATAAACCCTTTAACCCTTTATAGGGCTTCTGCACATACAGTAAACTTTGCTGATATCAGACAAAGTGAGACAAAAAGGGGTGTTTTATAAACCCTTTAACATTTAACCCTTTATAGGGCTTCTGCACATACAATAAACTTTGCTGATATCAGACAAAGTATAGACGTCTCTAATGAGACATGAAAGGGTGTTTTATAAACCCCTACATACTTTACCCTAAATAGGGCTATAACATACAAATCACCTTGCTGGTATGAGCTAAAAGGCAAATTTCTCTGAGACAGGAAGGGGTGCTGCCCCTACATACTTATAAAGTCTTAATAAGACAAACGTGGGAAGGCTGGCAGCAATGTAACATAGCTGAGTGATACAAAATTCATATACAAACACAAAGATAAAGCACCGCGCTTACAGCAGCAGTGGCTTAGTAATCCCTGAAATGTTCTTGTAAATTGGTTTGAAAGGCACCAAGATGGGTTTTGGTTGCACTGCAGTTTCCGTTAGGGCCACATGTACCTTAATTGTAAGCTGGAACCCCCCAAAAAATTAAGTGAATTTTACATTTTGGACCAAAATGAAAACACAGCCTTGAAGAATGTTTTTTTTTTTTTTTTTTTAAAGTTATTTTGACCTTAAATTTTATTACTATAACACCAAAGCTTATATAATATAACTACTTTTTATCGTGTAGGGAAAAACCAAACCTGTCAGCAGCGTTGATTCCTTATTGAAGCCTCAGTCTTAAACAGAATTGGAGAAGCAGAGCGGACAGGCACCACACTGAAGACTTTAAGGTTATACCGTTGGTTAAAGCTGGCACCCAGGACCTCTTCACACCATAACAATTCTGATTATGTTATTGGGTGTGGAGTGTTCCTTTTAATCAAGAATTAGGAAAATCTATTAATCAGCTGTCAAATTGGTTACATTTAGTGTTTGTTAAATATACATTGGAGGAAAAAAAAAACCTGCATGGAGAAAACGTATCAAACTGTTGCTGACACTTTCACGTCTAATTGTTGGTGAATGTTTTTGGTGCAATGAATTCATTTAATCTCAATGTAAGGACCAGGGTGCAGTGGTCCTGTCCCCTTTACACTGCAATGTAATAATTGTTTGGGAAACTGCAATGGTTTACGCTGCTGGGTTAAGTCCACCTCTAGTGGCGGTCGGTATGACAGCCACTAGAGGAGCTTCCGCAGCACAGACCTAATGATACTCTGCTTTGCAACTGCAGTTTGTGGATTGAGTATGCAATGAGATAGCAGATAGCTTTGAATGCTGTGGTTGGTGTGGTAATCGATTTCCAGTCCAGTCACCAGCAGGCTTTGTGATAAGTCTCATCAGCTGGAGTCGGTGAGGAGTTCTTGTTTAGCAGCATTTGACCCCACAGTGTGGGTTCTGTGTCACAGGAAATGACTGTGTAGTTCAGGTTAAGGGGCTCTAGTCCATAGAACCACAGCTCTTATCAGATCAGGGATGAATGACCTCAGACATTAGTAGGTAGTTAACCAAAGGATGTTTTTTGGGTTGTTTTTTAACCCATTAAGGAACAAACTTAAAGAAAATGCAACTACATACCACCAAGGACTGTCAATTGCTTTTCTGCTTCATGCTGAAGTGTCATCTAATAGGTCATTCCTTTGTGGAATATGCCCTTTAGAACACAGATTTTTCTGGTTGCAAATATAATCATTAGTTCTTAAGAGTTTAAATTAAATCTGAGTGGACCAAAGCTGGCCCGAGTATTGGTGGTTTGTCTTTAGCCAATACATTGGTCTCTAGTAGCTCCCTATAAACCGCATGAGGACTTCGAAAATACTGAATGGTGCCATGCCTATACTTGTGTACAATTTTAGGAAATACAAAGCTGTTTGTTTTGTTCACAATAATATGCTAATTGGAATTGATAAAAGACCAGGAATTGGCTGAGCTGGGCATTTGGTAGCTGTAAACTGCAGAGGTGCTCCAAATCCATGGAAGATATACAAAAACACAAAATGCACTTTAGTCTTGATTGTATTATATGTGTGTGAAATGCATTCTGTGTAGCTTTACAGGAAGCTGTAGGGCTGCCGAATTACAGACTTGAAAAAGCAAAGTCCGATAATTCATATCCAGCACGACGAACAGTCCACTCAGATTACTATTGGATATTTGTGATTGAAATGAGTGGAGAATTGTATCTCCCCCTCCTACCTGTTAGGTATCCTATTATCCAGACAATGTTTTAATATCTCAGATTGTTCAATTTACTTGGCCATTAAAAAAATAAAAATAAAAAAAAACTACACTGCCCACATACAAAATAAATATCCCTGTGTAGTAGATGTGCCCAAAATGAAAACTTTCTCGCATTTAATTCTGCATTTTTTTCATTGGAGTTTTATATCTAAAAACTATTTTTCACAACCTGTATTTCGTTTGTCTCTTTCTAACCCCGCACAGACTTTCTGTGTCTGTCCAATCAGACCTCCCAAATGCAGCTCAATGAGAAGTCATTGCAAGGCAGGTGCTCTCAGCAATTGCTGCCTCTTAAATATTCTCCATTTCTATTGAAATCTGCACTTTTTGCGGAAGGGAAACATGACCATTGATAAATTTCATACTCCTTGCTTTTTTTGTTCCAAGACTATAACCTATTCTGGTAATATTAGGTGGTGGCTAAATTTACATGAAAGATAACAAGAACTGGTTACATGTTTCTGTGTATCGAAGGGGGGAACCTTTTTTATTTTATTTTTTAGTGGGAAAAATATTTGAATGAAAATTTTCTGAGACTGTGGCAGTATATAGTTCCCACATCTCCTTTCCAAGCTGGTGGTGATGGAATGATTTCTGGTAGGTTAGTTTATGTAGCAGTGTACCACTGCATTTTCACTGTTAAAATGTGTTTGTTTGGTTTTTTTTTTTCTTTTAGGGAAATGAAAACTTGTTTGCAATTACATTTTAAGCAACAATCTTGATGGATTAGTTTAAACTCTTGCCAACAGGCACTAATTAGAACTATAGAAAGTTTAGCTGTAATTGGCAATTAAAGGTCTCACTGGTTGTGTGGAAGGACCTGCTTTAACTTACACAACAAGCTTTCATTTTAATTTCCTTTTTAAAAGACCGAAGGGTGCACCATTTTTTGTTTCATGTAATGTAAATGTGAAGGCAAAGAATATGCGACCATAGTATGTTTATCTGTAATTTAGACACATTTAGTATTAATATGGCCCGATTTGGAGCTCTCTGGGATTCTGCAATAGGGTTGGATAGAATAAGTGTATATTTTCTGTCCATAGTGTAAAAAGGGTATGGTCACTTGCTGGATTTTCTAAATGATTTTTTTTTTTTTTTTTTTTACTGATCCTCTGTTTAAAGCTCCCCTTTATATTATTCCCCTTTTATCGCAATGATTACAGTATCTCCCTTGTCTTTAGATTTCTTACTTGCACCAGATGTAAATAGTGGCCAAGTCCTGCCTTTCCATGTTTGAGTATTTTTATATTGTAAGTAGTCTCCAAAAGTAAATCCAAGAACTCTTAAATATGTTTTTTGGGGACTAGCAGTTGATTAATAGAAAGATTCTGAATAATCCTTCTTGCTTTATTGATGTTCCTGACAATATAGCTGCCGACAGACATTTCTTTAACACAGCCTGTTGACAGTATTGATATTTCAAATAATTTATGTGGCATTGCTATCTACTAAACACATACACAGAGACCCACTGACATACACACATATTTAGTAATTGAGGTCCACCCAGCCTCCCTGTCTTGCTCTGGGGAGGCTAAAGTGCATCCTCACCCTGGTAGCCACTGGTTGCTTCTGTGATGGGATCACTATGCTCTTCCTGCTCAGATCCCTCGTGCACCCAGTAGTGATGCCAGGATGTCATATCCCAGCTGCCAGCTCACTGCAGTGCAAGTGAGGGAGCTGTGCATAGAGCACAGTATGTAATGGCTCCCTCACTGCCCGGCTGGCAACTGGGCCGCATTGCGAGCAGCTCAGGGCATGCGTGCTCTAAAGTGAGGGTGTTGCCAATTCTGGGCTCGAGAAATCCCCGCAGCCAGGTTGCCATGGTGATAAGGATTTGTTGGCCCCTTGATCCCGAGGTGGTCAGCCGCCTCTGAGTGGAGGGAGGCGGGCGGCTGACCGTCCCATAAAGAGCATGGGCATGCGGTTGGCCTGGCTAAAGGGAGAGCATTTGCGGACGGCTAGCCATCTGATAGAGATCGTGGGGTGTTAGGCACGGGCTGGAGGATTGAGACAGACGGGCAGGCACACAAGGGAGCTGTTACCGCCCTCCCTGCTCCCTCGCGTGCCCTCCACTGATGCCCGGAGCCAGAATATAACAACACTCTATGGAGCAGAGCAGGGAGGTGACTGAAGCCCCCACTGGACCTCAGGGAAAGCCGAATTACTCCAGGTAGGGAGGCTGAATGGACGTGTGGGTTTAGGTAACAGGTCCCCCTTCAATCACACGTGTGTAAGGGGTTTTTACTCACCTTTTCCCCCTGGCCCTGTCTCTGTGACTGCGATCATTAATCTTGATGAGCTCAGCCAATCCAATGCTTTCCCGTATGAGAGCAGTGGGAGGCTATTGCGCATGTGTGGCAAAACACCATGCTGCGCCAATCAGCATCTCCTCTTAGAGTTGAATTGATTGACAGCATCTCTATGGGGAACATTCAGCGTCTCTAAATGTAGGTGCTGCGTACTGTCCAGCACTGACCCAGGATGCATGCTGGAGGCTGTCTGGGTGACTTTAACTAGAAGTGTTACTAGGCAGCAATGTAAATACTGATATCTGAAAAGGCAGTGTTTACATTGAAAAGTGTGAAGGGACAGGTTATAGACAAGAGAACAACTACATTAAGCTGTAGTGGTTCTGGTGACTATAGTGTCCCTTTAAAAAAAAAATATATATATATTTAAAAAAAAATTTGACATTGAATCTAGGAGCCAGCAAAAAAAAAAAAATAGGAGCCAGGTTTTTCAAAGTGATGTATAGATGCAGCTCGTGTCTTAAAGTGGACCGGTCTCGTTTTTCTTTTCTGTTGCCCTCTGTATGTTCATGATACTTCCCTCCTTGCCAGTTGCCTTTAACCCCTTAAGGACCAAACTAATGGAATAAAAGGGAATCATGACATGTCATGTGTCCTTAAGGGGTTAAATGTATTTAATTTTTTTTCCTTGGGCCGGATCTCGGTATGTGGGAGCAGCTATTTTGTTCTCCTCTGTCTGTGATGTGTTTTCCTTCTGTGGGCCTGATTGTACTGATGAATTGGGGGTAAATTTGATTAGCTTTAATCTCAGTGCTCCGTTTTGTCAACCTGATTCCTAATAGAGGAAGATGTAGTAGTCCCTGCTTTTCTTTATTCGTTTAATTAAAACTAGAACTCTATGGAAATAAAGAGATTAAAGCAGATTAGTTTAATTTTGGTGGCAGCCACTTTAACAGCATGATCTGAACTACAACGCAGTTTGCACTAGGAGGAGAGAGAGGACACCCAACAAGATAAATAATGAGGAAATATCACTGCTTGTTTGTGGTTTCTGGGACTGGCTTTAGCCAGGTGGTGATTACAAGCAGCTCATTATGTGCAGTGAGGGGTTGAGCTGTGGACATACACCGTTCAGGTAGTATTTCTGGTATGGGGGGGTGTAGCTAAGGGGATAGTTTTATTGTTCAGCATTCTGCAATACACTTACACTCTCTCTCCCCCCCCAATGCTGTAATTTCTATTAAGCCAACAGAAGAGTAACACATTCTGTGCAGTGGGTATACCTTCTTCCCCCTGTAAAAGTGTGCCTCTTGGTGGACTCCCTGGCTTAGAGTAGTGAGAATTTAAAAAGGAGCAAACAGGTGCACACATTGTTCAAAACCAGGGGCTTTTCAATGAGAACCTTCTAAGTGGTCGTTTGTCTGGCACAGATGCAAAAGGAGAGGGCTACAGATCTACAGTTTTTAGCAATGTTTAGATCTACCCCCCACCCCCCAATGAAAACATGCATACATTTAGTGCTACACTTTTATTTGGGATAGATACAAAAAGTTTTTATATATAAAAAAAAATTTTGATCGAAGTGTTCCAGTTTTGTGAACATTATGCATTCTCCTGATTGGAGACCGATTTAACCATGCAGTGCTGCTGTGATTAGTGAAGCTTAAAACATCTGTACTTTGTGGAAAGATTTTATATACGGACAGGCTTGGCCCATAAACAGAGGAAGCCCTATATCTATCGGAGTTCTCATTGCTGCAATCAGACTCAGTCACCGGAATTCACTTTTCAAGTAATTTTAACAATCACACAGAGGAATCCTGTTCTAGCGAGGTGCTAGTTGGCATAGATTTGTCAGCTCGAGATGTGTCTCAGCTGTGGTCTTTTTAAAGGAACACTATAGGGGGTCAGGAACAGCTCAAGATTTACAAGATTTTTTTTTTTTTTTTATTAACTGCCCTCCCCCAAATCGATGAGTTGGAAAGTGTTCTTGTAATCCTGGACCAGGCTGAACACCAGTTTTTTTTATTTTTTTTTTTTTATCAAGCACATTAGTCTGACATTTCAACCTGACATGTTCTAAAGGTATAAATATTGAGATTAACACCTCCCCCCGTCCCTTCTATCACTGCACCTGAGAGGTGAACAGGTAGTTCAGAAGAATAAATAAAAAGGTGTGATTAGTCTTTCTTTATGAAGGAGGATGTGGCAGGACGGTCAGATTATATAAACCCTTCATCATGAAATGGTTATTCCGGCCTTGCTGGGGAGCAATTTTTTATTTTTTTATTTTAGTGGCACAGTAGAGTTCAGATAACTTTACATTTTAGCAGCTTTGTTTCTCAATTCTTCTAGTTCCCTCCCAGTATGATTCACAGGCATTGTTTGGTCATGTTTTATTAAAAAGCAATAACATTTTTACAAATAAGTGTGCAAAACAAACGGAAGTTGTGATTAATTTCACAAAGCAACATGCAGGGTTCTACACGTCAAAAATAAAATTAAAATCAAAATCTAATCTACAGTTATCTGGAGTTTGACAGGGACAAAAAAAAAAGGGGGGGGGGGGGCGCACTATTCTAGAATTTCAAATTAAAGTGGTCTTACGTGCCTCACCCCTGTAGTCGGCTGGAGAGGTTTCCCAACATCTTTTAAACCAGCTGCAGCCTGCAAGTCCTGGCAGTAGATACGGGGTTAACTCACCATTCATTAAGTGTTTTTTTTAAATTGAGTTAACACTTAGTGGTTGCTCAGTGCTATGAAGGCGCTAGGTTAGTGTCACAATTACATAATTAGTCTTTAAAAATGCTTTAATGTAATAAGAGTGCCAAAGAGGTATTTAATCCCCCCCTCCCTCATTTGTTGGCATTCCATGTGTTAAAAGGGGCACCAAGGAAGCTGTATTTGCCCTTCTATCAAGGCATCTGCTCATTTCTGGCAGGGGAAGGAATCTAAGGGATTCATATCCTCACTTTAATAAAGTCTTAAAAACCTTCACTTAACTGTTAATAAAACCTTGCCAGTCATATGGCCAGGGATTCTATCTGAAAACAGGACACTCTGAAGCATTACAGAAAGTGAAATGATTTCAATGCTAAAAACCCAATATGAAAAGGTTGTCAGAGTTTTATCGAAATATAGCAATTCTGCCTGTCCCATCCTTTAGTGAGAGTAAATGTTTCCAATTCCACGTGGTCAGAGTTTATCGTCAGTCATTTCCAGAAACTGGGCGTAGACATCACGGGTACATTCTCCCTTTGGGTTAAACTGAAACTTGTAGTAGCTGCCATCTGCACAGATAGCTGAAAGAGACAGACTGGTTAGTGTGCACACGGTGAGATGCAACTAGTCATATCCTCCATAACCAAAGGCAGACCATCTCTGCAGCTAAGACAACTTATTTCTTCATATGTGCAGCTTGCCTCAAGGGTTGTAGATGAAGGTGAACAAAATGGGACTGAAGGCAGATGTTCGCGCTTAAGGAGGATTGTACAGTGGTGATCTAACTAGCTTAGATATACATTATAAACTTGTCTAAGGGTCCACCCCTGCACTCCCCCTAATTCTTTGTAACATTTACACCCGGACAACAATTACTCTATCAAGGTTATTCCGAAAGTGAATTTTATAGTCAAGTGGAAACCTGGCAATGCTTACTTTAGTGAATAATACATCTCCCCTACTACCTTCTAAGTCACTGATGGCTAACTTTGACACCATAAATTGTTTCTGGACTACATTTCCTTTGATGCTCAGCTAGCTTTTAGAGTCTAAACTATAGTCATGCTTTGGATCCCTAGCTTATTAATTTCTTTTAATGTATCTGTAACTGGATTCTAGGTGTGCCTACCAGGCCACTGCAGCTATGATAAACACACCATGTGGAGTGCAGCACAAGAATGAGAAAACAGTAATGTAGATGAGGACACAGGGATTTACCTATGACTGAACTGGGCTCTGTTCCAAAGGCACAAACACAAGGTGATCCAGAGGGAACCTGAAATTTAGAGAAACTCCACTTGGAGCTGAAGTATTTTGGGAGGAAACTAGCAGAGGCCAAACTGCAAAATAGAGACAAAAAACAAGAGAATGGAATCATTATTTGCACGTTATTTACACACTTTATCACATAATCCAATAACACCCTAGCAATGAAAAATCTTTTATATTTGCAATTTCATTACAGAATAGAGACATTCTTCACTAAACTTGAATTATTTAGCAAATTGAAATATGAATGCAAAGTATCCAATCTGTGACTAAAGTTTGGAGAATTTTCCAGACCCGCTTTTTAAACCTACATCTCGCAATGAAGATTCCAACTTGTTACAATTTGAGGTTTGATGAATAACCCTCTCATTATCTAAGCACATATTACCACGAAAGGGGGTATTAACGAACTTAATTACTGAACTTCAAGCCTGAATACACTTCCATTGAACAGAGTCGCGACTAAAATGAACCACTACTAACTTGGCAATGCAATTTACTGATACAATTAACTTCAAGTAGATTTAACCTAGAATTCTGGAGAAGACAATATGGTCTGCGTTTCGACTCAAAGTAAGAAGACGTTATTGATGGTTTACTGATGCTGGATTGTTTTCACCCATGTGTCGTATGTAAAAAAAAAAAAAAAAAAATCAAAAAAAAATCAATGGATTAAATACTGAAAACCAACATATCCTTTTAATCTAGATTTCTGTTTTTTTAAAGAAAGAAAAGTGTACTTTATCATGTGGCTATTCTTGTAACCGTACATATTTTATATAAAACTAATAGTGGACAATGCCGGGTCTTCCTGGTTAATATAACCACACTAAATACAAACTATTCTTTCCAGCCTTGGAGAGAACTGCCTGTAATTCAGAACCGTAGAGACCCACCACTCTGAACATAGGATATCCCTATACACCCCATACCTGGACTGCTTGTTTCTCTTAGGATCCTCTGCAGCGAAGACATGCACTGTACCATGATCACTTGCAACACAGATTAGAGATGCATCTTCATTGAAATTAATGCTACAAAAAAAAAAAAAGGGAATTGGTGATGGCATGTCACACGTTTGCTTGTTCTCATATATTACGTGACTATACGGATTATTATGGATTAAATACATTCATCTTTCCACGTGACGAGATTGAATTATGTACAACCTGAACATAGTTTCAAGCAGATAATGGATTAGCTGAAACTCAAACAGAATCCCTGCGAGTTTTACAATTTGATTTTTCATCTTATGCCCAACACCTGTCAAGATTACGGTTATCACCCACACAACCTCTCTTGAGAACAAATTCCACAATCACTACTGCCCTGAGAGGAGTAATGGCTGGTTCAGCATTGGGGGAAGTGTAGTGAAAGGGCCACTAAAGTCACAAACACCAATTCATCTCACTGAAGTGTGCACTGCCCTCTCTAGGATGTGCATTAGATTACCCCTCGTAATGATGTCAGAGGAGGCACCCAGGACCAAGGGACCTCTGCGCTACAATAAGGTGCATAAAGGATGGAAGAGGGACACTATAGTGTTAGGAATACAGTATTCCTTAATGGCACAGTTACTAGCCATCTCCTGCCATTACCATAGGCTATTGGAATAGTGGGAACTTTTCATTCAGCGTTTGCCTGTTTTGATGGTGGCATTGAGAAACAGAAGCTGTACGAGATAAACAAACATTATAATATAACAACCATTTCTTAACTCACCAATAAATATTTGCAGTTTGTGATCCTCGTCGCAGTTCTTGGATGAGATGTCCAGTTGACGTATCAAATATTCTTATGAGAGTTCCCTGTGAAGAAAGAATTAGAATATCACCGTTATTCATTAAAATGCGGACGGTTCAATTTCAAAGTGAATTTCAAGTTTTTAGCCAAGCTGGAATTATAGCTGCCGGGGGGACGACGACGACACACTGCTCCTGTCTACCTGGCCCCCACGCTCTGCCAAAGACTATCCATTGGTTGTTCTGACGCCCACTTTCAAGAGTTCCTTTAAGAGAGACCTGCACCGTTTCTATAGAACTCCTTTCCCTGCTCCGTTAGACTCTCACCCAGTCCCTATTCATGTCAATAAATAAATAATTCACTGAAAACACACTTCTTGCAGAAGATAGATTAATTAAACTGTTAGCTGCTTTCCCTCTACACAAGATCCACCTTCTCTCCTACAACTATATCATCTAAACAGCTAAGCCCTCATTGTAATCTCTTCGATTATATGAAGTACACCTTATCCTACTACCCTTTGGAATGTAAGCTTGTTTGAGTAGGACCCTCTGTTCCTGTATATCTAACTTGCCCAGTTGCAAATTCTCGTTTATTAGTCCACCTATTGTACAGCGTTGCAGAATTTGTTGGAGCGTCATAAATAATAATAATTCCCACAGTTCACACTTTAGTGATTAGGCCTGCATGTTTTGCTTCATAAACTGTAAACTCCTGCTAAGAAGGATACGGTTCTATTTCTTAAAGGTGCTGTTGGTAAAGCTACTTGTCCTCATTCTGTCCAGGACTTCCTCCTAATGCTTCTCATTTCTAATCCTATTATATCAATCCTCAGAATCTGATGTGGACATTGCCTGTATTGTGTCACGCCATATGTTTTTTGTTGCACATGGGAGACCCTGCATGGTCAATCCTCACCTTCTCAGACGCTGTTGCAATTCTGGTCCCTTGTAAGTTTAGGGCGATACAGCTCAGCACACCTTCATGAGCCGGTATATCTACTGGGGACTTCTCAGTGCTGGCAAGATCTACGATCTGCACGTGGCCAGTGTGAGCTCCAGGAAATGCCAGTAACGAATTATTGCTGTTTGGACACAGAACACACAATCCTGGGAGAGGGGGGAAGGGGGCAGTGTGAGACTGCTTTAGATACACAATGAGGCAAAACATATCTGTAAAGTTTACTAAACTGACAAAATGTAAAAAATAAATTTAAAAAAATGCTACTACCATCTGTTAAAAGACAACCTGTGTTAGCTTTTGGATCACTTTAAAATGGAAAGTCCATTTTAATACTGAAATAAAAGCTACATGGATCTCTGACTGTCAGAGTAATGTAGTCTTAAACCTAGGATGCAGATACATTCTTGTAACCAGATCCACCATCCGTCCAACATTACAGCCTACCTTTAGGATTGTAACATGTCTCAAAGACGTGCAGCTGATGAGGGTTGTGTGTAAATGTGAACACTTTAATCATGGAATCCAAAACTACCACAATCCTGAAACACAGAACAAAACACCTGGTCAGCGTCTGGACCCAAATCGGATGAAAAATTCACATCAAATCTCAGGATATCACCTCTGCCGCCATATTCTCTGCTAAAATGTCCCTGGATACATCAGTCCCATTAAAGAAAAATTTCTTGCAACAGAATGCTGATCTGTCACCTCATTTAAAAAAAAATAAAAAATAAAAATTTAAATTTAAAGGCATAAAATCATTATTTAAGAAAGAATACGTGACAGCAGAGGGTAAAACAAGAGCTGGATATCAGATACACACAGGAAAAACCAAGATATTCTCTAGCCCATCAGTTAATGGGAAAATTTAAAGTTTCCACTTTAAAACCAAATAAGCATATTTGTAAATTATAGAAATCCACCAATCCAACATGTGTTCTGCTTTGAACACTCGCAAATATAACTTCTGCTTTTAAAGGATTTATCTCACAAGCAGTGGATCGGTCAGACACAAGCAGCAATTCATGGTTTCAAATTGTTTGAGGAATAAACTTACTGCACAAAAACAAAAAGTGTTCCATGATTTAAAAAAAAAAAAAGGGAGGGAGGAAAACCAATGCTTGGACTAATAACTAATGAAAATGTGTGCATTTGCTTGCCTAATTGGACCATACAGATTGCATTGTATTCTTATTAGATATATAGATAGAGGGTCTATGCAGTAAACTTGGGATTGTGGAAAAATAACAAATGGAACTGCAACATCAAAGGGCACTTGCCACGTCCCAAACGACTTGTGATCATTAGACTGAGCATCAGATTCTATCTATAACTGGCGCTAGCAGTTTTGCCAACAAATATATAGATTTAAAGATAGGGTTTTCTCCCGAGGCATTGACTGACAAGGAAGAGCAGAAACGACACCCCCCCCCCCACAGGAAGTCCTTCTGCTGCTCTTCAGCTTAACAAACACAGGGCATGAGCAGTGGTTCCTATGGAGATTCCCTAGTCAGCGATGCTAGCGCCGGCTGAGGAGTATAGGAACGGAGTGACATGATTTCACTCAGTTCAATTGCCAGGACGCTGCTACATGAAGAGTACACCCACGAAGCTAAGATGGCAGCGCTCTAAGGGAGGAGAGGTGAGTAAATCTCTATATTTTACATTGAATACACCATATATCTGTGATTTAAGGTTAATAGGTTCACTTTAAGGATAAAAAGGTTGACCTGAAAACCTTTATTCAGTTTTGCCACTCTCTTAGAGGTAAAAGCTACAAACATGGAGGCACCAGTGCTTGCAAGTGCAACTGACTCCTCCCACGACGCCAAGTGCAGCATTGTGGGTCCATCCACAATGGGAATTCTGAGATGCTTTGTTTGAAGAAATAGATGCTCACGCATGCAATGTAAAGGAAATTCGTGTAACAGAGAAGAAATCTTCAGGTAAGTATCTTTGGATTGTAAGCTCAGTTGGGCAAGTCCCTCTCCACCTTCTGCTCCTGCATGTCATACATGTTTTGTTAGAATCCAATGTTTGTCTAATTGTATCAGTTTAATCTATATATTGCTGGCAATTCACTTGGCACGATATGTAGGTCAAATTAGTTCTGTAAAGAAGACACTTATCACTCCATCTTCTGCCATGTCAATATCAGCTGTGATCACTGCCAGTCTAACACTCCTATTACAACACCTCCAAAACCTATCTTTATAAAAACACAACGCTAAGCAACACTGCAGCAAATTAGTTTGTTTAGTCAAGAGGCAGGTACCTGTCTCTCCGGAGCTTCACCGCTTTCACCTCCGTGGAAAATTCTATTTCAATTACAGTTTTTTTCTTCAGGTCATCCCAGATCATCACTGTAGAGGTGCAGGGAATAGAAAAGAGGTTTAGAGAGAGACAAGCAGGGTTACTCACTAAACTCCAAACTGTAGCAAAATTAAAACTGGAATTGCAAATTTTAGCCAAACATATGCAATTTGAAAAATTATACAATTCGGCAATAACAGCAGCTTGGTTGTTTTAGGTTTAATGTTAATATCAGGACATTGATTCAACAGTTGATTTCATTTTTATGAATGAAAGTGAGAATTTAAAGTGAATCACAAATTCAAGGTACAATTAGCCGACCCGCACAAATTCAGCAATGCATCCATTTTGACTACTCTGGCCTTAAATTTGAAATTTACTTTGAATTCTCACTTTATTGAAGTACCCCGAGAGACTCAAGCTTTACAGAGAATAGTCCTCTTTATTACATGAGAATATCTGACCCCACCACACACGACGTGTTTGCCATTAGATGTGAGTTGCATATTGGCAATCCCGTATAAAGAGCCGTTCTGCGGCACAGTGGGAAACGTGGTGACTATTACTCTGTACTAGTTTTAAGACAAGGTATTAAATGCTCATGGTGCCACCAGAGGATTCATGTGGATCTCAACGGTAACACCTAGTGAGATCACCGGTTTCTACTAATTATAATCCTCGTAGCTTTATATAAAATTTCTTGGAGAGCTGAGTGCAAACACTGAAAAGATTACACTGGGCAGGATTTGATCTCCACCCGTTTAATGCGTCATAAAGACCAATAAAATGACGCTCAGTGTGTGCACGTGTCAGATTTGTAGGTTCTCATATTAACTAAATACCTGCCCTGTCCAGTTCACGGAATAGGAGACATGGCTTAATCAATGCAGCCAGTCAAAGCTCTCTGAATTATAATGGAAGTCTATAGGGAATATGCCATTGCTGCACAGAGCTTCCACACAACTGAATGAATGTGAGTACATACACACAACACTGGGATGATTAAATAAGCTGCCATGTTCTCAAACGGCGTTTAAACTCTGGAATGAATACATTGTCATTCTGCAGAACAACAATGTTATCAGCTGCATGGTTAAAACTGGGGGGATGAAGTGGTCTGGCTGCTATTTGTCTCTCCTGTTACAGTTCAAATATTACAAAGTAAAATGTCAGAATATAAAGACTTACCTTTGTTGGGAGGATACTTCGGCTTTTTCCCTCCTCCCACTAGAGCCAGGTAGTTACATCGAAATAACATCTCCACATAACCCACTCCACCCTCTAGGAATTCTTAAAGAGAAAATACAGTAAAAAGGTCTGTAAGTACGTGGAGATCTCTTTAGTACAGGATCCAGACTGTGCCATCTCACTATCCGAGCCTTGAAATCCGAGCCTACTACATCCCAAGTTATTGCAGCCCTTCTAACAAACAATGACCTTCTATCACTGCAAGGCTCGCTGAATAATACCATGGGACACCGCTTTGTTAGCAAAGATAGAGGTCTGTGCTTTGCAACCAGGCCTTACTCTCACAACACTTATACGCCAATTGCAATTACATGTACTGTGTGGACAACAAAGGCAAAGTCTCAACCAGCACGATGCCTTGTGTTCACAGTTTATACTTTCAGAGGGGTCTCTGGACCTCCATTTCCATTCCTTAGCAATTCAACTTTGCAGTAAGTCCCTAATAAGGGACACTGTGCGCTAAGGGAGGTGATATATTAAGGTAGGTATCTGTAGCTCCCAAAGACAGGAGTAACAATGATGTCAACATTAAAGAATGCTTTGTATAAGACTTCAGATGAAGGGTCTCCTTTATTGTATCCTGCAGAACAATAAAATAAAAATAAATTTTAAAAAATGACAAAATCCAAAGCTCACTATTTGTCACGTGCGTGGGCTATAGGCCCAGCCGAGACAGTGGGGAGAGTGTGGAAGTGACAGGGTTAATGACACCAGACCCCTGGTTACCTGTTGCTAGTCCCAGCAACCACTCAATTAACCCCTGCAATCCCTTCTACACTATCCCCCTTAGTACTACTGCCACCACCAAGACTTTTAAACCCGGGCGTCTTAGGTTACCCCACACACAGGAGAATTATAGTATCACAGTTCTACTTTTACTGATAAAACATATATAGTTAACCCCTTTTGGTAACGTGTTTACCTGAGCTTTCCTCTGGAGAGTGAAGCTCATAGAGAACAGAGACACAAGCTGATTAAGTAAACATTTAATCTGACAAAAAGGATTCACAGTGCTGAGTACAAAATACAGAAATAAATGACATACAGAAAACAAATTGCAAAACAGTACATAAAATAAAATAGGAGAAAACACAAGAAATTCCTTACATATATTTACCCCATATAGAATTCTTGTGGGAGTCTTAGATGGTATAGATCTCCTAGAAGTTACTGACAAAAAGAAAAATGAATAACTGACTTCCCTGGATAGTCCAACACCCTCATATATCTAAACTAGTTGTTTCTCAGTGGGCAGACCCCTGGGGGGGGATCAGAGGGGGCTGGTCTGGCAGTCTATTGCCCACTCTATGAAATTCCTTGTGTCCAGCTCTGGTGATGGCTATCTAGATGTTTTATGGTCTAGGCCTGGTGCAAGATCAAAGACCACAATAAATGTCATCCCAAGGTTTACAAAAACACAACTCTTAACATATATAAACACACATCAAACACCAACTCATGCTTTTGGCATGACACTATTGATAACCAAAAAGTAAATTTCTCTCCTAAAGACAGACAGGAGCCACCAACCGATGCTTACAATGCATTCTCTGAGATGGGGCTGTCTGTTTGCCAGAGGCCTGGGACAAAGTTGAGCTTCTTGCAAAGCCGTACTTTTAACAATTTACTCCTGAAACCAGGTCCTTTACCCAATACGTAGTCCAAGCAGTTAGTAGATCATATTATACAAGTAGATTTCCAGAGTGATGCTTCGACATGTACAAAGGATTACTGGCACATCAAGGGTTAATAATGGCATTGTGTGTGTTCTGAACTGTTAAAGTGGTAGCACAGCCAGGCTCCTCTGTGTCAGTCCCTGGAACCCCCCACCTGGGCACTAGACAGGTTTTAAGCAGTACTGTTATGTGAAATCCAAAGCGCTCCAGCATGGGACATGCCTGCTTTGCACAGTGGTACCCAAGCCGCCACCTTTCAGTCTTCCTTGAAGTGAATGTTGGATTCCCCTTTCAGCTTATACACTTGTGCCATAAGCTGCCATAGGATTCTATAGCACAGAAAGGAGTTTATCCCTTTCAGCCATTGCAAGTGATGCTTTTGGGAAACGGCAAGATGTGGCAGGAGGAATCTCATCGAAGCTCATTTTATCACATTTTCACAAAACCTGGTGTGTACGAAGACGAAGTAGTGTAAAAAAAAAAAAAAAAAAAAATATTTTTACATTCAAAATGCGATAGGTGGTCTGTAACAAACAGACGACCCTTTTGCTATTTTTAATGTTTTTCTAATAACTAAAAGTTATTTTTATGCTTTTCTGCTCTCAGATCCATGATGCAGAGATATTAATTTATTAAAAGGAATACTCTGGTCACCATAACATGTCCTTAGAGGGACAGTTTAGGCACCATACCATCTTCAATGAAAGTAAGTTGTTATAGTGCCAGGAGGTCTCTGGCGCTGGCTCACCTTAAAGGTTTAAATAATTTTAACCCAAAGCCTGTGTTCCATGTCCGAAACTTCCTGCCTCTCTGGGCTTCGGTTTTCTAAAAATCTCTAAACCAGAAGTTTCTTGCAGAATCGGGCATCAGCGGCACTGGCTGGCACTCTCAGCCAATCAGTGAATCGATATTCTTAAAACTGACTTTAAAAAGGCACGTTTCTTTACAAGACAGTTTTATAAACGGGGATTCACTGATTGGCTGCGATTGTCAGCTGACCACTCTCAACCAATCAGTGACGCCACCACCTGATTCAGTAAGAGCCTTCCGATTTAGAGATTTTTAGAAAATGGAAAAGCAAAGAGGCAGGGAGAAATTGGGGTTAAACCATTTGAGAACAGTTTAACACCTTAGAGTGAGTCAGCACCAGGGACTTCCTGGCTCCATGGCATCATAACAACTTAATTTCTATAAAGTTGTTATGGTGCCTAAAGTGTTCCTTTAACTTCAACTTTAGCTTAAAGGGATACTGTAGGCACCCAGACCACTTCTGCCCATTGGAGTGGTCTGAGTGCCAACTCCCATCACCCTTAACGCTGCAAGTGTAATTATTGCAGTTTTTATAAACTGTAATAATTACCTTGCAGGGTTAAGTCCTCCTCTAGTGGCTGTCTACTAGACAGCCACTTGAGGGACTTCTGGCTTTTTAGACGACGTTTAGTCGTCTAAACGACGCTGGATGTCCTCACGCTCTGCATGAGGACCTCCAGCGTCGCCGGAGTCCCCACAGGAAAGCATTGAATAAGCCATAGGGGGAGCACTCAAGGATTCTGCAGTACCAGGAAAACAGGTTTGTTTTTCTGGCACTAGAAAATCCCTTAAATGAAGCAATTTTGGTGTATAGATCATGCCACTGCAGTCTCACTGCTCAATTCTCTGCCATTTAGGAGTTAAATCACTATTGTTTCTGCAGCCCTAGCCACACATCCTATGACTTACACAGCCTGCATGAAAAAAAAATGGTTTCATTTTCAAATCAGATGTTTTTACCTCCTGCTCTGTAAATTGAACTTTAATCACACACAGGAGGTTCCTGTGGGGTCTAGAAGCCATTTAGGAGTTTAATCACTTTCACCCATCTCACTCTACATGTGACTTACAAAGCCTTCCTAAACACTTCCTGTAAAATGCCATCTAATGTTGAAAGTTCCTTTATTGCACATTATGTTTAATTTAGGATTTCTTATCCCTTTTTTTTTATTTTGAATTTGTATTTTATTAGGTTTTATACACACAGTATACAGTTTTCCATTATATGTGTTATTATATAAGGTAGAACAGGATCAAATAACATTTCGTTGGGCTACAAGCAGAGTAACAATCACAATGTCAGAGAGACCCTTGCTGTGGCATGGTGGGGGAACAATTTGTACATTTCTACTCTTCTGCGGAGATCTCTACTTAAAGAGGTTGCTTAATATTCGAGGTTGCTAGATTTCAACAATCTTCCGGCTCAATCTGTATATCCTATATATATGTGGGGTCAGATATCTAGGGCTATAGGTTAATAGCATGGAGTGCTGGGTTAGGGGTAGCAAGAATAGTGAGAAGCTTTCCTCATTGGCTTATATGCATAAAAAAAACAACAAAAAAAACATCATTATTATTATAGTTAAGTGTTGCGTTTCTCATGTTGCTTTCTGTGTCCATTGGCTAATATGCCTAATTTTTTGAGGAATGTCTCTGGGTCGTCTCCCGAGGTCAGGGTGAGTATATCGGCGCCCTTTTGTACCGTTAGCAATCCCTCTGCGCCCCATCGGTACCGGACCGAATGGTCTCTCAGTCTCTTAGTGACTGGTGCTAGTAGTCTCCTTGCTGCAAGCACTGCAAAAGGGAGGTCACTGTATATGGCCACCTCGCATCCCTCAAATTTTACCGAGCCCAATGATCTGGATCCGGCCATGATTGCAGCTCTCGCCGCTATGTCTCTGGTGGTGGCTATGGTGTCTCTGGGGGCACCAGCGGGTGCCGCTGGCGATTTGCGCACCCTGAAGGTGGACAGTATCAGTGGGGTGTCTGAATTACATCCAAGGCCCATGGAGGAGGTGAGTCTCCGGACAAAGGGCAGTAAATCTTCACCGCTCACCGTTTCAGGGATACCTCTGAGGCGTACGTTGCGTCGGTGGTGTCTGGTTTCAAGTGTTACCACCGCTCCTTATAGGCGTCGGACCTGCTCAGTAAGACCCTCTAGTTGCAGTTTGGTGTCTTGGAGTTGGTGATCTCTTGAGCTTTCTCTGTTCTCCACCTCCTGGACTCTCTGCTGCAAGACCCCTATTTCTGCATGTGTCTCCTTTAAGTCGGCCTTCCAGACCTGCCTTAGGTCAGTCAGCAGCCTTCTGATGTCCCCTTTTGTTGATGGGGAGTCATCCTCCTCCGAGTCAGACCTGGGAGTGGGGCCTGGGAGGGAAGCTTGGGAGTCCCTCTCTTCCTGGGAGTCGTCAGAGGTCTCTAACTCACTCTGCGGTTCCGGCGCCATCTTGGCGGGCCGCGCCTGTGTAGGCCTCTGAAATGCCAGCCTGATATCAGGTGCCGCGGGACGCTCCGTGTGAGTTTGCTTTCTATGTTTGCGCCCCATGTTGTCGGCTGTCGGGTGGCAGGTAAGCTGCGCGTTTTTGGAGCTGATTTCTGCTCTGTAAGGCTCTTAGTCTGTGGGGCCGATGCAGAGCTCCACAGACATGCGACTGTTCAGCTCCGTGGTCGGCCACGCCCCCAGGATTTCTTATCTCTTGCTGTCAAAAACCTGCTAGACCCTGCAGGAGCCTCCTGTGAGTGATTAAAGTTCAATTACCAGAGCAGGAGATAAAAACTTCTATAGTAGGACTAGGGCTGTATAAACAGAAACAAAAAGCTGCAGGGACATGATCTATAAAACACTAATACTGCTTCATCAGGCTAAAGTTGTTTTGATGCCTTCAGTGTCCCTTTAAGGAAGTTCCGAACGATATTCCGTATCATTGCATCTGTACACTGCAATATATTGCCAGCCTAGAACAAATTCAGTCGTGGACACAGTGATCTTCAGATATGTACACAGTCAACAACCATTCCAAGATTTTGATTAATGAAGGTTTAAAGACTCCTGTCTTTGCCGGTAATGGTTTCATCCTGTTCTTGCATTGGAAGAAGACTCGATAACTGCAGAAATGTGACCCCTCTGCTCACTGTGGCTGTTAGTACATACTGGTCTAGGAAACAGTTGGCCTTTCTATATAATACAGTTTCATTGGACCTAGACCAGGAACATAGCCTTCATACTTCTGTAAATAATGCCATTCTGTGTTCAGTTTTTAGTAATATGAATTAAATGGCTTGTCCTTTATATAAAATAAAAAAATAAAAAAAAAAATATATATATATATATATAAATAAAAAGCACAAAAGAAAGAGCAATGTGTATCTGGTTGGACCCAGAGAGTAATGAATGTTTATTATACCAGGATGACCGTATTGCTCCTTTCAGGTCAGCATGGCTGGGTGCACAAAGCAAACACGGGTCATCAGTATTGTAAAGCACTACGGAATCTGTTGGCGCTATATAAATAATAATAATCAGCAATAAGCTGGGAAATCAGAAAGCCATGTATCAGCACCACATAGTGTACAAGCAACATTAACCAAGTCCCAACCAAAAAAAAAAAAAAATATATATTTTTTTTTTTTAATTTTCACTTGCTCCACAAATAACCTTCCTCCTGTCTCACCAGAAAAAGTGTGACAAACCAGGAAACCACAACTACTCCAAAACCCTAAACTTTAAAACTTCCTGGGAGTTTGTCTCCAATTTTTAAAATTCATGCGTACAGCATTACTACCTTTACTGTGACTGCTGTGCATGTTCAATAATACTACTCCCTGACTACTGTGTACACGTTTATGGCAAACTAGCTCTTGGATATAATAAAAAAAAAAAAAAACACACACAATACGGAGAGACCAGGTTTGTTTTAGCATTTTTAGCCAATTGCTTGTCTCTGCGGACATCAATGCAAAATCCACAGCAAAATATGTTTAGTTGTTTACAGTTACCAGATTTGTAAATAACACAAAACCAATCTGCTGCTGTCAATATATGTGGTCTTTCCCACTAATTTAGCAAAAAGCAGAGCACTGTTAAAGTGACAGCATCACCACATTTTATTACCTTGCTTTTCCTTCTCTTTCAGGGGATCGGTATTATAAACACGAAATCCATTCTCCATTCCGCACGCAAAACACCCTGAAAAACACAGCAGATTCTCCATTAGAAAAGGGGTCCCGTAGCTTTAAATACAACATAAAACTTGGTGCGAACTGGCACTATACAAGCTTACAGTTATACATTTACATTCCACCCCAGGTATTTACTAAAAAGTCAGCGTAGGATGTAGGATCCCAGAATGCCTCACATTGCCAACAAAGACTTCGACTGTGATCAGTCTAAATCTGTTCCTAAAGCAGTCAATGACAGGTGTTTAGTAGAAATTTACCTGCAAGTCTATACAAGTTGTAAAAAAATTTATCCCATGTTACGGTGCAAGATAACGGATGTTGTGACGGGCACTGTGCACCCAATAAGAAAAACACATTATGCAGTAAAATCAAAATTGTATTCTGAAGCTGATAGTAAACAAGATAAATGAAATCGAAATAGGAAAACACAAGGAGGAGCGAAAGAGAGTGACGGAGACGGAGAAGAGAGGACAAGAGGTGAAATGCTAAATACAAGGGCAGTCACTCCTTTAGTTATTGCGTGCTGCTGAGAAGTTCATTAGCAGATCTGTGACTCAGTAACTGCGAACAACAATTCATTGCTGGAGCCTGGGGAGACTTTTCGCACTCCAATCTGAAATAAATCATTGTCTGGAATATTTTACAAAGATTCAGCATGGACAAATGTATTCGCAAAAGCGTATTCTGATAGCAACCTTTTTGCCACACCGATCATTAAGCATAAGGAGTAAATTTAGGACAATGATGCAGAAGTGAAACAATCACTAATATGTTCATGGTGATTGCTGAACGTTTAGCTTTTTACCCCACTTTTCTATTGGGCGGGCTTTATTCACTAACAAGTGAACTGCAAAATAAATAAATATTGCACAATTTAAACATAAGTATCAGATTTGGAAAAATTCACAAACTACGCTATAATAACAGTTTGGCAATATTTATTTTGGTAAATTTTCTTTTGAAATTGATAAAAACTAAAAAAAAAAGGGGATTTGGTGTAATCAGCCGTTTTGTAGCAAAGTTCTAAAAGAGGAGAAATCAGCATGAACACTCCACTGTTTCTATTGGGATTTCCCTACAGTTGTTCTCGAAGCACAAGCCCTAATATACTATTTTACAGTTTATGAAAACAAAATCTGATTTTAAATAAATGAAAAAATGAAGGTCCATACATCGGCTCTCTTTATCACAATGTTGGGCTTGCGGTACAAAAGCTAACATAGTCACTGGCTGGGCTGAGTCAGCATCCTGGGTTATTTTTTGCTGAAAATAAAAGAATTCAGTTGAGGAAGAACAGGCTGAGGGAGCAGTTGGTAAAAATAAATAAATGATATATTTACGCTTACTCAGGGAAAAGGGGGCAGGGTTTTCTGAATCAATGGTGTACACACGGGTTTTAGGCAAGATTCATAAAACGAATTATATAGAAAACAAATAAAAGTTTAAATTTACTAGTGATTCCTTTTTATGTGGGGACCCCAAATATTACGTATCTTTTATATCATATGGTTCCATTCATAAAATCACTGTTTTTGGTTTTTTTACATTTTGCATCAGATTTGGTTAAAATTGAGAGTGAGCAGGTTAGTGCAGATATAGGTTTCAATGGAATATTGTCAGCTTGGATAGTTTCCCTGAAGGGTCGGGTCTCTCCCATTTTTCTTCTCACATTCCTGCCGTTCTATTGCCACCATGATCACCTTTATTTCAATACTCACTTCTTGGTCTCTCCCACATCAATACGTCCCTGTATTCCTCCTCAAGCACTCACTCCATCTCCCCTCCAATGATCACCCTTATAATATCTTTATTCCATCCCTCCCCCCCACAACCCTCCATTTCCAATATATTCTCACACTCCCTGACTCCATCCTGTCCAGAATCTGTTGTCGTTCTATCCCTGTAATCACCTCACACGGCCCCCATTCCATTTCTCTCCCTCACAACCCCCTAGTGCATCCCTCCCAGCATCAACTCATACCTTCCTCTACCCATCAACCATTCCATCCCGATTTGCACTCTCCTTTTCAAGTCACACATTCTATCCCTCCATCTCAAGTATCCTCTGACCTCTAATTCCTTGTCTGCCTTCCTCCCAGATACCCCCTGTCCCCTATCCCGTACCTCTCCCACAGATACCCCCTGTCCCCTATCCCGTACCTCTCCCACAGATACCCCCTGTCCCCTATCCCGTACCTCTCCCACAGATACCCCGTCCCCTATCCCGTGCTTCTCACACAGACAACCCCTGTCCCCTATGATGTACCTCTCCCACAGACACCCCTGTCCCCTATCCCGTACCTCTCCCACAGATACCCCCTGTCCCCCATTCCATTCCTCCCTCGCTCCCAGGTAGCCCCTGGCCCCCCCATTCCATCCCTCCCTCTATACATAACCTTGCCCACCATTCCATTCCCCCCTCTCAATATCACCAGTCCCTCCCAACCTCCATTCCTCCTTCACAGGTAAACCCTGCTTTTCATTTCATCCCTCCCAGCTACCCTCTGCCCCCCATTTTATTCTTCCCTGTCATCTACCCCCTGGCCCCATTCAGTCCCCCCCCTGCCAGCTCTGTCCCGTCCCATTCTTCCCTGCAAACTACCCCCAGCTACTCCCTGCCCCATTCATCCTTCTCAGTTATTTCATATCCACCCCATCCCTCTTTCTGGCTGCCCCCCTAGCCCCATCCCACCCCAACCTCTCTGGTATCATTTGCCCCCCTCCCCTTGTTTTAATCACTACCTTTGGGGCACACCCTGTTGCTCTATCCATCTCACTTTCTCGGTTATCCCCTGTCCCACCCATGTCCCCTGCCTCCTTATCATGTACCCATTCCATCTCTCCCTTCCAGGCACCCTCTGATACCTCTGTTCCTCCCTCCCTATTAGGTTCCCCCCACCCCCATTCTCTCACCTCCATGTCCCCCTCCCCAGACTCTCATCCCCCTGTCCCCCATCTCACACCCACCCCTCGCCCTGTCCTCCCATCTCACCCCCCATCCTCACCCCCCCTTCCCCTGTCTCCCCTCCCCCTCTCTCTCACCGTGGTCCTGGTTGAACCCGGCATAGAGCAGGCCGTTTCCGTGCGGGTTACAGGGCAGGAGGTTCATGCTTGCAGTCTCCCCCCCCGGTGTCGGTCTCAGGGCCCCGGCCAGGCCGGTTACATCATCACCGGGAATCCGTGACGCTCTCCCCGTAACAGCAGCCACTTCCGGCTTCCGCAGGCACCGCAGCCGAGCGCCGAGCTGCCGATCACGTGATCCGCCCCAGCCTAGTGCGAGCGATGCCAGAGCAATCGATGTGAGCTGGGCTCTCCCTGGAGCTCTAATTCTCTAACCCCCCTCAGTCCTGATTCCACCTCAAAACAAAAACCAAAACACTGGGAGCTGTTTATCCTCATAGTATTCACTACAAAAACAAAATCAGTTTATTGTCATAAAAATGGGAATAAACCCCCTGGGTCAGCAATGATCACATTATTTCACTTTTTATCATTTCACAATTAATAAAGAATCCCCTTTGTGCATTGCTGTCACTTTGTTTCATGTATTTCTGTATTTTATTTTCTAGAATTCTATTTGGAATGTTGGGAAGACAGTGATACATGGCACAGAGAGCAGGGAAATTGATCTTCACAGTTATTTAGTCATCTCCAAAGCTGACAATTAATTTGCAGAAGGCAATTTAGTAAACATGGAGGATTTCACTGGATTTTCTATCCCACTTATTTCCTCATTTACCAGAAATAGTTCAAATGACCATAAAGCTCCCTGAAACAGAATAAATTCTCACACAAGGTATTTCCTAAATTAATAAAAAAGCTCACTGGCTGCTTGGGAATGGGAGGTATGAGCATTAGGCCGGCCTGTGATGTGAGGGACTCACCAGAAATTTATACATTTCTGCTCATTCACCTGAAACAAGCCAGGATTGCAATCCCCAAAATCTCTCTCTTGAAGACTCCACTACCCAAATACAAAGTAAATAAAAATCACTGTTTAGCAGATATACACACAATGTAAACATGCACGCATATAATTATGAAATTTTTCATTGGGGTAAATCTAAAAAAGAGCTTGCAAAAATCTGCAGTTGCCTGCTGCCTTTGCAAGCCCTCCCATTCTAATACCGCCCAGCAGGGCCGCCATCAGGGGGTGACAACCATGACAGTTGTTACGGGCCCGGACTGCTTTGGCAGTCCCGGGCCCCACATTCTCTCTCTGCACATATATATAGTGATGATCGCTATATATATGTGCAGCTGCGGGCCCCCGACTCCCTGTACTTGCAGAGGGGGCCCAGCAGACTACAGCTGTACATTACAGCTCTTACCTCTCTCTAACTCTCGCGAGACGTGCAGCCGTCAGAGCATTGCCACAGGTTACCATGGCAACGCGTTCGTGGGAGTTAGAGAGCGGGAAGAGCTGTAATGTACAGCTGTAGTCTGCTGGGCCCCCTCTGCAAGTACAGGGAGCCCTACACTGCCACCGGACCACCAGGGATCATTGAATATCCCCCCTCCCTGAACCAGGTAAGAAGCAGGGAGGGGGGAATAGTTTTTATTACATTTAATGAGGGGGAGGGGAAAATGCTCAATTTACACAACATACATACACTAGTAAACATACACACTGTGCATCCACTACACTAACACACACTCTGCATTCACTACACTAACACACACACTGCATTCATTACACTAACGCACACTCTGCATTCACTACACTAACGCACACTCTGCATTCATTACACTGACGCACACTCTGCATTCACTACACTAACGCACACTCTGCATTCATTACACTAACGCACACTCTGCATTCACTACACTGACACACACTCTGCATTCACTACACTGACACACACTCTGCATTCACTACACTGACACACACTCTGCATTCATTACACTGACACACACTCTGCATTCACTACACTGACACACACTCTGCATTCATTACACTAACACACACTCTGCATTCACTACACTGACACACACTCTGCATTCACTACACTGACACACACTCTGCATTCTCTACACTGACACACACTCTGCATTCACTACACTGACACACACACTGCATCCACTACACTGACACACACTCTGCATTCACTACACTAACACACACACTTCATTCATTACACTAACACTGCATTCACTACACTGACACACACTCTGCATTCATTACACTAACACACACTGCATTCACTACACTGACACACACTCTGCATTCATTACACTAACACACACTCTGCATTCACTACACTGACACACACTCTGCATTCACTACACTGACACACTCTGCATTCACTACACTGACACATACTCTGCATTCACTACACTAACACACAATCTGCATTCATTACACACACACTGCATTCACTACACTAACACACTCTGCATTCATTACACTAACACGCACTCTGCATTCACTACACTGACACGCACACTGCATTCACTACACTGACACACACTCTGTATTCATTACACTAATACACACTCTGTATTCATTACACTAATACACACTCTGAATTCAGGAGGGGCCCAGACCTTGTGCTTTGTCAGGGACCCCAAAATTTCTGGTGGCAGCCCTGCCGCCCAGACTTTCTGTTGCTGTCCAATCACAGACATTCTAATGCAGCTCAATGAGAAGTTTTGTAAGACAGGTGCTCTGAGCAATTGTTGCCTGTTGCGCTAACCAAACCAGGAAGTAACTTGACCTGGTGTCTGCTTGAAAGCCAAGTGGGTGTAACCAGGTTAATTTATAAAAGTGTAAATTTCTATTGAAATCGTACTTTTTGCAAAATAGAAAAATGGGACACATTCCTCAGGCGTAAAGCTTTTCATCAAGTTAAATTGTTTAGGGGTCTGAAGTGTTCCTTTAACTGTGCAATTTGGGAGGCAGTTATGCAAATGATCAATGTTTGCTTGGCATTTAGACCATTGCTCTTGTTTTTAGCAGACACCAATTTACTCCAAATATACAATTTTTTTTGATCTGGGGTATATTTGGAATTTATGGGATAATCCTGCCTGGGGGTACAGATAACGAAGTGGTTCCCAAACCAGTCCTCAAGTACCCCCTAACAGTCCAGGATTTAGGGATTACCCAGTTGTGTCTAATGTATTTTTAGAGAGGGGGGGGACAACAACTTTAGACACAACAGGGTAATCCCCTAAATCCTGGACCGGTAGGAATACTTGAGGACTGAAACATAGAAAGTGACGGCAGATAACCATTTGGCCCATCTAGTCTGCCCAATTTTCTAAATACTTTCATTAGATCCCTGGCCTTATTTATAGCTAGGATAGCCTTATGCCTATCCCACGCATGCTTAAACTCCCTCACTGTGTTAACCTCTACAACTTCAGCTGGAAGGCTATTCCTTGCATCCACTACCCTCTCAGTAAAGTAATACTTCCTGATATTATTTTTAAACCTTTGCCCCTCTAATTTAAGACTATGTCCTCTTGTTGTGGTAGTTTTTATTACTTTAAATATAGTCTCCTCCTTTACTGTGTTGATTCCCTTTATGTATTTAAATGTTTCTATCATATCCCCCCGTCTCGTCTTTCCTCCAAGCTATACATGTTCCTAGTAAGTTTTATCCTGCGATCCGTGAACCAGTTTAGTAGCCATTCTATGAACTCTCTCTAAAGTATCAATATCCTTCTGAAGATACGGTCTCCAGTACTGCGTACAATACTCCAAGTGAGGTCTCACTAGTGTTCTTTACAATGGTATGATCACTTCCCTCTTTCTACTGCTAATACCTCTCCCTATACGACCAAGCATTCTGCTAGCATTTCCAGCAGCTCTATTACATTGTCTGCCTACCTTTAAGTCATCAGAAATAATCACCCCTAAATCCCTTTCCTCAGATGTTGAGGTTAGTAGGGTATCAAATATTCTGTACTCTGCCCTTGGGTTTTTACATCCAAGGTGCATTATCTTGCACTTATTCACATTAAATGTGAGTTGCCACAGCTCTGACCATTTTTTTAGTTTACCTAATTCATTTGCCATTTGGCTTATCCCTCCTGGAACATCAACCCTGTTACGTATCTTAGTATCATCAGCAAAAAGACATACCTTACCACCAAGACCCCTGAGATAGAGGACCCCTACCTCAAGTTTTAGGTAAAACAGCATATAAGACCCTTGCCTAGGCCTGTTATTGTCTCTAAAAAAGAATACAATATTTTATTGTAGTACATATGGTCATATTTATACAACTCTTTTAGAAACATGACAAAGCCAATAGCTTGAGTCTTCATTGCAGATCAATATATTTTATTATTCAACCTCTAAAGAAAGCTCTCTGGGCATTAATGCCACCATGGAAGATGGCATGCCAGGACTGTAATATTTATAAAGGGGATTGCCTAACCCAGCGTTTCCCAATTGGGGTTCTGCCAAAATTTCAGGAAACAATAATGGCCGCTGCGATAATTGAGGCGGGCGGCAAGGGAGCTGAGCAGGGGAGAGTGTTCCCTTGCCGCCTGCCTCAATTATCGCAGCACACCCAGCAGTGATGCTGGAGCTGGAATATGACGTCACTCCAGCATCACTAAGAGGCGAGCGAGGTAGCTGAGCAGGAAGATCACAGTGTGTGTGTATTGGTGTGTTTGTATGTGTATCTGTATGTCAGTGTGTGTATCTGTGTCCCACTATGTATGTGTATCTGTATGTCAGATACATACACACACAGATACACACTGGCACATACAAGAAAAACAGGGGGGTTGAGGTTCCACAATGTTGATACACTATGTCAAAGGGTTACACAGGGAAAATTAATTGGGAACCCCTGGCCTAACCCATAGTTAGAAGGGGGTTTTGTGTAGCTGCCAGTGTCACAATCCAGAATAACATCTCAGCTGCATCAGCAACAAGAGAGTGGCCCCTATATAAACAATAATTTAAGGAAAACATTTATACAATCAAGGAATGTGAAAACCTACAAATAATGAATATTACCCAATAAAATAGTATATGTGCTTATAAAGTGCCTACTTCATAGCGCTCTTCCTCCATGTACAAAATCCATCTACAGGAGTTTGAAAGGAGACAATATAGTAATGATCTAATCTACTCTGAAGGCAAATTCAACTCCAACATTACCATCTAAAAGTATAATCAAGATCTGTTATTGTCAGTGTGTGTGTGTGTGTATATATATTTATGTTCTTGTGTTAATATACTGGATATTGTACTGGATTAAAACATTTCTATCTGAAATAAGCAACGCAAAATATATGAGTTAGAAACACTCACACTTTGATGAGCCGTTTAAAGTAGGCTCGGAACTTATATGTCACTTAAATGGGGCATACACATTTTCTTTACTCTTCAGGCAGGTTCTCCATTGATCTTAATAGTCCTCTGTAGTAAAGTAGGAGTCAGGAGCCAGGAGTATCAGGATAAAATATTTATTTATAATAAAACAAAAATAATAAAAGTATTGCACAATGCGTTTCAACCATCTACTAGGCACCTGAGGAAGACCACTAGTAGATGGTTGAAACGCGTTGTGCAATACTTTTATTATTTTTGTTTTATTATAAATAAATATTTTATCCTGATACTCCTGGCTCCTGACTCCTACTTTACTACAGAGGACTATTAAGATCAATGGAGAACCTGCCTGAAGAGTAAAGAAAATGTGTATGTCCCATTTAAGTGACATAAAAGCAATATAAGTTCCGAGCCTACTTTAAACGGCTCATCAAAGTGTGAGTGTTTCTAACTCAAAATTTCCATTCTTACTGTGCACGATATACAGATTACACTATGTTTTGTTTTATGTTTATATTTTTTGTATAGGCAATTCAATATACTTACTGTATATAAGGAAATACCTACCATTTATTATACATCAGGTAAATCACCTCCTTGGTGTGTTGTGTGCGCTTTTACCTTTTTTATGTTTTATTGTATCTTTCTTAAGTATATATAGTGGTGATCTACTTGGGTAGAGCAGCACCGGTCACTTACTTCATCCTCGAGCGCCACTTCTATATCTCTTTGTTAACGCAAAATATATATTGCTGCAGCACTCAGAATTGTCCCTTGGTAAATAGAATCACCCTGTCTATCTACAATTAATTTTAATCCAGATACCATAACCCACTGAGTGCCTTTACATCGTGGGCCTCAATCTAGTACTGTGCTTAGACCCTGAATTAAGGTAGGTTTGTTTTTAAAGATTTAATATTTCTGGATACATTTTTAAAATGATTGAATTATTTTAAAATGTTAAAATCTCAAAAGAAATAAAATAATTTGAAGTTAAAAAAAAAAATTAACGCTGATCCTTAAAACACAGATAAGTGGGGTATCAGAGTGGAGCATTGTCTGCTTTTTGTATTGTTCAAGGTCATTTGTTATTTTTCATCTGGTGAAGATACATTTAATGTGTATTGTGAAGTGGTCTCTTTCCGTCATGCAGCGGTTTCCATGGTAATTTTTGAAACACTGGTACAGCCTTATAAATTGTCCAGCACATTTCAGAGAGCGTGGGTGCAAGAAATCTTCAGGTTATTTAAAATTTGCAGCTCAAAACATGTCCAGAGGCTTCTACCAAGAGCTCAGCTTACCTTTCATGCTAACATACCTCCCAAGTGTCCCAGTTTAGGAAGAACAGTCCCTATTTTAGGCTCAAGTCCCTCTGTACCTCTTTTCTATCCTTATGTGCCTCTATGCTAGGAGCTCCATGTTATTGGTGTCTAAGTGTATATCGGAGCTCCCAGTAATATAGTGTGTCTTCAAAGTACAATAAACGTGTTAAGAGATCAGTCTGTGTAAATAAGACACATTGTTATAAGATACATTTTATTTGCATAAATTAGGAAGTTACCTAGAATTTCTCAAAACAGCTCAACCCCTGGCCACACCCCAAAAATAAATATATATTGTTTTTTTAATAAGGGCCCCTCTTTGACCATTTGAAAAGTTGGGAGGTATGCAATTATCTTTATTCTGCCAACTGATCACCTCAAATATCTGATCAGTAGTCTGGAGTGGACCCTCCTATACATCTGTACATTTTATACAGGTGGCCTTGCAATGTTTAACTAAAAAAAACAAACAGTAAATTGCACCGAAAACCACATTTCAAAACATCAACACAAATAGCTGATTTTTAAAAAATTCTCCAACACTGCTCGACTATTTTAAGTGTGCATTTTCCAGTTCAGTTTTCAATTCAGTGTTTGGTGAATACATCCTAAAGTTTCTTGAAAGGGCGTCAAATAAAATTAGTTTAGAAACGTTACAGATGTCAGGGTTTTCAATCCCAGCACGGTTACTCCAAGTAACACACAATGTTAATTGTATTTGGGGAAATCATAACATTTGGAGAACCGACACCATAAATAATTTGGATAAAGGAGAAGAGGGAAAAAATATATCCTTTAAACAACCCAAACCCTCACCCCTCCCCAAAAAAGGAAAATGCCTTGAAACCCATAAATTGTTGATCCAGATTAGGAATCTACATTATTAGTATTAATTCTGTCCTATTTGGATGACCACACATGTCAGAGTGCAGGTGTTAGGTAGCACTAGTTCACTCATCCTATCAGCTATTTTTCAATCCTTGTCAGCACATCACAATATAGAAGTTACTAAAATATGATTCATAGTGCTTATATTATTCTTTATCCACATAAATTACTTCCTAAAAGGAAATTGGGTGTAATTAATGAAAAGAAAGAAAAAAAAGTGTACCATGTGACAATAGTGGTAAAATAAACCCATTTGACTCATAATTTATCACTGTTAAAGATTTAAGTCTTACATAAATAGACAATACTGGCTCCAGTTAAGGTCCATATCCATAAAAGCTTAAATTAAGACAAATTCAGATCTGTGTAAACATTCTAGGATGTACTTATGTTTACTTTTTATAACAAAAAACACCTTATGATAAATTTATATTATCACTCCAGCAATGAAGGGGTAAATATTGAGTATATAAATGGGTCAATTCACCCAGTGTTCACCTTTGAATTTAAAATACTGTGATGTTCAGAGTTGTAACTATGAGAGGAATGCCCGACCTTTATTTAAAGGGACACTATAGTCACCAGAACAACTACAGCTTAAAGGGACACTATAGTCACCCATACCACTTCAGCTCAATGAAATGGTCTGGGTGTCAGGTCCCTCTAGGGTTAACCCTGCCTGATGTAAACATAGCAGTTTCTGAGAAACTGCTATGTTTACATCTGGGGTTAAGCCAGCCTCTAGTGGCTGTCTTACGGACAGCCACTAGAGGCGCATCGGCAAAGATTGAGGCATTTTATGCTTTAATCACGTAGAGCGTCCATAGGAAAGCGTTGAAAAATACTCTCCTACGAACACTTTGAATGAGCGCACGGCAGTGCCGCACGTGCGCATTCGGCGCCGGTGACGTCAGACAAGGATGCTGACGTCGGCGGGGGAGGAGAGGTAAGGGAGCCCGGCGGGGGGAAATGGTGAGTAGCTGAAGGGGTTTTAACCCCTTCAGCGCCGCGGGAGGGGGCACCCTCAGGGTACTATAGTGTCAGGAAAACCGTTCCAAACGGTTTTCCTGACACTATTGTGTCCCTTTAATGTAGTTGTTTTGGGGATGAGTATATTAACTCCCTTCAGGCATTTTCATGTAAACACTGCCTTTTTTCAGAGGCACTATCATTGGATGGGCTAAAAATCAGCCATTTTGATGATGCCACAAAGGGGGCGGAGCCAGCGCGGCAGACCCGCATCAAGCTGGAAATAAGGAAAGTTTAAAACTTTTATAGGGGGACAAGCCGCCTAAATGGTGGGTTTCACTATAGGGTCAGGAATACATTTGTGTTCCTGATCCTATAGTGATCCTTTAAACACAGATAATTCTATTTGTGGCATATCATGGATTAAGAAAGTAGGCTTATGATTTTAAAGACATTTATTTTTTAAATAATTCTCTATCTTATAAAACTGTTCTTCAAATCACATTCTGCTCACAAATCCTTCGCTCACATGTCAAAAACACATCTTTGGCATTTTTTTTCTTCTTTAAAACACAGCAACGCTCATTACATCTGGTACAAAATGGTTCATTTACAGAAATAGAAGCATATTTATATATATTATATATAATCACTGATTAATCCCAAATAGTATTAAATAACAATTCAGAAAAGAAAAAAAAATATATCAAATAACCTGTTTTCATACACAAGTCTTACACATTGTGAGTGCATTTAAATTCTCTGTACACGTCTGCATTTAGTGTTGTAGTGCCTGAAGATTGCAAAACTCTAAATTAATACCTTGCGGTCTCCACTTTGTGCACGCTGCAGTGGCAGTGGGTACTGTACAAATGTTCCTGCCTGCCACAAATGCAATGATTCTGCAAAGCCGCTTACCTTCCCAGAAAAAAAAAAAAAAAATTAAAAAAAAAACGAAAGTGTTCACGTATCACACAATAATGTGTGACAAATTGCAGGTGTCATTACAAGCTATGAGTAATGCAAAAATAATTCCCTTTATAAGCACACATGAAGGAAAAAAAAAAAAAAATAGGGTGTGCGGGGGGGAGAAAACAAAACACAAAAACGTTCCATGCATTTTATACGCAGCAATAACCTCCACACCAATGTTTCACAAACGTCTAGGAACAAGTCCAATGATCCATATCAAAGCAGCATTGTTACCAGGAAAATGGAAATTTTTTCCTTTATTGTCCTAAGTTAAATCACATAAGGAATTGTGTTTGCCGTCATCCACCTCCGTTATGGGGGGGTCCACATCCCTGCATCGACTTAAGCTATGCATCTCATTGGCCAGTGACTACGAGATCTTGCAGCTATTTCTGGTACAGTTTTTAGGGGGGCTCTGGGGAGGGCGGATAATCTTGGCTTTTTTGAGGCTGTTTCTCTTGTTAGCGTTGTTGGCAGTGAGAGAATAGGATCGTCCATGCATCATCCTTGCATTTAGGCCATTGGCCATGGAGAAGGATTTCAAATGGCTTCTTAAGGCAACTGGGAGAGGGAGTTTGTCCACTAGGTGTACTGGGGTGCAGGACACAATGGCTCGGCAGCAGAGGTCTTGCAGGCTCAACACTGAAAACGCAGGAAAAAAAAAAAGGAAAAAAACTGTTCAAAACATGAAATTCATAGGTCCCATTTAGCAAGAAACATTTCAGTGATGTAAGTGGAGCCATCAGCAATCATACACAGCTACATTTATCTGTAAAATATGTGCATAACACAGATTACCCATTATACAGAGCTACGGAATCTGATGGCGCTATATAAATAAAAAAATAATTACCAAATGTTTTCAGAGAAAACCATTATAGAGGCACTCTAAGTACAAGTACACCTAGAACCATTGTATTAGAAGCTCAACATTCCTGTATCTTATTCTGCTCTATAATTCAGCAGTGAGCAGATTAAACATCAAAACTAAAAATATTGTTCTGTAGGAGGAAGCATTTCTTTCCACTAACCCATACAAGGACATCGAGTGTCAGAAAGCAATGAGTGAAAGCTCTTTAAGTCTTTCATGTTATGCAGAGTAGTTTCATTCATGAATTAACATGAATGAATTTTACCCAGCCATATCCCAGATGCAGCTAACCGTTAATTCACCATTTCCTCCTTCATGAATAAACTACTCTTGGGCAGGACTGCCATCCACTATATAGCTTAAAACAGAAAGCTGAACTATATGCAAGTCTTTGAAGATAGTTTACTGAAGACATTCTGGAGATATGTAGAAAACGAGGGACATCCAGGGGCGATGCATTTGTATTATTCAATTTCTTTTCAACTGTATTAACAAAAAATGGCATTGGGTCATCTATCTCGCAATTTTCTTTTAAGAAAGCAATCTCTGCAAGTGTGGTGGTGTTGGATGCACGGAGGATAAGCAAACAGCAGAATATGTAAAATAGAATTAAATTTTCACTTTTGCTAAGGCCAGGCCCTAGTAAGCTATGCTAGATTTAAATACCCCATAAAATCAAATTGATCACAAGTATGCATTAACATGCCCAACACAGAGTTAGAGAGATTCTGATTCCAACTCATAGTCTGTTTGTCAGCCACAGGGTGGCAGTATACACCACGTAACACTATGGCTTCCTCCCCCTTCATCCACACACTATTTCTCATTCCCATGACCACAAGCTGTTTACTAGTTTTTGCTATTAAAAGGCCTGTAGTATATAAGCCCTCCACCCCTAAAGAAAAAAAAAAAAGCAGCAAAGTTTCTAAAATGACACTGACATATGGGTAAAAGTTACATAAGTTGACTTATTTGTATTTCTTCAGGAAGCTTGCATTTTGCAGCATTTTCTGGTCGTAGATCAGGATTTGTATTCTGTCTGTATTGAACTTTATTGGCTTCTCGTTTTACTGATGGCTGATACCCAAATTCTAGATCTAATTATTGCACTCCTCTTTGCATGCAGAGCGAAGAAAGGGAATAATACCTCCCATAATTGTGAAAGTAGGACAAGAATCAATGTGCCAGTAATATGTATTGCATTACTGATAGAGCACTCAAAAAGGAGGCTTGTCAAATGGAACACGTGATTTAAAGGAACACTACAGGGTCAGGAACCTGACACTAAAGTGTTTTATAGCCTCCCTGGGCCCCCTAAATACAGTAAAATCTTACTGTAAATTTTCAGCGCCGCACTGGCTCCCTCCCCCACCCGCCTCCTTGGCTGACAGAGTTGATGATCTCAGCCAATCACAATGCTTTTCCATAGGAAAGCATTGGATTGGCTGAGATTAATTCTGATGATCTCAGCCAAGAGGTGGGCTGTTGGGGGGGGATTTGAGCCAAATGCGGCCCCAGCCAATCAGCATCTTCTCATACAGATGCATTGAATCAATGCATCTCTATGGGGAGCATTCAGCGTCTCCATGCAGAGTGTGGAGACACTGAATGTCAGTGCTGCACACTGTACAGCATTAACCCAGGAATCACCTCCAGTGTCCGTCTGAGGAGTGGCTGCTAGAGGTGTTCCTAGGCTGTAATGTATACACTGCCTTTTCTTTGAAACGGCAATTTTTACATTCAAAATTCTGCAGGATTACATTAAGCTGTAGTTGTTCTGGTGACTATAGTGTTCCTTTAAGTGACACACTGCCAGGCAGCCAACCGTAATGTACAGAGCAATACAGAAGCACTCACTCAATAACATGAGACATGACCTGCAATGACCATGGGTACCATGCAGTGAAGCCCTCACCATGAGCATGCCTGAAATACATACCCTTGTTTGGCCTCCAGAGTCTGTCCATTCCGTGTCTCATTAACACAATCCGTGCCAGTTCTGTAAAGGACTCTGTGATGTTAAAGTTGCACAAAGGACTAACTTCAAAGAAAGTCATCCCCAGCCGCTCGGCGTAGCTCTGTGCCTGTTCCGTAGACACCTGCCGCTTGAACGCCAAATGGAGGCGATTTCCCACCAGGATTTTGGGCACTCCTGGGGCATGCTGGGAAAGATAACAGCAGACGTCAATGCAGATAAAGGAATAAGAAAACAATTTCACATTAACATTCAATTTCACCTCTCAATAATTAAAATTTATGATGAGCTACAAATCCAGCTGTAACTTACCAATACAAGTGAGCAAAAAAATATTGTTCCTACAACGTGTACAAACTTCGGTCAATGCTATAAAAATACTCATTTGAGATTAGTAGACTTTACTACGAAATCTGATCAATGAACAAATTTCACTGCATAAAATAGCAAAGTAGAAATAAGACGACACTGGCTAGATTTTAAATGAAATTTTAAAAAATCTAATTATTTTTTTGGAAGGACAGTATTGTAGATACGGTCAACTGAGCTGGACAATAACATATACAACTTAAAGGACCACTTTAGGCACCCAGACCACTTCAGCTCAATGAAGTGGTCTGGGTGCCAGGTCCATCTAGGGTTAACCCTGCAGCTGTAAATATAGCAGTTTCAGAGAAACTGCTATGTTTACATTAGGGTTAATCCAACCTCTAGTGGCTGTCTTATTGACAGCCGCTAAAGGCGCTTCCCACTGTGATTTTCACAGTGAGAAGACGCTGGCATCCATAGGAAAGCATTAACAAATGCTTTCCTATGGATTAATTGAATGCGCGCGCGGCACTGGCCGCACATGCGGCGGATGACGTCGGAAGAGGGAGGAGAGTCCCCAGCGCAGAGGGAGCCCGGCGCTGGAAAAAGGTAAGCGTTTAACCCATTCCTCTCCCTTGTTTTCCTGGCACTATAGTGGTCCTTTAAGACAAGATACGACTAGTCCGCAAGCTCTCAATATTACTTCTATGTGAACAAAAATGGCAATGTTAATAGATTAACATTTTTTTTAAATTTATCACAGACATAGAAATCATTCAGTTAATTAGGTTTCTCACCTCATCAATCTCCTTTATCCATCGATCAATTCCATCGAAAGACCACCGATTGGTGATGTCATAAACGAGAATCACGCCCTATTACAGAACAAAAAGCAGTTGTCACAGCACAGCCAAAAGTACAAAATAAAAAGGATTCTCTTTTAAAAAGGAATATGTAACATTATTATGGATTATGTATATGGGAGGTTGTGTGTGTGTTTTAAAGTAAATCTAATCTAAAAAGAAGCCACAATAAAATTTTAAAGGGACACCATAGTCCCCAAACTAACTTTAGCTTAATTAAGCTGTTTTTCTGCATAGATCATGCCCCTGGAGTTTCACTGGTCAATTCTCTGCCATTTAGGAGTTAAATCTTTTGTTTCTGTTTATGCAGCCCTAGCCACACCTCCCCTGGCTGTGACGGACACAGCCTGCATGAAAAAAAAGTGGTTTCATTTTTAATCTTGTAACATACTTCAGAGGTTTTTATCTCCTGCTCTGTACATTGAACTTTAATTGAATACAGGAGGATCCTTCAGGATATAAGAAATTCTAAATTAAATAGAATTTGCAATAAATTAAATGTAAACATTAGATGACTCTTTACAGGAAGTGTTTAGGAAGGCTGTGGAAGTCACATGCAGGGAGGTGTGACTAGGGATGCATAAACAAAGTGATTTAACTCCTAAATGGCAGAGAATTGAGCAGTGAGACCACAGGGGCATGATCTGTAGACCAAAACTGCTTCATTAAGTGAAAGTTGTTTTGGTGAATATAGTGTCCCTTTAATATTAGCGTTGCTATCAGAGTATATAGGGCATCAATCTCTAACTGTAGCATCACAGGTGCCTATAAACGCAATTTACTATGACACTCTGCCATCACAGGAAATCTGGTTCAGAATTATAAAGGGTTTTGCGGTTGCCATAGTAAACTGAGTTAAGGTATAAAGATAGTCTGCTGACAAAAAGATTGCTTAATGTCATCTGCTGAATATTTTGTGGTTAACTGCACAGGGAAATAAAAAATGGTGCTTTATCAAGTGTCTTTGTAAGATTTAAAAAAAATAAAAAATAAATGTTTTAAAAAGGGAACACATTTTGCAATCCTCACACAGCAAAACAGACAAATAGAGCGTGTATGGCAGTCTAGTGTATCCAAACTAAAAACAATCCTTTAATAAAATTTACAGGGATTCTTTGGAATTCATGAAAATTTCCTGAATACAGAATAGCTCTTTTTGTGCAGTAACAATTTAACTATTTTAGAAGACTCCCAGTCTCTGCTTATCGATTAATACTTCAATCCAGTAGTAAAGAACTGGTTAAAGTTGCATGTAACAGATTATGTACAAGTATAGAAGTAATCAATTAGCCATAAAGTTACCAAAGTATTCTCTGAAATGGCCTGCCGCCCCCAACAATGCCTGCAGCCTCACCTCTCCCACCCCCCAGGGCAGTTTCAAATGTTAAGTTTGGTTTTCCAGCAGAAGAATAGTGCGAGTCATTCTTCCAGGCTAATGAGATAGCGATCCCCGATGCCAAATTCCTGTATTTTCTCTGAAATTGGGAGAGGAAATTACCTATGTGACCCACTAACTCACTGTCAGGTGTTCCCTGCCCAGGGTTAATCAGAAGAGCACAGACTCGGCACGGTTACAATACATTGTGTACACATACTGTATGAGCAGGATTTAACTGTACACGTCTCTATTATCCATAGCAAAGACAGGACTGCAAATTAACACATTCTGTGTCTACTAAAAGGTGTTGAACTTGTGAAATGGATGCAACTTATTTTTTACATTTGTAAGCTGATTGAAAGTGAAGTTTTATTTGTATCTATCCCAGGAGTGGTATCTTATGGCCACTGTATTGTATTGCAGACTATTACTGGGCATTAAAAGGAAGGAAAAAAAACGAAATAAAAATGGTTTTATTTATTTCAGACACGCACAAAAGGACCATAAGTACAGTGATGATTAGGTCATACAAGCTGGAACTGGCTGGGGCATCGGATCGTATGTTTTTTCTGCAAACTTACCTGAGCACCGCGGGAATATGAACGAAAAATAGTGCAAAACCGCCCTTGCCCTGATGTGTCCCTAGGAGAAGAAGAAATAAAACATAGAGAGATTAAAACAAAAACGTAAAGTACAGGAAAGGGTTAATATTTCGATAGCATAAAATAAAAAGAATAATGATAATCATGTGATATAGCATTAATCAAGAATAACGTTCTAGGACGATTCTAGGATTCCGGCCACATGGTTTAAATATCAGAAGCAATTGCTTTTCCTGGCTTCTAGTTGGCTCTGAACCCTTTCTTTAAAGTGAGTTGACGTTGTGCCAAGGATCAGAGACCACGTCCCTTTTCCAATGCCAGACAATAAGCTAAGCTATCATTCCTCCCCTGACCAAATTCCCTGGTGAAATCTCATGCGGATTAGATCTGGAGAATCAATGCGAGCTAATCACGTCTCAGAAGGAGGGATTTAATACAGAAAGCTTGCTTTTCCAATCATGTATAATGTTTTTTACAGACTCAGAAATAAACTAAAGTAAATGAAAATGTGTGGGATTTATATTAAAATGTGGGGTCATCCTCTGTGAATAAAGGGGACACTTTACATTAAAAACGGCTTTGTTGTATTAGTGCAGGCTTCCCCAAACTACGGCCCCCCTCCCGATGTTGCTGAACTAAAACTACCATGATTCTATGAATGAAATAGATAGGCTGAGAATCATGGGAGTTGTAGTTCAGCAACATCTGGAGGGCCAGAGTAAGTTTGGGGAAGCCTGTATTAGTGCTTACAGATCGTGGTCCTGCAGTGTCGCTGCTCAATTCTCTGTCATTTAGGAATTAAAGGGGCACTATAACCATTTCATCACATTGAGTTAGTTGTGATGCCTGGAATCCCATGATACTGTCCCTCCATTAAACCATTTTCAAGCACTAAGTGAGGGTCCCTGGCCCTCCAGAGCCCAGCCCCTACTTAAGGTATGAGTAAGGCAGAGATTACATACACCATTGTAGTCATATCAATTCCTACCAGCAGTTGCGGCTGTGATAGCCGACCACTTTCAGTCTAACACTCAAACAAAGCCGCCAATTGCTGCTTCGGCTAATGGTTCCTAATTAGCCTGAGCAGCACAGATGGGTTTGGCTGCTGGTGACTCATTTCACATTAAAACATTGCAAACTGTGCAACGCTGAAAGTAAGGACAGTGCCAGGCGACTCCACACACTATAACCACTTCAATGAGATGAAGCAGTTACAGTGCCTGCAGTGTCCCTTTAAACTTATTAGGTATACAACACATTGAGCAAGAATTCAGTGTCCGCTCCTTGAAATAAGGAGAACAGTGATAGCTCCCTCCATACCTAACACAGAGGAACAGAATGTCACACATCTCTAATACACTAAATATTATATTACAAGGAAGAGGAGAACACCCTTACCAGAGCTGTAATTTTATCCGCCGACCATCCAACAGTATGGTTGTCGTCTTGTAATCAATTCCTGAAACAAAACATACACAGTGATTTACAGACTCTGATTAATATTTACAGGAAACAATTAATTGCTCGGATTAGTTTTTTTTTGTCACATCTTAACTTAATAAATAATGCAAATAATGCAACATTGTTACAAATATAACATTTTCAAATTCTTGTGAATCTACAAAAAAAACAACAATCAAATCACACAAAACTGAAAGGTTAAAGGGACACTATAGTCACCTGAACAACTTTAGCTTAATGAAGCAGTTTTGGTGTATAGAACATGCCCCTGCAGCCTCACTGCTCAATCCTCTGCCATTTAGGAGTTAAATCCCTTTGTTTATGAACACCTCCCTGCATGTGACTTGCACAGCCTTCCATAAACACTTCCTGTAAAGAGAGCCCAATTTAGGCTTTCTTTATTGCAAGTTCTGTTTAATTAAGATTTTCTTATCCCCTGCTATGTTAATAGCTTGCTAGACCCTGCAAGAGCCTCCTGTATGTGATTAAAGTTCAATTTAGAGATTGAGATACAATTATTTAAGGTAAATTACATCTGTTTGAAAGTGAAACCTGTTTTTTTTTCATGCAGGCTCTGTCAATCATAGCCAGGGGAGGTGTGGCTAGGGCTGCATAAACAGAAACAAAGTGATTTAACTCCTAAATGACAGTGAATTGAGCAGTGAAATTGCAGGGGCATGATCTATACACTAAAACTGCTTTATTTAGCTAAAGTAATTTAGGTGACTATAGTGTTCCTTTAACAACTCTGCAATAGGATCAGGGATCAAAATTTACTCTAGCCATTGGGGAGAAGACATTCACCCCAGGTTAATGTGTCACCTCTAGACTTGCAGTGGCTACTAACCTTTAGGCCTGGCCAACACCGTAGGACTTGAAATATTAATTAAGCCCTGAATGTGGTTTGAGAGTATGTATAAATATGTAGAAATTACTCTATACCCTCCCCCCTCTTTCACACTTTAACAGTGAAGCAATTTGCAGGGAATTTACATTGGTTTCTGTGGCAACTGCCCCAGACGTTTGCCCAAAAAATGATCTTTCAAAACACAGGTTTCAGGTTGCAATTGGCAATTTAAAAATTTATAAAAATAAATAAATAAATACACAGACAACTTAATCTTTGTGTCGGAATTCCACGGAGACCTTCGCTAAATAGGGAACTTTAGATGACTTGGAATAGTTGAGATGATCTGCATTTCTAGATAAAATTTAATGAGTGGATTCCTGACTGTTTTGCAACAGGGATTAACCCCTAGAGAGGCAAGGGGAAAAACAAAAACCAAAGACTGGTGGGTAAGAACACAAACAACCTTTTAAAGACATATTCTGTTACAAAGCAGATTGTGTGCATCTTGTTTTCCAGAGTAACATGACAGTCGTGTCATACAGTTCCGTTGCACACAGAGATGATTTTTTTTGTACTTCTCGCTGCAGCTCACGGGAGGCCAGGAGGATGGTGCGTTGCAGTAATGTTACAGAACGTGTTGTACAATACATCATTTGCTTTGTGCTCAAAACTTCACAAAGAGAGATTAGATCTAATTTTAAACACCGCAGTCAAGCCAATGAAGCAACTTTAGAAGTTCTATCTGCACGTCCATTAATTTGCTCTGCCACCTGTACAGGTCACTCAAGTTATCGAGGAGTCAGGATAGGGCAGGAAGGTAGAAATAAAGGCAAGTGGGCACGTGTGTAAAACATAGGGGTCTCTGTTGGACAGCATATAACATGCTGTTGGGCAGCACATAAAACTGCTGAGACTTTTAGTATGGAGCAGTTATATCCTGCAGGAGGTCAGTTAATTTGTTCATTCAGTCAGTGACTTTGTGAGAAAATAGTTTATCGTAAACAGGAGGGTAAAAAAATGGCATTGTGGTGCCATTGGTCTCACAACAAAAACCATATGTAAACCACAGGTATGTGAAGAGGCCCACCACCCAAAAATTGCCCTACAAACAAGGTAACAGACTGGAACAGGCCTCAATTTGCCCGAAGCGTACACAGGGTTAAGTTAATGTACAAACCAATAGGGTTTAGTATGGCTGCAAAGATGTCTAAAACAGGTCAATTACAGTTTTAGGAGTCAGACTAATCTCCCTATTTGAATTAGCCTCAATGCACAGACACAAAGTATAGTTAATGATACTAACTGCACAATCGGTACATCCACAAAAATGTTTATTACGGGTAACGCTCACAATTCTATCAAGTCGTCAGTTGTGTTCCTGAAATTATACTACATTTCTCTTTCCCATCCTGCAGTAAAACATAAATTATTCCAGATGTGTTTCTTTGGACCTGTAACCCTGAGCGTATATGAGCGCTGAATCAGACAAAGGTCAAATAATCTATTCAATCACACAGTTATTTGCCTTATCGCTCTCGCCGATCAATAAAACAAAAACACTCCTCATAACATAACAACTTGCATTCCACACAGGGCAGGAATATCTTTGTTTATATACATACAAGCATTTTTATTATTTTGTAAGGCGACTCCTCCCTCATTGTGTTGCTAGATTTGAGCAAGAACGCAGATCACACACAGGAGGGTAATAGTGTCTGTCGATTGAAATATTGCACGCTGCACCCAAATATCCCCCAAACCGCACGGGCCCTCCAGTACAGCAATGTGCAGAAATGACTCTAAAGGAGTCCTAGGATTGCATGGAGCCTCGCGTTTACTTTTGTATTGTATTATATATAGAACAAATATAAAAAGAGAATTTCAATAACATTTACTATATCAGAAGGTAAGGACTGAGGGGGAGGGTAGCAGAAAAAGACAAGGAGTGGGAGAATAGGGGGACAGGAGAATGGGGGATACTACAAATGTTGAGAATGGATAGGGTCTAATGACGGAGGCCGGCCGTTAGTTAAGTGGGATATTCGCCACAATGGTAAGAAAATGGGCAAATATCACCATCAGAATGGTGACCATTCTTCTTAATTACTGAATGATTCACTATATGGATACAGATCTTTTTAGGCTGTTACCAATCGCTTTTTATTATGATTTCTGCATTTATCTCCATTAAGCAATGCCGGTCTGGTTGTCATAGTAACGTGAGAGAAAGAGCGTGTGGGTTCTCGATGTCCTCTGTCACAGTCTGTAACCAAGAAGTAGTGGGGACTGGCATCCAATCGGATGCAAAAGAAAGGCTGGGGAATTATTTTAGAGATTAATTTAGTTAAGTAGAGAAGATAAAAAGTTAATTAGGGGAATTTCATTTTGCATAATTCGTGGGGGGCAGGGGAGATAAATAAACAAATTAAAATGAAATACATCCTCTTCCACAACAATACTATATAAATGTGTCACGCGGGGGCGGGGAGAGGTGATAATGGGAGGAGAAATAGATTGCTTTCATCTATATGTTATGGGGCTAAACATATAATGTCAGAACTCTGAAATTGTGTTTTATTTCCAATCACCAACAGTCGATTAACATCACATTTACTTGAATCCTTACTACAGGGATATACACACTTTTCGATAAACCGATACCTCCCACTTTTGGGAGAATGTGGATCGGTACAGAGTGGACTGTCCCAAGGGGAGGGCTGCATGCCAGTGATGCAATTCGTAACACCGCAGATTGCCATAATGGCCCGGGTTTACAGAAGGTGCGGGCATCCATGCACGCCATGATGACTGACCCTTTCCAGGCCATCCCCACACAGAACATGCAGAGAACGTTGAGGAAGAATCTGTGTCCTGAAGTATATGAAAGATATTTAATGTAGACTTTGCGTGGCTCCTAAATTTTACAGTGCTAACCACATTTTATGACATTGTGATGTAAACCCCTACAGAAACCAGTTTAGGATGCTTAAGTCCCTATTGAGTGTTGAGAAACCCCCAGATGGTCTAACTTGCACTCAACATGGTTTGAGTTCAAATACTAACAGCTGAGAAAATAAGGCATATTTTTATTAAGTAAAGGATCTATAAAATGTATGGAAATGGTATATATATATATATATATATATATATATATATACACACATACACACACGAAAGTATTTGTTGGGTATTAAACGTTACACAGTTCTCATCTTATACTTCGGGGTGAAAGTGTAGTAAAAGTGGAGTTGCAAGTCTGAGCAACATGTGTAAATATATGATTTTACATAAACTATTTTGAAAAAACAAAATGTAAGATATTGAAGCATAGTTTTATTTAAAATAAGAAGAAAAAAAACAAAACTATTTCAATGAAGAATATGAGTATTTTATAAGGTATTTGGGGGAAAGAGATACCAATCGGTCCTGTTGCCTTTTCCATCTTATTTACCGCACAGAAAGGAACAGGTTGGCATTGCGCAATATATATTTCTTAAAAATCATGTTATCACCAACGCATTTTGCATTTGACACGACATTAAGATGGTGCGATTTCAAGCTGTTCCAGCAACTAATTCAGTAATTGCAATAAAATATGTTTTTCGGGGCGTGGGGAGGTTGCATTTTTGTTTTATAGAATAAAGAGAACAGTGACTCTCCATGATATTTGTTAAAGTCATAAAAAAAAAATATATACATATATAAATAAATTTTAAAAATGGATGAATGTGAAAATTATACACTTGTATATCTAATTATTTTAGGTTCTAAGGTTTGCCAGTGTTGGATAATTTTAATAAAATCTGTACAATGATCATTAAAGAGATTAACAAAAGAAGAAAAAAAAAAAATCTACCAATTGTGTAGAAACAGTGGTTTTAAATGCCATCTTTCAAATGTGCAAAAACACTTGCAATCTTGGAATTGCGCCAACATGTCCAAGCCTTGGCCTGACCGGTCTAAACACAGCCTGTAAAAGCCATCTGATGTCAGTAGCCAATCAGAATCTGTAATTAGCCAACAAACTCTAAGCTTTCCATGGGAACAGGTTCTCTGAACTCAAAATGTAGGTTTCTGAATTGTCAATTTTGTTGTCCATGCCTTATTAACATAACCCTCCAAAATGTAGTGACTATTTCTGCACACGTTGGCTCTACTCCAGAAATATCTGTATTCTACAACCATGTCATAGCTGGGGGTATTTGCATATAATATTTACAGAACGACACCATATATGTCGGTCTGTAGATAATATAATTTATGCATTGGTACATCTAGTTATTAGGATTATAATAACTTTGTCAGCGTGTTCGGGGAGTTAAAGCAACGTGCTCCAAAGCTTGCCTTGTGCGATCTTTCCCACCGCCCCCTCGCTGCCAAGCTGTCACACTCACACTCCTACATGTGCAATTATTTGCCCATCAAGAATTAAAAATATTCTCTTCACCAACAAAACACTTACACCTCCATGCAGCGAGAATTATGGTATTTATGCAGTCTTTAAAAGGACAAGTACTCCCCGTTAACCTTTTCATTGTCAAGAGGATGAGCCGTACAGATTTCCATTTGGACAGAGTTCATTTTAATAAAAGATTAAAGAAAATCTATGAGTAAGCCAAAGCATCAAATTTAATTAATTCATACTTACCAAGTGTCCCTAGGACTGACAGTCTATTTGGGGGCTCAAATCCCGACAGCCCTCTTTTCTAACTTAAGATCATAAATCAGGTGGCCACATAGTCAGTCGCCTATAACATCTTTGGGTATCAACATTCGTGGGTACATCTCCAGACTCAACCCTAAAATTAAAGTGTCCATTTTGATATTGTGAGGTATGGTATTATACAGAGGCTCCCTAATCCTCCTGACGTCAATGCAAGAAAACAGAATGACCTCACGGACACATGTTTGCAATCAGTGTTGGTCAATTCCATGTAAAACTCTTGTTAAGAAAAATTTAAATTAACGTTATATTTATTCATAAATCATTTTATTTCTGGTTTTCTCAGGAGTGACGATTTGCGGCTGAGGTTTATTTTAAAGTACGGTAGCAGATGGCGTGTACGCACTTACAGAGGGATCTATGTATGTTCGAACGTTGAAACAAGTTCCCATGACAGTTTTTGATACAGTATAATTAAGCCGTAAATCCTGATCTCTCTCTTATGCCTCAACTGTTCTCTTGCCCTAACAAAATACAATATAAAATTTAGCAAAAAGACAAAAACCCTCTACAATTGGATCCTCAATGTTTTTATTTTGCACAGTTTCAAACATCGTGCTTTTCTGATCTCCACACAACAGTGGTGATTGTCTTGACTGCGACAGATACGGAGTTATTCTGGTCATGTCCAGACTTTAAAAAAAATGTTCATGAATGAGTACACTCCTTCCGAACAGGAGAATCCGCTCTTGGGCTGAATACTAAACATCAAATGTTTGCTTACAGATATATTACATAATATTCCTTCAACATGTACAAAAATCGAACAGAAATTTTTCAGTACATTCAAGAAGATAATTTCCTTAACCTGGTCCTGATTACTCCGGGCCTGAGGCTTCAATTCTGGTAGTGAGTGGGCCCTGCCTGAGCCAACACAGATATCAAAAGATCTCCCTGCTCAGTTCTGTGTCCCCTCACCAGCTCACAGAAGCGTGGGTGAAAAGTGAACCTGCATTACTGAGTCCTATAAGCAAACATGCTTGGGCAAAACTCGTAAGTAAGGTGCTGCAGCAGTGAGTGTCTATATGGCGTTATGTCATACACCCACCTTCTGGTCCTGGCTCCGGTATGGAGTGTCCCTTTAAGTTGGCCAATTTTGTCAGTGTGTAAAGTATGGGAAGGGGTGATAATGGCAAAGTGACACAAACTGAGGGGGGGAGTTGTGTGTGTGTTATGGGTAGTGGGCTCCTCCCAAGATGGTGCACTGGATCTGCACCTTGTCACATGCTTCCAGGGGCTATAGGAGGGGGCCCTTATCTGGCAAAAAAAAAAAAACCTTCTATAAAGCTCTATGCAAGTCTGCGATTTTTTTGATTCACACTCGTTATGAGGCATTGTTTTTAGCTGTGCAGCTTCCATAAATAGTTTATCAGGACATTTTCGAGCATTCCCACTGCCTCTCGGAAATGGCTGCATCACGGGAAGCTGAACTCAGAGATCCCAATGGTCAACTACTTAACCCTTTAAAAGCAACACAGGAGTCCAAAGCTGTAACTAGGGAGCAGATCCAAGCGAGACTCCCCCTAATGAATTGTTTAAACCGTAGAGTTAGGAGCTGTTCCTATATGGAAAGGGAACGCCATCTGCACTTCAGCTCGGAATAATTTTCCAATGAATAGAGTGAATACACCTCCGCTCCTCTGCTCACACAGTCATTTTAAAACACCTACATGCTTTGTTCTGCAAAAACTAAAATGCAATGTAGAGCCACTATGACATAGGAGAACTTCGAGGGTACTTAGGAGCTTCGAACGAATGGTTTACCAGTGCAGAGAAATACCGGATACCGTAAGATACCGACCGGCATTACATTAAAGGACAAATGTCACCACCAAGTTTTGAAATTAAGATTTTTTTCTCTCTTTGAAGGAACACTATATGGTCAGAAACCCAAACATGTATACCTGACCCTATAGTGTTAAACTCGCCATTTAGCCCCCCTGGGTCACCTTAAATCTAGTAAAAACTCGCCTTATTTCCAGCGCTGTGCAGGTCCGCCTCCTTGGCTGACATCAGATTGGACTATCTCAGCCAGTCACCAGCCAATCCAATGCTTTCCTATGGGAAAGCGTTGTGATTGACTGAGATAGTCAATTCTGATGATCTCAGCCAAGGAGATGGGGCGGAGCCAAATGCCCCCCTGGCCAATCAGCATCTCCTCAGAGATGCATTGAATCAAATGTACAGTGTGGTGACATCAGTTTGACAAATATCAGCTTCAGTGTGGTCAGTAAACATGTTTGGGGATACAACTAGTGGGATTTGCAGTTTATGCTTTTCAGACCCCTGATTAGTAGACTGCAAAGGACAATGACTGAAAGACCATAATGATGAATGGCCTGAAATCAAACACTGCCTGACCCAAGGTGTATGTATATGGCTGAAGGATACTGACATATACTGAAGGTGGCAGTGAGTTTTTCACATTTTATTTTGCATATCCTTTATCAATAGTAAAATAGTAAAAACAAAGGGGGAAGGAGAGAGACGACAAACCCCAACAGGACACTTAAAGGAGAGGGCGGGGGTGTGGGGGGGGGAGGGACTCGAAATTCACACACACCAACTACAAACCTACTTCTCAAAGCCTGCTACCACAAATAGAGACAGCAACCAGAGATATTCAGATCATCCCAGTATCTCACGACTAAGACACGAGATGAGACAGGCAAATTCCCAAATCACACAGTCGTAGCAAGATGTGCCTATATTACTACGTCCCTACACTTCATTATGCCACCAGAGCCAGTTGATCGACTCTCGCGACCTGCATGTCGTAAACTCAAAAGAAGATGACTGCCCTTATGATAAACCAGACGAAACCAAATAAACATAAATACATAACGAAAACAAGGCACAAAAACGCTAAAATCACAATCTTAGCAAACGCACACTGCTCACAACACACCGGGGGAACACCAGATAAGCTCATAAAGATACGCTTGCGGAACTGGGTAGTCACAGAACCACATGAAAATCTCAGCCACCATGACTGCAGGGGGTAAGCTGCGAGACCTGCGTGTCTCTCCCTCCCCGAAATACTACCAGACCAGCGAGTCTAAATCTGATAAAGCTACACTCTTACATACTACCTCTTAGGCTGTATACGAGACCTACGAGTCTCAGACCCTAGTCATGATCGATGATCACACGCTGAACCAAAACATAAGAAAACCCATATACATGCTAGTGAAACCGTGCCGTCAGAAATAGGGTTATCTCTGAAAAATGCCAAACAATGCGTTATTACCTATCACACACAACTTTATGGCAAATATTACTTTGTGTTATTGGGTAATCTTATGAGAACTGTAGTGGCATTACAAGAGTCCCAGTAAAAAAACGAAAAATGTTCTTGCACAAAAAAATTAAATTCAAACAAAATAAAAAAAATAATAATCATAGCGTAACACAGTAAAATGAAAAATCACAATATGGGATAAATTGGTCCATAATAGAGTTGTGACCATGCCCTATAGGACGTGTGTTCATATGTCCCCCCTTGCAAGCCAACATGATAATCCATTGTGAAATATACGATATCCACTACAATACCACATTATATTACCTGTATGATGAGATATCTTGAAACCTCAATTGCACTGGTATTCTAGTTCCACCAATGAATCCCTATTAGCTTGGTTGCTTAATTTATATGGGGCCTGTAAGTCTGCTAATTATTACCATGTTCATAGACCTGCGTGTCTAACCCTTGCATTTATGATCGATACCTTTCTGCTTGAGATGCATGAGACCTGCAAGTCAACTTTTTGCAATGACATATTACCTTATGACATAACAAAAATGATATAAAAAAAAAAAAAAAACAAAGTCCAGGACAACCACAGCCTGGCTTTTCCTACTACTGTTTTACATTGTCTAATGGCATGATTGGTTAAGCCAGATGGTTACTACTGTTAAATGACTGCTATTCTTCACTAGGTCACCTTCTGCAAATGCTTTCTAGCGGTTTAAATCTGGTCCTTGTTTATATGTTCAAAATACCTTAACTGGAAATTTTCTCTAACTTCGCTATGTTCAGATACTTTGGCTAGAAATTTGAAATGATCCCTTTAACGAATAAACAGATTTAATAGGAACGCGAAGGAAAGAACGTTCTGGATCTTTGGGAATTCTAATGTTGGAGCTTTGAAAGAATTACCTGGCAAGTGTCAGGGTATACCAGCAAAAGTATTTCTCAAACATAATGGGGGAAATTCATAAGAGTAGCTAAGTCACTACCGATTCTCATGGTGACTGCTACACTTTTAGTATTTTCCATTAGTGTCTATGTCCTCCTGTATAAATGTAAAAAACACAAAGCATCTTTTCATTGACAGAGGAGTAAAATGTACCAATTGGGACAGTCTAAACATAAGCCAGTCTGTGCCAAACATAATGAAAGATGTGAAATCTGGTGATTTTAGGAACATTATAGTGTAAACAAATACAAAAATATATTCCTAATGCTATGGTTTTTCTATGCTTTTTTGTATTAATGTGTCCCTGCCGTTTTCTGTTTGCCATAAAAATTAATAATATATATATATATTTTTTTTTTTTTTTTTTGCTCACTTCATTGCCTCCCGCATTTCCATCAAGGAAGAATGGCCTCCTCTGCGATGGTCCAATCCAGAGCTCCTCTGAGTGGCATTGGGGACTGAGTGCCACAAGTGCATGCAAGCTTTCGCACGGGATAGCACGAAATTCAATGCTTTCCTATTGGATTCTGCATTTTGTGACCCACGTTTTACTAAATCAGTGTAAGGGAAGCACTTCTAGTGACTGCCAGTAGACATTGCAGGGTTAAAAGGACAGTACCACTGCGCCCAGACCACTTCGTAGAGAAGAAGTGGTCTGTGTAACTATAGTGTCCCTTTAATAAGCTGATTTGAATAAATGCTGACAAGCATGGGTCTAACTGTACTTTCTAATCATGCCCACGAGCTGTAGCTACTAGAACATTAATCACACTGTGTCCATCATCCAGAAAAAATCAGGTTCTATAGCATTCCTCTAAAAAATAATTATCAATCTGCAATCGCTCATCCCTTATGTCACATGTAAGAGTTTTACGAGGCTGACAGCTCTCTAACTGGTTGTGCATGCAGTGAAGGACAGGATAATTAAACGTTTATCTAGAAGCTGGTAGCTCCACTCCATACCAATAGACAGAAGTATGAATAGATATGGCAAGTCCAGGCATGTTGTGGATCACTGTGTGCGAAGCACTTCGAACAGATTAGATTTCATGCATTTCTTTCAATCACTCTGGCAGTATTTTGAGTCAAGCAGCGATTCCCAGGTATTGGAATACAGATCCTGCCATACTCTTTTGATGTGAGTTGTACTCCAATCTGCAGATAGGGACTGGACCCACCACCCACAGAACACTAGACCAAGGTGTTAATTAATGTGTACTTACAGCTAGTAGCAGGCAGCCTACAAACCAATCTGCTGTATAAACCACTTAGAATAATCACTACGCACTCCAGAAGTGCACAAGATGCACTGGCTACAAGAATAACATTTTCTTTTAAAAAAACAAAACACTAAAGTAAAATAAAAATAAAGACACAAACCAGATCTGATTTTCCTTTTTTTCCCCCCTCTTTCTAAATCCGCTATTTTGGCCTCGATTTTGCAATCCTCACTTCTACTGAAGAACCCCCGAGCACCCGATGCGCAAGTTCACTCTGCATCTCTGGCCGATGCATGCGCACTGGCCCAAACAATGAGCAGCAGTGATAGGCTGAAAGGCCAGGTAACTCCAGGCAGCACAACCTTGAGAGATATAGCAATCCCACACAATCATTTTGACCTCTCTCTCACAGATCTCATCAGCGGGGTACCACGGACAATCCTCAATGCACAGTGAGCATGTTATCCACATCTGGATTACGCGTTAGCAGACTAAGAATAATAAAAATAGCAAAAATACAGAGTGAAACAGGTGTGAAAATATCTAGAAATGCAGGTTCTGTCTAGCGTTTCTATACACATCTCGCCACTGCATATAACGTTCCTGTATTACGAGGTTGGAACAAATTGGTCTCTGTGTAGTATGTTTATTTTTTTATGTTATTTCAGGTTTTATTCTGCGTGCATAGAACGTAGAGATCTTTGTAAAGCTGGTTTCGATTTGCACCAAAATCTCTCGCTCTGCTATTTTTCAAAACAACATCCTCTTAGCTATGCTTTTCTTTCTGTAACGGGGGCTGGTTTTAAAATACAAAAAATAAACTACACAAGACCCAAACAAACAGTATCTCAAACTTAATTCAATTTAAGACAAAAAGACAAAAATGTCCAAGATCCCAGAAAATGGATTTAATAACTTAATGAGGAATATGATGCCAGCCTGATGTTTGGATTGTTAATTCGAGAACACGTGCCTCTTCTAAAACAAGCACGTTATGGCCCAATTTCAATAAACCATAACCATTCCTAGAATTGTACCAGGAATTCAAAGAAAGATGGATTGTAAGAGGAGCTCAATCATAGCGATTTACGTCATTCTGAAAACAGTGTTCTACATATTCATTAACATCAAATACCATCCCAATATGTACGTAAATAAAACATGCAATTTATTAAACATCAAAACTATGCATGCAGAAATTAGTTTAGTTTGTAACAAATTTTGTTAATTGCATAATGCTTAGTTGTATTGGGGAGTGGCAGACAGACACTGTAGTATTAGTGTAAGGAAACCAAGTGCATTTAAACCTCAATCGGTAATTTCCTCCCGAACCGCCAGAGCCTAGTGAATATAGCCCTCCGTTCGGTAGTTATGGTAGACGAATCCCAATGTAATTCCAATAGTGTCCCTGGATAATTCCCGCAGTAAAACACACGAACTCCCAAACAGCATACGTAGTCAGAATAAGGGTACAAAGATGAACTAGAGGTTTATTGACAGGCATGCTCTTTTTGTGGGATTCTGCCCATGCAAGGGAGCCTCCCATATAATTAGCTATACATCCAATCCTAACAATATACATACTGTACATCTCCTCCCCTCAGATAACCAATAAACACAATTAAAACGTAACAGATTTCCCCCAAAGTTTGGATGTACCCCAAGGACTTGGGGTACAGACATAATTTTGGTATCCCCAGATAGCTGTTCTCTGGGGGACCAACATATAAAAAAAAACTCAGCCCATTCGGTTCAGCCGTTCGGGAGATATGGGACTTAGAAGTTTTGACCGACTGCACAGGCAAAGTAGCCGAAAACAGTTCCATGAATTCTGGCCCTGCAGTCAGTCTTAGGTCGCATGAAAAACCTCCCGAACGGCCGGCCATCCAGCTACCATCCTTGGTTCGCTTGATTCCCCATCCGTTAGTAAGTCTTTCTACCGAACGCCCGGTCGTTTGGTAGTTTGGAAGGGGGTTTACCGAAGGTCTTGAGGCTTCAGCGGTGTTCGCCTATTTGAGTGTCCGTTTTCAGTTCCAGACACTCGACGGCAAACACCGCTGTTCGGGAGCTAAAATGGCAGCGAACACGTGGAAGTCCCAAAATGGCGGCGAGACATGCCGTTCGTGCAGAACGTCTGTCGAACGTAATCCAGCCAGCAAGGAGGTAAAGTCTGTATAATGGGCAACAGGGTGGTCTGGATTCGGTAGTTTTACCTACCGAATGCCATAGGGAACATTACTATCAAACAAAAAGAATACAAAGTGTCAATTTACAGCATAAGAGGGGCATTCCTTCACAGTTAGGAATACAAAACCCTAGAAGCCACCATTTGACTTCAATCAATTAACTTGGCAATTAAATAGTGCCTCGATCGTGGTCTATAACAGGGTTGTTCCTGTCAATCTGTCTGCAAAAACATAAAATCGTTATCAATATTTACCCCCCAACCCCAATACTTTTCAAGAAAACTATCAGATAGTAGTAGTCTTTTTGCCATCACTTAAAGGGGAAAGCAAATGCAGTAACCAATAGGGATTGTAAGTATTATACAAATAAAAGTTTACCCCCAAATTCATCTTGAAATTCCTTCACGTTTTCCTTATATTCACCTATCTGTGGCGCACAGACCCCACCCTCCAAACAAGTGATGTAATTTGGAGAAACATTACTTCCCCATTTAGCTGTCCAAGTATTTGATCTCATGTCACACCATAGAGGTCAACCTTCGGGAGACTGCTCATTGTTTGAACAGAGTTTTGCGTTCAAACTGGCATACGGTGGGTTAATGTCACTGGAAACAGATTGCATTCAGCAATATAATGAGCATCGCCGAGTGGTTTGCAAAGAGTAATTATATATGTAAGGGACTGAAGAACAACGGCAGCGTTCAGCTGTTCCTCCTAGTCTTTGCAAGATCGCTCTGAATAAATAAAATCCTCGGCATATCTCGCCCACTCGAAAAGCCTCAGAACTGACTCAGTGTCATGAGTGGGACCAGCTCAAAGTGCTCAATCTCTATTAAATGGGGGGGGGGGCTGGCACAAAACAGCCCCCACTAATTAAGTAGAGAAGATTCTAAAATTCTAACAGCATAATTAATCTCTGGCACTTAAGCTGACTGACTAGAATACCCATCACTCACAGTGGCTAAACAGGTATCATTGAAAACTTATTTGCAAAATCTTCATATTCGGCATCTCTAGTCTACACAAACAGCATCGAAGTGTGGGCAAAGGAGTGTGTTTACGGGGGACCACCAGTATGTAAACCTTATGAGGCTTCCGCACCTTTAAATCATATGGGGCCCAAAAGATAAGGTGATCTTCAGAAGCATTTATGATTGCAACTATTTAAATAAATCATTCTTAAAAATAAATAAAATCAGGATAAACTTCAGAGCCAGCCACGAATGTCAGCCGCGATTCTGGGAAGTCAGTGACCCTTAGAAATCTGAATCACAGAATAAAGGATGGTTGAAAAATTATATTTAAAAAAAATGCTTCCTGATATTATGAAAAGAAGTGAAGAGATGGGTAAGACTGCTCTATATCAGATAAACTGCCTTCGGTTGGTTTTAAAATGTTTCTCCCGAGCACAGACAGTACAAGAAAGGATGCAATAACAAATCTTCCCTCTGTAAACTCGTTCCTAGCCTGTTGGGGTTCAGGCGGGCAAGTTCCTGAAATTTGATTGTGATGGACTTCATAAAACGGTATCTTAAAATGTATTCCATCTTCTCTGCATATTACAGGCAGAGTTTAATGGAGCGAGATAGCTGTTGCTTAGAATTCACTAATTACGGTCATGGGGGATAGTAATTTGCCAGTGTTAATAGCTGGGCTGAAACATCTAAACTGGGAAGTCATTCAGGGTTGCGGACCGTGTAATTAGTGCAGGACCAAGCTGCAAGTCAAGGTCTAAGCTCTGGAAATGCTCCAGAAGTGATCCATTCCAAAGCATACAAATCTGTCGACCCACGGCCCACCCAGGGCCAACTATATATGAAATCAGCTTATCCACGGGCAACAATAGGAATGAGCTGATCCATACTAGCACATTTTTACACCTACAGCTTTCTAGGACTCTGACAACAATTAACCTCACCCTTGCTCCGTAATCAGTGACCAAAATGGACTACTGCTGGAAGTAATAATCCTGAAGGGTCACGTGGTCAGATTAAAATCACAAGCAAAGTAATATCCAGAGCTATTAAAGGACCACTATAGTCACCCAGACCACTTCAGCTCAATGAAGTGGCCTGCGTGCCAGGTCCCCCAGGTTTTAACCCTTCAGATGTAAACATAGCAGTTTCAGAGAAACTGTTATGTTTACATTGCAGGGTTAATCCAGGAAGACAGCCATTAGAGGCTCTCCTGCGATGCTTAATGCAAAAATCGCATTGAGCATGCAAAACATCTACAGGAACGCATTGAGTAATGCTTTCCTATGGGCGGTTTGAATGCATGCGCAGCTCTGGCCGTGCATGCGCATTCGGCTCCACTCGGGAGCTGACGTCACCAGCGCCAAGGGAGCCCGGCGCTGGATTAAGGTAAGTGGCTGAAGGTGTTTTAACCCCTTCAACCCAGCGGGATGGGGACCTGAGGGTGCAGGGACCCTAAGGACTAGATAGTGCCAGGAAAACGAGTTTATTTTCCTGGCACTATAGTGGTCCTTTAATATAAGTTTTGCAGCCTCCGATGTAAATTCTGGGGGGTTCATTGTACCCCAGCATGCAGCACAGGCCTATGCCTACTCACTGCCTCCTCCTCCCCATTTTAGCATTTGTCCAGAAAGCAAGGCATAAGTCCCAGTGGTATCTTTCTAACCCTGATCAGTCTCTATAACCCAGACTAGGAGGCTGTCACAGAATGGCGACTGCTGACTGCAGTTTACCATTCAGAGTTTTGCTTATCTCACCTGGCAAGACATGACCAGAAAAGGTAAAGAGCAACTAGCAAATCGGGTCCGCGAGCTTGCATGTGAAAACATGCTACAAGATGTTAAAGCAGCACTGCCCAGAATCCATCAGTCACAAGAATCCACAGAACGGCAAACTGCAGACACCACAGACAGAGGAGTGCAAAACCAAGGCTCTCGAGTCATTACCATACAAAAGACATTCGGAAAGGAAAACCAAACCGAAACACAGTATTGCTTTTTAGGGTCTGTGCACCACATGCAATATACTGGGAAATGAAATTATGGATAACTGGGAGGAGGATATGGGGATTGGGATTGGAGAATTTGGTGAAATTGTAATGGGGGAAAGTTTGGCACTAGTACTGAAAATATGAGTTTGAGAAATTGATTTATTTTTCTAAGGAAAACGTGCAAAAATCTAAGCGGAGAGGCAGTCTGCCCTGGTGACAGTTGGCAGGGGGTGCCCAGAGCACCCACATCTAGTCAGCAGGCATGCAATTACTGGAATATTGCGGCACAATAGGTGCCTGCTCTGCTGCTCTCCTGGAACTGAATGCAGAGCAGAGCAGTGCGTGCGTAAATTCAACAACAAAAATGGGTTGGGGGAATGAGGCAAAGTAAGAAACAAAAAAATGTAGGGGGATGGGGGTTGCCAAAAAGTATTCCCACCGTTTGTTATTTACTAAAGTGAGAATTCATAGTGAATTTCAAGTAGAAATAGCTGAAACTGGGGGGGAGGGGAAAAACCTCTCCAAGTTACTATAACCACTTTGCTATTACAGTTGAAATTTGCTTTAAAAATTCCCAACACGTCTCCCTTTAGTACATAATCCTCTAATATTTATCTGGTTTCCATATACAAACAGGTGGAAATGATTGGATTCCGTGATTGGCCGCTGTCCCACTAATTCCATGCATACTTTCAGTACAGAAGGTGCACGCTTAATAGACGTTTGATCACATATCTAACTGATAGCGCAGTGACTTTTGAATCTGTAAACAGAGCAAAAGGCAATTAAACTGCCAGTGAGAGCAGACCTGGCTGAAAAACAGATAAATATTTTCCTACTTTTACTTTCCACTATCTGGATGTTGTCAAAACCTAGAGCATGCAAACAAATCAATTAACCCTATGAAATCCAGGAGCACAGACCTGTCTGATCATCTCAAAAATTAAGCACATAATTTTTAAACAAATTTAATTTAAAATGTAATTTTAATATTTTTATTTCAACACTTGTTGAACACCTAATCATATTCAAGCTATCTCAGCTGCTTGCCTTCAAAATTCTTCAAAGGGACACTATATAGTCACTACAGCTTGATGTACTGGTTCTAGTGTCTATAGCCTGTCCCTGCAGACTAAGTACTGCAAACACAGATTTTTCAGAGAAAAGGCAGTGTTTATATTGCTGCCAGTAACACATCTAGTTGCAGTCAATCAGACAGACACTAGAGGTGCATCCGATTTCAGCATTGCGCATGGACTATAGCCTGTCAATTCTTTCCTATGAGAAAGCATTGGATTGGCTAAGAACATCAAGTTTGTGGTGGTGGATAAAAGATAAGTTTAAAACCTTTATATACAGACAGGGGGGGGGGGTGTCACAAACGTGGGCTATTGGCCCAGCCGAGACAGTGGAGAGAGTGTGGAAGTGAAAGGGTTAATGACACCAGACCCCTGGTTACCTGTTGCTAGTCCCAGCAACCACTAAATTAACTCCTGCAAAACCTTCTACACTAACACCCTAGTACAGACTTTACTGCCACCACCAAGACTTTAAATCCGGGCTGTTACGGCAAGAGTGAATAATTCATTAGTGCACTATGGAATATTGTCCTTCAATGTAATTTGTGTGGTGCATAAATAATCTGCTTGCCTAGTAGAGGTGGTATTGTCAGTGTCAAAAAGGGGTTAATTTGCTTGTATGGATGGTTTATAGCCTTAATTTCGTTTGAAGATGGGACCCCCCCAGAGGTCAGATGACAGAAGGGGTAATGTAACTTGCATAGGAATGTGAAAGCTGCAAGGTGTGAGATTCTACACCTGACATACCTTAACCCCTTAAGGACACATGACATGTGTGACATGTCATGATTCCCTTTTATTCCAGAAGTTTGGTCCTTAAGGGGTTAAGGTATTGCTTCAGGCATATGGCATGTACCTCTTAATTGAGGGGTCAATCTCTTTGATATGTTAATGGCCATTAGCCTTGTTTCAGTATCATATCCAAAAGGAAAAAACAATATTTACCCACAGAATAATAATGAAGCCTCATTTTTGTTATATTTAGAATGTGGCAAGCACCATCTTCTAAACAAGCCCAAACATGATTTGCGTAACCTAACCATAGGGGAAGGAATTGTGATGTCTGCCACATTGGGTCGCAAGTACGGTGTATGACATATCTATCGAATGGGAAGATAAATTCGTAGATGCAATTATTATTTTTGTGGCAGATACATAAGAGAAGATAAAACCAAATGTTTCCATTTGGATTGATGTTGGTAATGTTGGTCTGGAACACAAGGGGGTGGTCACTCATTATCGCTATAGATACGCCTTAACTCCACCTCTAGATCAGACGTGGTAATCCAATGATACTGAAATGTCTGTGTACTTTCTTTGGGCCAAAATCTAATTTTGATTAAGTCACCATCTTTGAAAACCTAATTGAGTAAGTGTTTAAGACTTCTGTTATTTTTCCCTTTTGTTTTTATCTGTTGTTGGTGTGAATAGTTTTCTCATCTATTTTTTGTATGCACCGCGACTATTTTTTTGCTCATAATGAATATTCCTTTATTAAGTTCTGCCTTTGTCTTGTAAAGAATCACGTTACCTGAAGAGACTAATTAGTATTTTTGCAATTCCTAAATATTGTGCTAAGTTGTATATGGTGGGTTTTTATTATTAAGTTTACCTTGGGGGACCAAGGCACTCCATTTATAAATTGTCTTGGTGCTGGCAGCGTTAAAATAGTAATGGGTATATTATGTTTAAAGGGACACTATAGTCACCCAGACAACTTCAGCTCAATGAAGTGATCTGGGTGCCAGGTCCCTCAGGTTTTAACCCTTCAGATGCAAACATAGTTTCAGAGAAACTGCTATGTTTACATTTGGGGTTAATCCAGCCTCTAGTGGCTGTCTTCCGGACAGCCACTAGAGGCGCATCTGCGACGTTGGAGGCATATTATGCCTCCATGGCGCAGAGCGTCCATAGGAAAGCATTGAAAAAGGCTTTCCTATTGACAGCTTGAATGCACGCGCGGCACTCGGCATTCGGCTCCACTGACGTCGGCAAAGGGAGCTGACGTCGGTGGGGGAGGAGAGGTCACCAGCGCAGAGGGAGTCCGGCACTGAAATAAGGTAAATGGCTAATGGGGTTTTAACCCCTTCAGAGCCACGGGAGGACACTGAGGGTGGGGGCACCCTCAGGGCACTATAGTGTCAGGAAAACCGCTTTGTTTTCCTGACACTATAGTGATCCTTTAAGTGTGGGTGGTGTTAAGGGGGATTTTTTCATTATTTATGGTCTGGTGCAGACAAGTAGTGAACTTTAACCCTTTCACCACCACAACTACGTCACGCGCACTCTTGAAGTAGGTGCATTTGTGACACGGGCGTCTTACGTTACCCCACACACAGTAGAATTATAGTATCACAACCTTACTTTATTGATCAGACATATATAATTAACCCTTTTGGTAACGTGTATACCTGAGCTTTCCTCAGAAGAGTGAGCTCATAGAGAACAAAGACACAAGCTATATACACAAATACAGTAATAAATGACATACAGAAACACAGATAACACATTGCAAAACAGTCCATAAAATAATATAGGAGAAAACACAAGAAATCCTTACATATATTTACCCCTTATATATAATTCTTGTGGGAGATACAGATGTTACAGGTCTCCAAGTAGTTGTCGAAAATAGAAATCTCAGACTGGAAACTCCAACATCCTCAATATATACCTTAAACTAGTAGTTTATAAGTGGCCAGACTCCTGGGTGGATCAGAGGGGTTTGGCCTGGCTGTTTGTTGCCCACTCCATATTTTCTTAAATGATGTTGTCCTTTGAAGAACCCAAAGTCAGAGCATATGCACCAATACCTTTTACGATGCCCTATGTCCAGCTCTGGTGATGGTTATCTAGTAGTATTATGGCTTAGGCCTGGTGTAAGATCAATGCCTACAATTAAATGCTATCCCAACATGCACAAAAAACAACCCATAACATATATCAAATGCCAACTCATGCTTTGGCATGACAGGGGGGACAGACAGAGTACCTTCACTATAGTGCTAGGAATACATGTTTGTATTCCTAACACTATAGTGTTCCTTTAAAATACTTATCACAAGACGTGTTTAAGTGGAGCTCCTGCTCAAAATCCCTGAAAACGATCTACAAAGCCACAAAATCACAGCACTCGGAACCCATAACTAAGCCACAACCAGAGCTGAAACCCCCCACAGAGAGATGGGGCGAAAAAATTAAAAAGACTCACCCGCCCGGAGGGGTCCTATCTGCCAGATATCAGGCGATCCTTTGAAAGGCCGCAACAGCCACCGCAGCCTAAAATGGCGACTGGTGGGCCTCAAAACGCCAGTGACTCCGACGCATCTATGGAGGGAGAGAATCCCCTGACCACACACCATCACCGTGGTATACAGGTCGGAACACTCAGACAACTCACCATCCACAAAAGGCGACATTAAAAGACTGTTGCTGGATCTGCGGGAGGTGTGGAAGTCTGACTTGGCTGGCGTACGGACGGAGTTGGCAGGCATTATGGCGCGCCTCAGCGCAGTAGAGACCCAGGAAGGGGACAGAGACACCTTACTCAGACACCAGAAAAGCAGATAGAAGCGATGTCCCACCAACTCCAAAGACTCACCCGCACGGTCACGACAACAGAAACATGCCACAGAAAAAGAAATGTACGCATGCGCGGAGCCCCTGAAGACCCTGCTGGAATACACTAATAGAGTGGCAATGCTCATGGGGGCAAAAAAAGAAGGTGAGACAGGGCCGATAATGGCGGCGTTCAGGATCAGGAAGGCCCCTATCGTCCCGGCGGACACACCCACAGACGTCACCCGAGACGTCTCAGTTAAGGCTGGGCTTATGGCCCAATCAAGAAAAACACCCACCACTAACGTGAATAACTGCCACATTAGTGTCTTTGATGATCTGCCTCATGTGACCTTGAAGGAGCGGCGGAGGTTCATGCTACTGGGCATCCTTTTTTCCATATTATCTTGGAGAGAATCCTGGCCCTACCAGTCTTTGTCCCAGCCAAGTCTTTTCTGTCTGTTAGGTCTAGTTACTATATATAACCATGCTATCCAAAACAAGCTGTACTATGCGAGCACACTGTGTTTGACCGGATGAGCCTGGGTCCTATCCTATTACCATACTTCCAGTGCATTAACCAAGGATCCACATCTTGTATTGATCAGCACTTTTCAATCCATATGCGCTTCTCTCAGTAACTGAATAATTCTAGACTAGTTGACTGGAAGTATGCCCTGTCAATTGCCTTGTCTCATGTACCGTCAGAGGATAATAAGTTTAGTTTACCATACTACCAAGTATTCTGTCTAGTTTCATGTGGCTAGGCTATGTGACCAGGGTGTTTCAGCCATTAGCCAAGTCCCACTGATCTTTGAAAGGTCTAAGGAATTAATCTGACTGCAAAAGCCAGTTAGGAATATTTGACGGACATACTCATTCTGAACGAACGACCCAGCTCCTACATTACAACACCAAACCCCAACAGGTTGAGTCACAAGTGGATACAGAGAACACGTATGCAGTCGACCACTTCAGAAAATATCAGCCTATGCTGTAACTGCATCGGTTTGCTTGAGAGACGTCTCTTATTTCTGTATGAGATGCAACCTTCCACCAGAAGTCTGCGCTTCCACATGGCCAATTTATGGTCCCAGTGGGTTTCTAACTCTGTCCAAGTGCAAGTGCAAAGTGGATAATCTGCCCAGAAACCGTGATATATTGGAAACAGCTGCAGGATACATAGCTACATATTATATCAGAGTAAAAAAAAAAAAAAAGAAAATTACAGGATTACATTCTTCTCAAAAAGTCCTGGGGAAAGGGGTCATTCACTAAAACCGTGTATTATACCGAGCTGGAGATTTCCGATATGATTTAGTGAAACCCCCCCAAAGTTTTCCCAGCCATTTTTAACTTCCACACAAAATACCAAATACACAAACACACACAAAAAAACAGCGAAGTTTAAATTATTGTAACACAGCAACATCTTTACTACTCGTCAAGTTTGATGGACGCCATGAAGGTAATAGGGCATGAGATAAAGAGCTGACCTAGAAAAGGCAAAATTAATGTTTGCCATCGTGAAAATTTCAACACTCAAACAAGTTGCAGCACAATTTATTTATAGCTAGAAGCAAGGAATATCACTGAGGTGACCCATAATGGCTGCCAACGGAGAACAAAGTGTGGACGCCAAGTCAGCTTGTCTGAGTACGCAGCGCTGGCAGTGGGCAATTGTGAATCCTTCAGGACTGCTACGCAGACGCCATATGATGCCACCAAGTGCCAAATATACAACACTTTCTATGGAACCAAAACTGGCCAAGGCATCCAGGGATTTAAAATATCTGCAAATTCTTCACATTTCCATTTTGATCAACATTTTTATCAATTTATACCATTGCTAATTTAAAATAAACTGGATATGTGACATCACAATGATGTCATAACAGCATCTTCGTCGAATATGCATATTCGTTCAAATGTATTCACCATTTCATAGATCAAATATTCAAACAGTTTGAAAAATATTTTAAGCTTCACACATGGCTCATAAGACATAAACAATGTGCCAGCACATGCATAACGCACATCAACTGCATCCTCCTGTCATTAACCAGCACTTTGCAAGAATCAGGCTGTCACCCAAATGGTTAATCAGTCCCCCTGCATGGGAAGCAGGTTACTGTACACAAGAGTTTGGAATTATTTATGAGCTGGAACAAAATTAGAATCCGCCTCCTCCAAGCTGCAAAGCTTCTCGGAGCTCAAACTGACATGCTGTGCCATTCGCACTTAGCCAACGTTCCCACTTCTCTAGACACCCCTCAAGGCAATCATTTCATTCTTTGAGATACAAAGAGCCATGTATGTGCAGATGGTTTCAAATAAAACTTAGGATAATGGGAGATTCCGAGGGGGATCGTTAAATCCAATAACTATACCTGAAAACAGCTGAATTTCAAGCTTCAGCTTTTTCAGAAAAAAAAAAAGTTACAAAAAATTAAAAAACACACAGATTTCTTCCTCCAATACATATGGCCTGGTGTCAGTCGGGTTAACTCCAACTTTCTCTTAGGTAGCTGACTGGGCTTCAAAGGAGAGGTGGTTTCAGAAAAATCTAGGAGCCCAAAGGTAGCCATCGATAGCTTATCCTTTTGCCCTGTTTTCGATTCATTCTCCTCCTATCATGATAACACCAGGCCAAACACGCAGAACTTACTCACACCTAGCTAAAACTGGAAATAGAACTGGTAATGCACCTCTGTCCATCTCTTAGCGTTGGCCAAGCTTAAAGCCAAGAGAAGATAACAATGACCTGCAGAGCAGGTCAGAAAGTAGAAAAGAACAAGCAAAGGCCACAGGAATGGGCAACCTTCGACAACCCAGATGTTGTGGACTACATCTTCCCTGATGCTTTGCCAGCATTATAGCTGTAAGAACATTATGAGAATGTAGCCCACAACAACTGGTGTTGCCTAACCCTGGACTAGGACAACAGAAGGTAAAAGTAGCGGGTCAAAGATTACAGGATGGAGAATGATCAAGGACAAGTAGAAGTCCGAATACCAGGAATCACTACTCACTAAGCAACTACTCACTCCTGACATATACTGGCACATAGTTATTACTCCTTAGAGCCAGGATACAGAGCTCTGAAAAAGGTGAGCATTTTACTTACTTTCACCTTGCACATCATTTGAAACAGACTGTACATTTGTTACCTTCTCTCCATGTTTTTTCTTTGAGATACATCATGTGGTGGATTGTTGTTGTGATGCTGCCTTAAAAGCATACAAGCCTCAAAATGTGCTGTATTGACTGCCATAACAGAGTCTGTGATGGTACGCTTGTTTTTAATGATATGGCAATGCATACTGTTGTATTCACGTGCGCACGACTAAAATAAAGAATTAAAAAAAAAAAAAAAAGCATACAAGCCTGATTACGGAGCCAGTTTTCACATACAGGCTCCTTTAGATGTGAGTGTTCCACTTTACCATTTTATCTGACTTTATTGTGACGTACCATCTGCACTATATTGCCAAGCTTGCCATCAAGTTACGTGGGGTAAGTGTACCCCATCATCCTTTCAGCGCTCCACTTATAAGTGTGAGTTTCCACATATACCGCCTTATTGACTTTCGTATTAATGGGTACCGACTACCTTTTGGTCGCACAATTATTTTTATTTTCCTAGGACTGGTTTCCTTGGTGACCGATCCATTTTCACACTGAAGAATTTACAGGGTGATGTTGGCAGCAGGGAAAAGATTTACCTACAGAATAGCATTAGTGTTTCCAATTATTGCAGTTTATTCTAAATACTTACAACTAATTTAAAAAAAGTTACATAGTTAGAGAGGCTGTGGATAAAAAAAACTAAACAAAACAAAAAAAAAACGAAAAAATTAATAAAAATAAACAAACACATTCCATCAAGTTCAGCCTTTAATAAAAGGAACAAAAAATAACCAAAAAAGTTTTGAGTCTCTAATTCCGCAGTTTAAATTTTCTATTAGGGAATAAACCTCAATGTTAGTATATTGGTTCTATGCAAATAAAACAGGTAGGTATGGCAAATAATGCAGATTCAATGCAAATGCTTATTTGGTATATTATAGGAGACTGTATACATATTTTTGGGGGAAGAGTTTCCCAAAAGCAATGAAACCCATACGGTCCAGCTCTTCGTCACAGCCCTTATTGAAGCAGAACAACCTACTATTGAATAAGCGATATCAGATCCATCTGTGCTCCGATGGAATCCATTTCCTGACAATGTCCACTGATGCTCTCAGCCAATACAATCCATGTAAGTTTGGGCAAAACAGAAATTTCTAAAGTGGAAGGGGGGGGCAGGGGAGATGTAAATTTTATAAAACCATTTGAATAATGTTTTTTAAAAAAAATAAAAGGGCTGCACCCAAAGAATAATTACCCCACACCATAACCACTACAATAAACTAATTATTATTGTGCATTCAGTAACTTTAATCCATCATCCTAAAAAAACACGACACAATGCCGTCTTTTCACGCTCTTTTCTCTACGCGTTCAGCTTCATGTAAGTTACATTTATTCAGGCAAGGACACTTCCTTTACATTACACTTTAAATTAAGCGTGCAATAACCTACAAGAAAAAACGCCAAAGAGAGCCAGAAGTCTGTAAATCGGCTGCAACAAATAACATTTTCAACATTTTAAAAGGGCTAGAGTAGATATCTAAATTGTGCATCAAAGTAAACATGAGCATGGCACAGGTTACACTACATTCATTCTAAGTCTTCGTAGCTATTGGATGCTCCATATTTAGCTAGATAGCAATATTAGTAGCCTAGAATAATTATTAATATATGGATGGCACAAGCAGAAAGCATTATGCATTGTTTCAAGGTACATAGGAGATTACGTAAAGGGACATTAAAATGCCCAAATACTTTAAGATCTAAAAATCCCTGTTTAGTATACATGTACTCCAAAAAATTATGCATGCGTTTAATTATGTATTTTTTCCATTGGTGTAATACCTAAAAACTGCTTGTAAAACCTGCAGATCTCTTTTCTGCTGCCTTTGTAAACCCTCCCCTACTAACTCCACCCAGACTTTCTGAGGCTGCCCAATCACAGACTTCCCAATACAGCTCAATGAGTCTTTGCAACACAGGTACTCTAGGCAAACTGTCTTCCTCCACTGAGCTAAACAACCAGGCAGTAGTAGAACCATTTATAAAAGTGCCAATTTCTATTCAATTCTGCACTTTTTGTTAAATAAAAAACAAGACAAACCCTTCACACACACACACACACATATTACATCAGACCTCTAAAGCACTTTAGCTTGGTTAAATGTCCCTTTAAGTCGTATCACCCATATCTAAAATAGAACTGCATAGATTCAGAATTTTGTTAAAATAATCACTAGTCAGCATCAAAAAGCGATGGAAAGTGTAATACCATCAATTCTACCTCACTGAAATGTTTTTGCAAAAACACAGTTACCCCAAAACGTTATATCAATTCGGTTCACAATGCCCTTGGAACATTTTTCATTCTGAGGTTGCAAAGTAAGGTTTGGATGGACTTCGGGAATATCCTATAAAAGATTCTGAAATAGCCAGCACCTCCACATTTAGACTTCTGGCATCAAAACCACAATTTAGTTCCATGGGTTATGATGCTTTGAATCTCCCTTCAACTGGAGACTAGCATGGCATAGTCACTTTAAAGGATCACACGCAATTGACAGGACCACAAACAGGTTCCGCAGATAAAACTAAATAGGTCTTGATTGGCTGTACACAAAAGGGAACTTAAAGGGACACTATAGTCACCAAAACAACTTTAGCTCAATTAAGCAGTTTTGGTGCATAGATCATGCATCTGCAGTCTCGCTGCTCAATTCTCTGCCATTTAGGAGTTAAATCACTTTGTTTATGCAGCCTTGGCCACATCTTAACTGCATGTGACTTACAAAGCCTTGCAAAACACTTCCTTCAAATAGAGATCTACTGTTTATATTTCCTTTAGTGCACATTCTGCTTAAAGGGATTCTAAAGTGCCAGGAAAACAAACCAGTTTTCCTACCACTAGAGAATCTTGGAGTGCTCCCCAAGATTGAAACCAATTCAGACACTTAGCTGAATCCAGCGACGATGTCCCTCTGCGCTGGGTCAGGCTCCGCTCATGCTCCTACGCCGGCATGTGTGGCAATGGCTGCGGGCGTCCACTTGCTGTCCAGACAGCAACTGGAAGAGGACTTAACCCTGCAACGTAATTACTGCAGTTTATAAAAACAGCAATAATTACACTTGCACGGTTAAGGGTGATGGGAGTTGGCACCCAGACCACTTCAATGGTCTGAGTGCCTACAGTATCCCTTTAATGTATAATTCCTCATCTCCTGTTCAGTTAATTGCCTTCTAGGCCCATGCAGGAGCTTCCTCTGTGTCATTAAAGTTCAATTTACAGATCATGAGATACAAACTTCTAAAGCAAGTTAACATCTGATAGAAAATGAAACCATTGTTTCCCATGCAGGGTGTGCCACTCACAGCCAGAGGAGGTTGGCTAGGGCTGCGTAAACAGAAACAAAAGTATTTTAACTCCTAAATGGCAGAGAATTGAGCAGTAAAACTCCAGATGCATGATCTATACATCAAAACTGCTTCATTAAAAGGACTCTCCTGTGACAGGAAAACAAACCCGTTTTCCTGGCACTAGAGAATCCTACAGTGCCCCCCTCCCATCTGCCCCCATCCTATTTTGCTGAAGGGGTTAAAACCCTTTCAGACACTTACCTGAATCCAGCGCCGATGTCCCTTGGAGCTGGGTCAGGCTCTGCCCATGCTCCTCCCCTGCAAGCAGGGGGAGACCTAATAAGCATGCGCAGCAGTGGCCGCACATGCATTAGACCTCCCCAAATTAAAGCATTATCCTATGGGGATTCAGGCGACGCTGCAGGTACTCTTGCATAGCGTTTGAGCGACCATAAAGTTGTTTAAGAACCCAGAAGTCCCTCTAGTGGCTATAGTGTCCCTTTCACAAAACCATTGGCTGCTAGCTAAACAAGAGTAATCTTGAATATTGCTTCTTGAATCATCACAGGGAGAAACAGAAAAATTAGTTATCAAGGACACAGCGACTCCACGGAGACCACGATAACCAAAGCGTACTACCATGAAGCAGGGATGCACTGCTGCCACTGGCACACAGGAGCCCTATTAAAGAGTGCTTTAAATATACCAGAGTTAAATACTATATTACAGATCCGCCTCTGATGAGAAGCATGTGCCCTGCTGGCTAATATTACAGAGAAGTAAACAATGCTTTCAGCAATCATCCACACTATTTATAGTCAAGGCTTCCCCAAAGGAATTCTATGGTGCCAAGGTTTCAGGAAGGAGGGGGGATTGTAGCCTCGCATGTACCGAATATCTGCTTAAAACGGAGATCTTAACTGGAACCTAAGCTAAAACTCTTCACTGTATAAATTTAACGGTGGTTCGATAAGCTAGGAATTGTTGAGCACGGACAAAAGAATTGCATATTTATGACAAAATATTTTAGCTGGAAAGTTATATTTCCAGTTTGGAATAAATTGCGCAATAGCCTTGTCAATGCTCGTAAAATCCCGGGTTCATGAAGATTTACAAGCTTTTTACCACTTCTCATCACAGGCTTCCAAGCTCCAAGAAAACCAAAATATGTACTGTAGCACTGATTGCAGGAGGAAAGCCAGTTGCTGTATATATCCTCAGTAACGAGCATGATCAGTCTACAGATGAGCTAGGTACACGGCACCCAGTGGTGGTCCATCTCCCCAGCTCTGGTCATTTTTAGAAAAACTTGCCCAGAAGCTGGCTGTACAATAAGAGCCTCACACACAGAACCAATCTGATCCCAGAATCCAGCAGCACACTATTTACTCCGCTGTTAGTCAAACTGTGACAAGATAATCCAATAAGGTGTTATGGGCAAATGCAAATATTACAAGTTTTAGAATGAAATGTTGCATTTCTTAAACTGTGTACTTTGTCTTTAAGAGATATTGCAAACTGACAAGGTGTAAGAAATGGAACATATTGTTAATAACTGTTTCTTTAAGCAATAACCTCAGTGCATAATATGTTTGCGCCATTTTGTCCCAGAAGAATTACAATAACAATAATACAGAAACAAGCTTCAAGGCTATACTACGACTTTTGCAGTACACAATATACTGTAGTAACCCTAAGTAGATAAGGATGTCCAAGTTATAAGATGCCATCTTAAACTAAGTCAGGAAAATTTCCATGACGTATACACCCTTTAGTTATGGCCTTGTATGTTTGCCAAGTTAAGGGAGGTCCTAAAATGAATAAAGTAAAAGAAGTGTTACTTTTTCATACGGTGACCCTAAAATGGAGACACCTAAGGTATAAATAGGTGTATTTTTAAATGTTAAGACACAGAGGAGAGACTCAGACAGACGCTGCTCCATCTTAAAATGACAGAGAGGCTGACATGATGACATGTTTAGAAGGGTATGTTAACCTATTAATGATATTTGCAAGCATTTAGTTTAATCTTATAAACTCTGCTATAATGGATTTTATATTTATATGTTTATATAATAAATATCTAAAAAGACAAAAAACTTTATTGCTTCCAAGACAACCCTTATTTTATATTGTATTCTCAATTATTTATATATGTTAAATAGAGGATCTCTTACATTAACTAGATAAAATTATGGCTAAGATATCTGTATGGTTAGCCCTACTAAGTTCTATGTTTTAAGACATTATAGTGGTAAATAAGGGAAACAGCCTCGGTTACAAAGGTAAACGTGTAGTGTGAAACTATTAGACACTCCTATTGCTGACCTCAGTAAGTATACCAAGAGCAGTGCATGGTTGGAACCCAAATAGGACGACCACAGACATTTACAAAGTTTAAATTCCTCTAAAATTGCAAGTAAAAGCCACAAAACCAAGCCCCATTACAATCAACTGGGACTCAGCCCAACAGTGTTCCATAAACGTCTTAAATAAACGCATTTGCAGAGGGCTCCCGGAGGAATACAGCCTAAACAGAGCCTACACAAGTGCCAATTAATTCTGTAAGTGACGTTTGATGTAGACGCCCAATAGACTGAATAACTGTGTAGCACAACTAATTGGTCATGTGGGTACACCAGCATTGGCACGCCATCTCTACTATTTCTGAAAGTTGTGGAACATGAGATTCACAATGATGCTAGGTCTTACTTAATACCATATGATTTAATAAAACGTTGATATTTCAATATAACTTGTGTTGACTTATGTTTAAAGGAACACAATAGTGTCAGGAATACAAAAGTGTAATCCTGACACTAAGTGTGAAAACAAATTTTAGGTGTCCTCCCTTGACCCTTGCGAAAAAGTGAATTTAATCAACTTTTCCCCAGCACCACGCGAGTCTCCTTGCTGCTGATCATAAATTTTAATGATTTCAGCCAATCCAATGCTTTCCTATAGAAAAGCATTGGAGGGCTACTGCACATGTTCGGCAAAACACTACGCTTATAAGCATCTCTATGGGGAATGGTCACCGTCTATGCAGAGCGTGGAGATGCTGAACGTAGGTGCTGCTACTAGTAGGCAGTAATGTACACACATCATTCTCTGTGAAAAGGCAGTGTTTACATTAAAATGCCTGCTGGGACATACTGTATACACGAGAACCACTACAATAAGCTGTACAAAAAAAAAAGCTTTTGTCGTTTCACCCTGGTTTTCATGTGAACCTGACAGACAATGCATCTGGCATCAGTATCCGTTTGAGAATATTCCATTCACCTTATTTCAAACTGCTGCCCAACTACACATCGTAGCAGGGGTTAATAGGAGATGCTCAGGTGTCATTGAAAACAATGCGATGCTTAGAAATGGCTGAGACTTGCTGCTACTTCTTAATATGCACAGCAACGTCAAAAGGTGAATGCCTCCATTTTTACTTCTGTTACAAAAAATAAAAACACATAACTCGTGTGAAATCCAGTCTGGAGATGACCTTTACTGAGGGACAGATTATGTATCCGTGTATTAAGCGCAAAGTGTGGAAAGTGGAGTGTACGCACGCCCTTGATACAGAACATTAGCCTGGTATGTTGAGCTGTTTACATTACAACGAAAGATCCATTTCCCCAGTCGCTCTGGCCAAAAGGAATTCACAAGCGATGCAGCCACACCCTAAGTTTAGCAACAGTTTTTATGTATACTGCAAACCCCATGCAATCGCATCTCCACACAGGTAGGCACAGCAACAATCTCCCAGCGCAGAACCCAGAGAACGGAAGATGACACCAGTCGGGCCACTCCAGAAATTAGACTCCATTTATGAGTAATACATATTTAGGGAAAATTGGCTTGTTTGCTGCCAAGTCATAAAAAATTAAAATACAAGTTAAACCTGTCAAGGGAGTTATGAAGGGTATTAGTCTTTAGAATGCAGTGCGAATATGTTACGATTATAAATTAGCAGGTGATTCACTAGGAAACATTTGAAAGTGTACGTTCCATCTAAAGACGCCACAATAACCTGTAATCTCTTAATAGGTTATGGTGCAAGGACGTCTTTTACGCATCTAACAGAAGGGCCTTGCGAAGACCAAACGCTTCTCATAGAGAAGCATTCGCTAAAGTGAGAACTGTTGGAAATTCAAAGAGAACTTTAACATTTCAGACTAAAATAACCAAACTGGTATGGTCGACTTTTTCCCACAATTCATCTATTTTAGCCTTTGAATTTAAAATTCATTTAGTAACCCCTTCTAACGTTTCTCTTTCTCCTTAACATTTGCAAAGTCAGGTTTGTCTGTGCCTGGACCGAACTGTAATGTCAGTTTCTAAATCTTTAATAGAAATTGAAATGAAAACGGAGCATTTAAAAACACATCATGTTAACACAAGTTATATGTCATTTGCAATGGCTTTATTCATTGGTGTAATTTCTAGATAATCAATGGACCCCCTTAGAAGTGGAAATGCCAAGTCTCTAAAATGAACAATTCTTCAATAATTCCCCCCTAATTACCAATATTAAGCGAATATTGATACTGGGGCAAGGAGTGCGGGACAAAGCACGAGTAAGTCTTGTAAACTTTACAATGCTTTGGGGAATGAGTGATGTCATCAATGCATCACTGCAAACGTGTACACGCTCAGACACTATTTCAAACCATATTAAAGAATTTTACAGGTTAAAAATATTTTTAGAATTTTGTTAAAGATCTAATACATTTAATAGTTCCACTTTTTACTAACATGAATAATTTATCTTGCATGCACATTTACTGTGGCATCCTGTTCCACATGGTGTGAAGAACTGTATGGAAAATGTACCGTATATACTCGAGTTTTGTACTGAAAAACCCCCACTCGGCTTATACTCGAGTCAAGGTCTGTATTATGGCAACTTATATTGCCATAACACAGACCAGCAGGGCCGGACTGGGAAAAATATTAGGCCCGGGCATTTTTCAATTAGAGCGGCCCCCCAAGAAGGGGGCGTGTGTTTTGTCATCACTAATGACAAGTACACCCCCTCTGAAAGTGAGCATGCCCCGTTGAAGAGCTCTAGCATTAGAAAAAGGCCCTGTATTTGTTCTGCGCAGCGCAAGCAAATGTAATAACATGCTTGCGCTGTGTTTGCTTTTAAATTGTCTCTGGTTTCTGATACCAGAGGACAAAAGGGCCAGGAAAGTGTATGGTGCATGTGTTTGGCGCATGCTTGTGGGATTGCCTGTGTGTAGAGTGTGGTGTGGTATTGTGTAAATAGGTCCATTTTGGGGTGTAATATGTGTGGCTAGGGGCTGTAGAGAGTGCGTGTATAGGAGCATAGTGTTATAGGGGATGTAGCGAGTGTGTGCATACGGGCAGTAGTGTGTGTGTGTGTATAGGTGACGTAGTGTGTGTAGGGGTTGTAGAGAGGGTGTGTTTAGAGAATGTTGTATGTGTTTGCTTACAAGGAATGTAGTGTTTGTGTAAGAAATCTAGTGTGTAAAGGACCCAGAGTGTGTATAGAAGATTGTGTGTGTGTGTGTGTGTGTGTGTGTGTAGAGGATTAAGAGTGCATATAGGGTAAGGGATCTAGCTTGTATCTGGAGCGTAATGTGTGTAGTGGTGCAGTGTGAGGGGTGCTGTAGTGTGTGTGTGTGTGTATATATATATATAAAAATATATTTGGACGTATTGTACGTGTGAGGTGCGCAGCGTGTTTGTGTAAGAGGAGTGCTGTGTGTGAGGGTGTTTTTATCTGCCGTCACATTCTGGGTTTCTAATTTTATTTGTCTGTTAACTCATTGAAGGTTATTTTATATAATATATATGTGCTGTATATGTGTGGGAGTGAGGGTGCTGTCTGTCTGGGTGTGCTGTGTGTGTGTGTGTGTGTGTCTGGGGGGGGCTGTGTGTGTGTGTGTGTGTGTCTGGGGGGCTGTGTGTGTGTCTAGGGGGCTGTGTGTGTGTGTGTCTGGAGGCTGTGTGTGTGTGTCTAGGGGCTGTGTGTGTGTCTGGGGGGTGTGTGTGTCTGGGGGCTGTGTGTGTGTGTGTCTGGGGGGCTGTGTGTGTGTGTCTGGGGGGGGCTGTGTGTGTGTGTCTGGGAGGCTGTGTGTGTGTGTGTGTCTGGGGGGCTGTGTGTGTGTGTCTGGGGGCTGTGTGTGTGTGTCTAGGGGGCTGTGTGTGTGTGTGTGTGTGGTCTGGGGGCTGTGTGTGTGTGTGTGTGTGGGGGGCTGTGTGTGTGTGTGTCTGGGGGGCTGTGTGTGTGTGTGTGTGTCTGGGGGCTGTGTGTGTGTCTAGGGGGCTGTGTGTGTGTCTGGGGGGGCTGTGTGTGTGTCTGGGGGGCTGTGTGTGTGTCTGGGGGGCTGTTAGGGAATTATTTAAAATATATATATTTTTAATAATTAATTAAAAAGTTATGTACCCTTCTTACCTTTAGCCTGGGAGGGGGGTAGCCGTGTTGCCATGGGAGGGGGGGGCATGCTGTCATGCTTCCCTAGTGGTCCAGTGGTGAGAGTGAACTCTAGCCTACAGGTTAGAGTTCACTCTCGCGAGATCTGAGCGTTGCCGTGGTAACCGCGGCAACGCTCAGAATCCCGCGAGAAGACCCGGCGGAGCTGCTTGTTAGAGCTCCGCCGGTCCTCTCTCCTGCCTCCCTCCCTCACTCCCCAGCCGGCGGCCGCATCTCCCTGTCTGTGGGCCGGTGAGGGAGATCTTTGATCTCCCCACCGGCCCATGGAGGCACACAGCAGGGCCGGCGCTCGGATAGCGCTGGCCCTGCACAGGCTGGCAAGGGAGATCCTGTGATCTCCTCCCTGCCGGCCTTGGCCCCACGGCCATCGCGGCCCACCGGGCATTTGCCCGGTATGCCCGATGGCCAGACCGGGCCTGCAGACCAGGACCGCCGGGCTCATTACAATCCCGGCGGTCCTGTTGGGGGCTGACAGCGACCCCCCACTGAACAGCCAATGCCACTGGACCACCAGGGATTCAATATTATTTTAATATTATTATATTATTATTTTAATAATATTATATTATTATTATATTATTATTTTAATATTTGCATTATTTATTTTTTTTAAATGGTTTTTTGTCCCCCCTCCCTGCTTGTTGCCTGGCCAGGGAGGGGGGACAAAAAAATATTAAAATAATAATAGTAATAATATTATTAAAATAATATAATATTACAATAAAAAAAATAAAAATAAAAATGCCCTCCCCTCACCCAGTTTACAGACACTGCACAAACACACACACTGCATTATATATACACACACACAACACACACACACTGCATTAATTCTATACACACGCTGTAAATAAATATTCAATTAATGTAATTTTATTGGGATCTAATTTTATTCAGAAATTTACCAGTAGCTGCTGCATTTCCCACCCTAGGCTTATACTCGAGTCATTAAGTTTTCCCAGTTTTTTGTGGTAAAATTAGGGGCCTCGGCTTATATTCTGGTCGGTTTATACTTGAGTATATATGGTACATCTTAAACTAATTTCTAATGGCAAATATCTGTTCGCCAGACTGTGATTTAATCAGATATCTAGGATGTAGAATTACTGAAAAATTAGAGGGAAAAATAATGCTTATTTCATTACAAAGCCTCTGGGCAGTTTAATTTAACGATAGTTTTGTTAAATGACAATAGGAAATTATTAACTATAAAGCACACATTTATTATGACCATGTGTTAGAAGGCAAGCTATAGAGAGTTGCTATATCTGCATTAAGAGAAAGAGATTTATAAAATTGAAAGAATTATTTATATTTTCAGTAAGAACTGAAGACGTTAAAAGCTTTGACAACGACACTTCAGTAATTATTTTGTTTTAAACATGTTGCGAAAAAAAGATTACAAATAATTGTTACCACATAGGTAGTCTCGCAACACCCATGATGCTTTGGATCAAAGCATCTGTAAATATTTCAACTACTAACCTGAAACATCTACTGATCAGTTGAGCTGACTCTCACAAAGACATATTATTGCCATTTATATAGCGCCAACAGATTCCGTAGCGCTTTACAATATTATAAGAGGGGGGATTTAACTATAAATAGGACAATTACAAGAAAACCTACAGGAATAGGTTGAAGAGGACCCTGCTCAAACAAGCTTACAGTCTATATTAAAACATAAGGAGAAAACTGATAAAGAATTATTGCTGCGTTTATAGATTGGCGCTATTCACAAAGTAAATGCCGGCTGGTAATTTGGAGCAGTCGAGGTTGATGGTAATTCTGAAAGATGTACCTCTGTAAGGATTCACGGATTTCCAACTTCCTAAATCATGTCTCAGCGACACGTCCGGACATGCAAGTAGTAAAACCACACATAGATCGAATCTCACGGACAAATGAATTATTCAATGTTTAGCAAAGATAACATATTTGTTCACATTCTGAGATCTTTAAATGAAATAAAGCAGAATATAATTCCATGAGGGACATCAAAGCATTTCATGTCCTTTTATTAAATGTTTAAATCTATTTCCGCATTTTTATAAAAAAGTCTCTTGTTCCCACAGCACTACCAACACAACTGTGCACCCCCTATATAAATATAGTCCCTGTGTCTTTAGCCCTATATAGGGCTCTTCCTGCAGGCCATGGGACTCTTCCACCCAACCCTAATGACAGAGACTACATATACTCGAGCAGGATTTGGAGGCCACCATGAGGGTCACTAAAAGGACCATTGCCATACCAATGGGTCTGTGGGCTCACACGTTGTGCCAATTACAAGTCAAAGCTGCATTAGAAAAAAATAAATAAAAAACCCGGTGTACCAGATACAGTAAGCAACGCAGTTCGATTGCTTCTTTAAAATTACTGTCATACCACAGTCTTTACAGATGAATAAAATATTTTCACAGAATATAATGGTGCAATTATTCCAATTTCAGGTGTTTAGATTTGACAGGTAAATAGTCTTTTTCTTACACAAGTGTAAAAAAAATAAAAATAAATTAAATTAAAAAAAAGGAAAAATAACATGCCTCAAAAATAATAAATAAGAGGCAAAATTACTAAAATCTAAAAACTATTTTTAATTTGTAATTTGTTTTCTAATAATGCATTTGGATATTTTTGGAACTCTGTAGATATTCTGCTGCCAACATTGCTAAACGCTAGGTGTGTACCAATAAGGAGAGTCTATCGGCTATGATGAGGTCATAGCAACACTGTATACAACAGGGACACACAGCAATTTTTGGATGTTATTGTATACTTATTTAAAAGCCTTCAGAGCAGTTGCTGGACTATAGAATGAGGTGAAACAGGAGGGGGAGTAGGTCACTATATTATCTTGCCCTACTTCTGGAATAGAGCTCCCTTGTGAGTTTTATTCAATTGCATGCACATTCCACACCATGTCTTGCCTTTAATAACAACATTACCCTTAAATTTTGAGGCAGATCCTGCAATGACAGACACTCACCGCAAGCAGCATGCGTACAAGCAAAAGTTAACCCATTTACAAAGAAAGTAAAAAGATTCTGTGGGCAAATTAATCAGGCGGCTGTATGATGCAAGGTTCCGTGGGAATACCATTATGTGTAGACGGAAACAAGTAGCCAAGGTCTTAAACATTAAGCAAGAAGGTGTTGTTGGAGCTTACAATGCAGAATTAAATCTTTACAGGAAGGAAAGGAGATTTAAGTGGCGTTTTCATTAACAAACAATACTGCAATACAGGACTCAGACAAGATCAGGGATTGGAACATGAAAAACGTGTTTTTTTGTGCAGTTGTCCACATTTTAATAATCTGTCTAACGTTCTGATGGCTTTAGAAATTCTGTGCACACAGCAGTCTGTTACAACAGCAAGGAATCAATTTATAAAAAGGTCAGACTTGTTCCATGTGCATCTGATGGGGTAAGAACATCGAGCCACGAACAGATCAAAATTAGCATTTTGTCACCTCTCCAAAATGAGTTTTTCATTTGACTTATATTGACGGTGTTGGAATCTCACAAACATTCCAACGCCCTCAAAAGATATACCGAGACAAAATAGGGACTACTTTGGCTTTGTATTTGAAATCTGCTTGACAAAAGGTGGAGCTACCTTTGTCAAGTTTTGTCACTTCCCCTCCAAATGAAAAGGGCTCTGTCTATGGAGGTGCATTTGCAAGAGTACAACAATGATGTGGGCTCCTGCCATCTGAATGGCTAGGTGATAAAAAAAAAATAAAAAAAAGCAATAAGACCATGACAGTGGCCACGATGGACAGGTTTATGTATGTATAACGCACCTTCTCCTACGCCAAACAGCCTTTTCAAATTCTGCTAAGAACCCAGACGATGACAGAGCCACTTTATTTGACGAAGAGGAATTAACTAGCCAAAATCTTTGTGATGATATGGAATCCCATAGGAGTAAACATTGAAATATGCCCTGATGCAGGCAGACACTCACCACTAGGTAACTCCCCCACTCCCCATTACATAATTAGGAAAAAACAGGATGTCTCCTAAATAGATCTGTCTGCCTGAGAAATCAGCAAGGTGATCAGTTCCATAATTCCAACATTTAATTCAGAGCAGGTTACATTGGGGGCCTATTAACTAAACAAAATGAAATTAACACTTCAAGCACCGTAACCAACAAGCTCTCTATCCAGAAGTCTGTCTGAAGTAGCTGAGCTGCATCTGGCAGTCCCCTAAGAAGTCAAACCGTTCCAAAACAAGTCTGTCTAGTTACAATAGGGGGCTGCAGGGTACTTGTGGCACCATAACCACTACAGTGCACTTGAGTGGTTATGGTGCTTGAAGAGTGCCTTTAACATATTAATTACTATAAATGATGATGATATCGTGCCAACATATTTCGCCGCGCTTTACAGATCAAGGAAAAATGATAAAACATTTTGGAGGGGCTAGCCCACAAGCGTACAATCTAATTTTTACAGTCGTATGAAATCTCAAAAATAAATAAAAACATATGAGGTCCGGTAATAAACAATGTCCCAACTAGCATTACTTCCATCATTCCAAATACACAACATGGCACGTTTTCAAGTAATGATGTTACACAACACCCAACAGTTATTTCATCATATTCTTTTTGCAAAAAATGAATAGACAATTCAACAGTGAACCAATGTGTTGCCTAAACACTAAAGCGGTGATTATTTTTACAATATACTACCATCATTGTAACAAACATGAATAGTCACTCCTCAACAAGACACTGACCTGTAAAGTGTGGAACAGAGAGGTTTTTTTTTTTTTTACTAAACAGTTAATTGGGGCAAACTGGGATTTAAAAAAATTAAATAAAAACAATCTTGGAACCTTGCTAGATTTTTACAGCAGCAGGATTCTGAGACAGGAATGTACGAGGGACTATAGCAGGAAATACATGACATTTGGCAGGTACTGTTACAGGTTGCTTGCCACATTCTTTTACTAGGGGTTAATGTGACACCTGCTAAGTGAAGGGTCGAATAGATTGCACTCAGGAACAGCGTGCAAATGATCTATTAAAATGTTAACCTCAGTACATCTGATATAGAGGATTCCTTGCTTTCTGAGGGTCATTGTATATCCTCAGATAGATCCGGAGTTATGTTAAGAAAATTCTTAAAACTTCACCTGTTACACTACATCAAGTAGAAGGATGACATATAACAGAGTCAACAGTATAACCCGTACAAGATCATTCCTTGGAATCCAATGTAATTGTACAATGTAATGTTAGCTTGCTTGCAAGCCAAGATGTCCTATGAAAAACCCAAAATGTTAGACAGTATGTTATACAAGTCAAACATGAATGTGTACCTTTAGAGCGGCTTTGCAGCTTCGGTAAATAACAGCAAAATAATTCCAAATTTTGGGGTCAAAATAACCAAAAACATTGCTGACCTAGAATTCCCCCCCCCCATTCTGCTATTTTGGGCCTACAAAATGAAATGCCCATTATGTCTTGCAAAAAATAAATAAAAAGAAAGATCTATAGATGCACATGATGAAAAGTCATACAAGACAATTTAATGAATACACAATGCAGATAATACTTAAACAAACAATGACAAGATAAATCAACTGAAACGTGGCTCATGAGACAAATAAAATCCACCATTACTCCTCACATTAAAGCCTTACAGCCTCCTATTTTTCTATGAGAATTCGTTCCTGTGAGCACAACAAGAGTTGTAGCTCAATAGAAAGGAAAATACATATTGGCAACCGCTGGATTAGGTTACCAAATACTGGGTTAGCAATCTCTCTCTCTCGGTCACTGAAATGGTGCAGTAATTCAGTTTTTCCATACAGACAAAAACCTTAAGAAAAACTATATATATTGCCTTGGAAATCCAATGAAATGCCAAAGATCCAAAAGACGTTTGAAATGTATACTGTCTTTGATGTGTAGTATGCACACAATGATTGAAGGCAAAATACGGTAAAAAGTAGCGTTTTAATTGAAAGGGAAACTGAAGTCCCCTAAACCACTTCAGCTTTATAACCCATGATCAGGCAGTTGTCTGAGATAAAGTGGTATCGCAATTAACCATTTGGCCTCCATAGGCGTAAGGCGAGTATAACTCCATTGCACACGATCCACAAATCTAAGCACGTGTCATTTGAAATGAGAAGAGATATTACTTTAAACAAATATCTATTAGATAGAATCTTTATAAATAATGATAATTATTCCACTGACATGGTTTCAGGATTGTAATGTGGTCAATACGTCTTTAGAATTCATGATATAAATAAAAAGGTATTATGGTGAGCTAGGAGTTTTAATTTTACATCTGTTATATAACAAGCGTAGAGAGCTGTGTGCCACTAGTGATTAAATATTCTATACTGGTTTCCAATTACATTTCCTATGAAGCTAAGCATTGTGGTCGTTAATTCACAAACGTTTCGGAAGCCAGAGTTAAACACGTACCCATGTTGTACCCGTACGGAGATTCCGTGGATCCGTCCTGCAGGCTGGCCAGAATCTCTCCTTTACCGACATCACTATCACCGACCAGCAAAAACTTCAAGAGAAAGTCGTATGCTTTCACCGGGCTAGCCCTGTGGGTCATTCTCCTCCAGAGAGAGCCACCTCAGTCAGCCCATCATGGGAAGAAGCTGTTCTGAACTTACAAATCCACAGCACATGGCAGTCTCGTACTCAAGAATATGGACGATCTAGAAGAGTTTGCAAAGGATCCAATTACTTAATGAACCTATAAACAGAATGAAAGATGTGCATGTGAATTATACAAAGAGCTTGAGGTATAACACTTGCTGCAAAAGTACAAGGTGCCACAAGCAACAGCTATTGATATACAACAAAGATTCAACCATTTGTAAAACATCTGCCATGGGGCCTGCCACTAGAGTAGGTCCAGAAAAGGCATATCTCTTGCAGTTAAACACCAGATACCACAAGCATCATACAATTAGCAGCCACAAAAAATGAACTTGTCCACGTCAATAACCACAAAAAGAAGCCATTTGTGTTAAATCCAATACGATGTGACAAATTTATAACGGTATAGTTACAGGAAAATAGTGGGCAATCTTTGGTTACACACATAAGGTCACAATGTAAAGTTTCAGGAAACGTGCTTACGATAGGTCACACTATATGGTTAGAGGAAAATAGTGGGCAATGTGGTTACAAGTGGGGTTACACGGTGTGGCCACAGTCAAACGAGTGACAAACATAATTTCACTGGCGACACTTTCCCTGAATCTATACAGTGGGCCCTTCTCTTTATTCACATATTGTCCACACTTCATTCTATAGAGCAGCGGTGCCCAAAAGGTAGATCCCCAGATGTTTTAAAACTATAGCTTCCATGATGCTTTGTCATACTAAACGCATGCAAAGCATCATGGGAATCTACCTTTGGGCACCCCTGCTTTAGAGTCTCAGTAGTGAAGTTTGGGTCAGAGGCAATTTTGGGTTACTAGAGTGCATGGTACCACAAACGGAGGAGTCCGAGTTGAACGTTCTGTGTACAAATTCCACAGCCCTGCTTGTAACCAACCAACCAACATGATCTGTCTTTGTAACCACATTGTGGTCACACACTTTTTCCTATAACAGTGTTTCCTGTGGTTACAATGAAAAGTCACACTGTACGGCTAAAAGAAAAGCCAACATATGGTTACATTAAAGGTTCCCAGCCACGTCAACTTGTATAGGTTTAGGAAAAGTGTGAATAATACAGTTACACAGACAGGCCACACTGTATCATTTCAGACATAATATTGTCAACTTGTGAATCCCCCCAAAAAGTAAAAATGTACGGGTGCTATTGTGGTCAAAACACCGAGTCATAGACGGCAAACATTCTAAGGTTGCAATAAAACAGTGGCAGTCAGGTGTTCGTTAAAAAAGAGCAATAATCAAAACATCAAAGGGAGACCTGCAATCAGGGGTCCTTTGTGAAAATATATAGAACATGGTTTGTGGATAAAAATGACTGGAGAACAACAAAAACATTGTTTATGTCGGTCACGCAGAGGTATTTTTGTTTTTCTTGCAAGTGGCTCCTGTATGGTGGGTGGGTGGATGGGTGTGTGTGTGTGTATATATACCACAAACGACGTAAAGACATGGGCACTCTCGGTTTTCTGGAAAACTGAGAGAGTGCCCCTGTCTTTGCTTCGTTTGTATATTTTCCTGGGAATCACCTGGGTAATTTATATCGCCCTATACATAATATATCTCCCTATACAACCCCCATACATCTACATATAATTTATCTCCCTATACAGCCCCCATACATCTACATATAATTTATCTCCCTATACAGCCCCCATACATCTACATATATCGCCCTATACAGCAACCATACATCAATATATAATATATCTCCCTATACAGCCCCCATACATCTATATATAATATATCTCCCTATACAGCCCCCATACATGTACATATAATATATCTCCCTATACAGCCCCCATACATCTACATATAATATATCTCCCTATACAGCCCCCATACATCTACATATAATATATCTCCCTATACAGCCCCCATACATCTACATATAATATATCTCCCTATACAACCCCCATACATCTACATATAATATATCTCCCTATACAGCCCCCATACATCTACATATAATATATCTCCCTATACAGCCCCCATACATCTACATATATCTCCCTATACAGCCCCCATACATCAATATATAATATATCTCCCTATACAGCCCCCATACATCAATATATTATATATCAATATAGATATACGGGGCTCAATGAGAAGAAGGGAGAGAGCGGAGAGGAGAGGGGAGGTGAGGGGAGAGGAGGGGAGGGAGGAGAGGGGAGAGACAGATGAGAGAGAGGAGAGAAGAGAGAGGAGAGAAGGGAGAAAGGGGAGGGGTGGAGGAGAGAGAGAAGGGGAGGGATGAGAGAGGGGAGGGAGGAGAGGGGAGAGGGGGATGAGGGAGGAGAGGGGGATGAGGGAGGAGAGGGAGGTGAGGGGAGAGGAAAGGGGACAGGAGAGAGAGGGGAGGAGAGGGAGGAGAGGGAGGATAGGGGAGAGAAGGGGGAGAGAAGAGAGAGGAGAGAGGGGGGGAGGAGAGAGGGGGGGAGGAGAGAGGGACTCTATAGAAAGCCTTTGTATCGATATATATATCATACATCTCCCTATAGAGAGCTCAGTGTATCTACATTACATATATCATATATCTCCCTATAGAGAGCTCAGTGTATCTACATTACATATATCATATATCTCCCTATAGGGAGCTCAGTGTATCTATATTATATATAACATATATCTCCCTATAGAGAGCTCTGTGTATCTATATTAGATATATCATATATCCCCTATAGAGAGCTCGGTGTATCTAGATTATATATATCATATATCTCCCTATAGACAGAGCTCAGTGTATCTATATTATATATAGCATATATCTCCCTATAGACAGAGCTCAGTGTATCTATATTATATAGATCATATATCTCCCTATAGAGAGCTCAGTGTATCTATATTATATAGATCATATATCTCCCTATAGAGAGCTCAGTGTATCTATATTATATAGATCATATATCTCCCTATAGACAGAGCTCAGTGTATCTATATTATATATATCATATATCTCCCTATAGAGAGAGCTCGGTGTATCTATATTATATAAATCATATATCTCCCTATAGACAGAGCTCGGTGTATCTATATTATATATATCATATATCTCCCTATAGACAGAGCTCGGTGTATCTATATTATATATATCATATATCTCCCTATAGAGAGAGCTCGGTGTATCTATATTATATATATCATATATCTCCCTATAGACAGAGCTCGGTGTATCTATATTATATATTTCATATATCTCCCTATAGAGAGAGCTCGGTGTATCTATATTATATATATCATATATCTCCCTATAGACAGAGCTCGGTGTATCTATATTATATATATCATATATCTCCCCATAGAGAGAGCTCGGTGTATCTATATTATATATATCATATATCTCCCCATAGAGAGAGCTCAGTGTATCTATATTATATATATCATATATCTCCCTATAGAGAGAGCTCAGTGTATCTATATTATATATATCATATATCTCCCTATAGAGAGAGCACGGTGTATCTATATTATATATATCATATATCTCCCTATAGAGAGAGCTCGGTGTATCTATATTATATATATCATATATCTCCCTATAGAGAGCTCAGTGTATCTATATTATATATATCATATATCTCCCTATAGACAGAGCTCGGTGTATCTATATTATATATATCATATATCTCCCTATAGACAGAGCTCGGTGTATCTATATTATATATATCATAGATCTCCCTATAGACAGAGCTCGGTGTATCTATATTATATATATCATATATCTCCCTATAGAGAGAGCTCGGTGTATCTATATTATATATATCATATATCTCCCTATAGAGAGCTCGGTGTATCTATATTATATATATCATATATCTCCCTATAGACAGAGCTCGGTGTATCTATATTATATATATCATATATCTCCCTATAGACAGAGCTCGGTGTATCTATATTATATATATCATATATCTCCCTATAGACAGAGCTCGGTGTATCTATATTATATATATCATATATCTCCCTATAGACAGAGCTCGGTGTATCTATATTATATATATCATATATCTCCCTATAGACAGAGCTCGGTGTATCTATATTATATATATCATATATCTCCCTATAGACAGAGCTCGGTGTATCTATATTATATATATCATATATCTCCCTATAGACAGAGCTCGGTGTATCTATATTATATATATCATATATCTCCCTATAGACAGAGCTCGGTGTATCTATATTATATATATCATATATCTCCCTATAGACAGAGCTCGGTGTATCTATATTATATATATCATATATCTCCCTATAGACAGAGCTCGGTGTATCTATATTATATATATCATATATCTCCCTATAGACAGAGCTCGGTGTATCTATATTATATATATCATATATCTCCCTATAGACAGAGCTCGGTGTATCTATATTATATATATCATATATCTCCCTATAGACAGAGCTCAGTGTATCTATATTATATATATCATATATCTCCCTATAGAGAGAGCTCGGTGTATCTATATTATATATATCATATATCTCCCTATAGACAGAGCTCGGTGTATCTATATTATATATATCATATATCTCCCTATAGACAGAGCTCGGTGTATCTATATTATATATATCATATATCTCCCTATAGAGAGAGCTCGGTGTATCTATATTATATATATCATATATCTCCCTATAGACAGAGCTCGGTGTATCTATATTATATATATCATATATCTCCCTATAGACAGAGCTCGGTGTATCTATATTATATATATCATATATCTCCCTATAGACAGAGCTCGGTGTATCTATATTATATATATCATATATCTCCCTATAGACAGAGCTCGGTGTATCTATATTATATATATCATATATCTCCCTATAGACAGAGCTCAGTGTATCTATATTATATATATCATATATCTCCCTATAGACAGAGCTCGGTGTATCTATATTATATATATCATATATCTCCCTATAGACAGAGCTCAGTGTATTTATATTATATATATCATATATCTCCCTATAGACAGAGCTCAGTGTATCTATATTATATATATCATATATCTCCCTATAGACAGAGCTCAGTGTATCTATATTATATATATCATATATCTCCCTATAGAGAGCTCAGTGTATCTATATTATATATATCATATATCTCCCTATAGAGAGAGCTCGGTGTATTCGAGTTATATATATCATATATCTCCCTATATAGACAGAGCCTTCTCGTGTATCTATATTATATATATATCATATATCTCCCTATAGACAGAGCTTCAGTGTATCTATATTATATATATCATATATCTCCTATAGACAGAGCTCAGTGTATCTATATTATATATATCATATATCTCCCTATATAGAAATGTGTATCTATATTACATATATCATATATCTCCCTATAGACAGAGCTCAGTGTATCTATATTATATAAATCATATATCTCCCTATAGAGAGCTCGGTGTATCTATATTATATAGATCATATATCTCCCCATAGACAGAGCTCAGTGTATCTATATTATATATATATATCATATATCTCCCTATAGACAGAGCTCGGTGTATCTATATTATATATATCATATATCTCCCTATAGACAGAGCTCGGTGTATCTATATTATATATATCATATATCTCCCTATAGAGAGCTCGGTGTATCTATATTATATATATCATATATCTCCCTATAGACAGAGCTCAGTGTATCTATATTATATATATCATATATCTCCCTATAGAGAGAGCTCAGTGTATCTATATTATATATCATATATCTCCCTATAGAGAGCTCGGTGTATCTATATATATATCATATATCTCCCTATAGACAGAGCTCAGTGTATCTATATTATATATATCATATATCTCCCTATAGAGAGAGCTCGGTGTATCTATATTACATATATCATATATCTCCCTATAGACAGAGCTCAGTGTATCTATATTATATAAATCATATATCTCCCTATAGAGAGCTCGGTGTATCTATATTATATAGATCATATATCTCCCCATAGACAGAGCTCAGTGTATCTATATTATATATATATCATATATCTCCCTATAGACAGAGCTCGGTGTATCTATATTATATATATCATATATCTCCCTATAGACAGAGCTCGGTGTATCTATATTATATATATATCATATATCTCCCTATAGACAGAGCTCAGTGTATCTATATTATATATATCATATATCTCCCTATAGACAGAGCTCAGTGTATCTATATTATATAAATCATATATCTCCCTATAGAGAGCTCGGTGTATCTATATTATATAGATCATATATCTCCCCATAGACAGAGCTCAGTGTATCTATATTATATATATCATATCTCCCTATAGACAGAGCTCGGTGTATCTATATTATATATATATCATATATCTCCCTATAGACAGAGCTCAGTGTATCTATATTATATATATCATATATCTCCCTATATCTCCCTATAGACAGAGCTCGGTGTATCTATATTATATATATCATATATCTCCCTATAGACAGAGCTCGGTGTATCTATATTATATATATATCATAGATCTCCCTATAGAGAGAGCTCGGTGTATCTATATTATATATATCATATATCTCCCTATAGACAGAGCTCGGTGTATCTATATTATATATATCATATATCTCCCTATAGACAGAGCTCGGTGTATCTATATTATATATATCATATATCTCCCTATAGACAGAGCTCAGTGTATCTATATTATATATATCATATATCTCCCTATAGACAGAGCTCAGTGTATCTATATTATATATATCATAGATCTCCCTATAGACAGAGCTCAGTGTATCTATATTATATATCATATATCTCCCTATAGAGAGAGCTCGGTGTATCTATATTATATATATATCATATATCTCCCTATAGAGAGAGCTCGGTGTATCTATATTATATATATATCATATATCTCCCTATAGACAGAGCTCGGTGTATCTATATTATATATATCATATATCTCCCTATAGAAGCTCGGTGTATCTATATTATATATATCATATATCTCCCCATAGACAGAGCTCGGTGTATCTATATTATATATATCATATATCTCCCTATAGAGAGAGCTCGGTGTATCTATATTATATATATCATATATCTCCCTATAGACAGAGCTCGGTGTATCTATATTATATATATCATATATCTCCCTATAGAGAGAGCTCGGTGTATCTATATTATATATATCATATATCTCCCTATAGACAGAGCTCTGTATCTATATTATATATATCATATATCTCCCTATAGAGAGAGCTCGGTGTATCTATATTATATATCTCCCTATAGACAGAGCTCGGTGTATCTATATTATATATATCATATATCTCCCTATAGAGAGAGCTCGGTGTATCTATATTATATATATCATATATCTCCCTATAGAGAGCTCGGTGTATCTATATTATATATATCATATATCTCCCTATAGACAGAGCTCGGTGTATCTATATTATATATATCATATATCTCCCTATAGACAGAGCTCGGTGTATCTATATTATATATATCATATATCTCCCTATAGACAGAGCTCGGTGTATCTATATTATATATATCATATATCTCCCTATAGACAGAGCTCGGTGTATCTATATTATATATATCATATATCTCCCTATAGACAGAGCTCGGTGTATCTATATTATATATATCATATATCTCCCTATAGACAGAGCTCGGTGTATCTATATTATATATATCATATATCTCCCTATAGACAGAGCTCGGTGTATCTATATTATATATATCATATATCTCCCTATAGACAGAGCTCGGTGTATCTATATTATATATATCATATATCTCCCTATAGACAGAGCTCAGTGTATCTATATTATATATATCATATATCTCCCTATAGACAGAGCTCAGTGTATCTATATTATATATATCATATATCTCCCTATAGAGAGCTCGGTGTATCTATACTATATATCATATATCATAAATCTCCCACAATGCTCCGCGGTCTCCCGGTTTACCTCCCACAATGCTCTCCGCTCCGCTCTCGGTCCGATCTGCCAGCCGTGTGGAAGCGAGCTCAGCCTGACAGTAGTAGTCCCGCCCCCTCACCGATTACCATTGGCCAATGGTGTAGTTGCTAAGGGATCGCTGTCTCGTCATTGCCTGTCGGGCACATCGCTCAGAAGACAGGGCGGGGCCTCATAATTCCCTTCTGTCCGCCGCTAGTTAGGGAGAGTGGGCGTGGTAAAGTGGGAATGGGGGCGGGATGTGGGCAAGACTAGGATTGTTTACAAACGCGTGCTGGCTGATATGTGGCGCATGCGCACTGCCAGCCCCGCGTTACCTGTAGGGATCCCACCATAACCACTTACATATAGCCTATAGAGCCCGCATTGACTATCAATAAATCACCTATAGAGCCCGCATTAACTATCAATAAATCACCTATAGAGCCCACATTGACTATCAATAAATCACCTATAGAGCCCGCCTTCACTATCAATAAATCACCTATAGAGCCCGCATTGACTATCAATAAATCACCCATAGAGCCCGCATTAACTATCAATAAATCACCTATAGAGCCCGCCTTCACTATCAATAAATCACCTATAGAGCCCGCATTGACTATCAATAAATCACCTATAGAGCCCGCATTGACTATCAATAAATCACCTATAGAGCCCGCATTAACTATCAATAAATCACCTATAGAGCCCGCATTGACTATCAATAAATCACCCATAGAGCCCGCATCATCTATAGAGCCCGCCTTCACTATCAATAAATCACCTATAGAGCCCGCATTGACTATCAATAAATCACCTATAGAGCCCGCATTAACTATCAATAAATCACCCATAGAGCCTGCATTAACTATCAATAAATCACCTATAGAGCCCGCCTTAACTATCAATAAATCACCTATAGAGCCCGCATTAACTATCAATAAATCACCTATAGAGCCCGCATTGACTATCAATAAATCACCTATACTTAGAGCCAGCCCTTATATCAATATCAATAGAATCACATATAGAGCCCGAGCCCGCATTAACTATCAATAAAACACCTATAGAGCCCGCCTTCAACTATCATAAATCACCTATAGAGCCCGCCTTAACTATCAATAAATCACCTATAGAGCCCGCCTTAACTATCAATAAATCACCTATAGAGCCCGCCTTCACTATCAATAAATCACCTATAGAAACTATCAATAAATCACCTATAGAGCCCGCCTTCACTATCAATAAATCACATATAGAGCCCGCATTGACTATCAATAAATCACCTATAGAGCCTGCCTTGACTATCAATAAAACACCTATAGACCCCGCCTTAACTATCAATAAATCACCTATGGAGCCCGCCTTCACTATCAATAAATCACCTATAGAGCCCGCATTGACTATCAATAAATCACCTATAGAGTCCGCCTTAACTATCAATAAATCACCCATAGAGCCCGCCTTAACTATCGATAAATCGCCTATAGAGCCTGCATTAACTATCAATAAATCACCTATAGATCCCGCCTTAACTATCAATAAATCACCTATAGAGGCCGCCATGACTATCAATAAATCACCTATAGAACCCGCCTTCACTATCAATAAATCACCTATAGAGCCAGCCTTAACTATCAATAAATAACCTATAGAGCCAGCCTTAACTATCAATAAATAACCTATAGAGCCCGCCTTAACTATCAATAAATCACCTATAGAGCCCGCATTAACTATCAATAAATCACCTATAGAGCCCGCATTAACTATCAATAAATCACCTATGGAGCCCGCCTTAACTATCATAAATCACCAATAGGGCCCGCATTAACTATCAATAAACCACCTATAGAACCCGCCTTAACTATCAATAAAACACCTATAGAGCCCGCCTTAACTATCAATAAAATCAATAAATAAATCACCTATAGAACCCGAATTGATGTCATGATATAAGGGAGCTCTACCACCTGTAGAGCCTGCATTAACTATCAATAAATCACCTATGGAGCCCGCCTTAACTATCGATAAATCACCTATAGAGCCCGCCTTAACTATCAATAAATACCTATGGAAGCCCGCCTTAACTATCATAAATCACCAATAGGGCCCGCATTAACTATCAATAAATCACCTATGGAGCCCGCATTAACTATCAATAAACCACCTATAGAACCCGCCTTAACTATCAATAAAACACCTATAGAGCCCACCTTAACTATCAATAAAACACCTATAGAGTCTGCCTTAACTATGAATAAATCACCTATAGAACCCGAATTGATGTCATGATATAAGGGAGCGGCATTGCTGGAACAATGCAAACCCCTACATGGCTAGAAAATGACACAAGTCCAGTGCGTGATAAGACGCCAAGGAGTGAAGCAGTTCATGTTGAAATTGACAATTGAGTACCATACAGCTTTAATTAGTGGTGTCCAGCTAGAAGGGAATTTGTGACATATACTTATGGATGACCCTGCTTTAGCCACCCATGTACCTATATAGGACACACAGTAATCAACTAAATAAATATAGACGACCCATCTGAATCACCCAATACCTATACAACCCTTGTTTTCCAGTAAATCTATCTACATTGTCCATCTACCTCCAGCTCTTCTTTATTCACCTCGAGAGGGCCCACCATAAATATTTATACACTTATAGATCACTCACCTACAGCCTGATCGTCATGTAACTGTAGCGAGCCCACCTTAACCACTTATATGCCTATAAAAACCCACCTTACCGCATACTGTCAGCTCTGTACACATCTAGTAGAGAGGGATGACTTTACTCACTTAAAGTGGATGTAAATAAAATTGTCAAATGCTCTGCTTATGGGTGGTTAGAAGGATTCTGATGGCATTGATAACAATTGCACAAGAATGCCAACTCGTCTGTAGGTGGGCACAACACCCCCATTGAGTATGTTCATTGATCACATATCTCTCATACAGGGCATAGCAAGTTGCTATTGTAGTCTGCAAAGCATTTCTGTATTGTACTCAGCTTTTTTAGAGAATTCAATGTTATCCATAGCAGGGTATCCTCGCAAACCCTCTTAAGAGACACAGATGGACAAAATGGAATCCTGGCATAGATATTTATTGCCATAGCTTAAGGATGGTCAGGATTAATCTTAGACTTACCAACTACTAAATTAATTAGACTTACCAAATCAAGGAAACCTGAAGACAATATACTGAAGAAGGCAATCCAGCAAGGCCATTTTAACAGCATTATGGGCCCTCGGGCAAAGCGGGGCACTGAGGCCCTGCCTACACAACCATTCACAGGAATAAAAATGTAAATTATCGAAAAAATTAAGCTTATATTTATTGGTACTTCCAACCAAATCAGGGTTTAAAAATTAAAAAAAACATGCTGTACGGCAGAGATTAATCCAAATAAAGTTTGGACAATATAACATGAGCCTTGAAGTTGAAAACCAGGAAATTCACCAAAAAATGTTGCTCCGTTGGTAAATAAAAACAGACAGAGATGGCACAGTGCGAAATTACTATGAATTTTTTATCATTATCATTTGTGAAATTTCTTTGCATAGAATTGCTTTACAATTGGTTAGAAGTCAATGGTCTTCAAGATGTCATTTTCCATACACTCTGGAGAAGGCCAGTTCAAACCCTGTTGCCTCGGTGTGACGTAAAGTTGATTTATTGCTTCAAAATATTATGTGTGTTGGTTTCGTCTTGCTTATGTACAATTAGTACTTGTACGTTGTTGTCGTCAAAGTCAAGATATGCATTTGCAACAGCAAGATTGCATGTACAGATCACACTGATACTGAGGTGATTAGTCCACCTAAACATTTTAATAAAGATGGTTTGCTCGTTGGACCCCCAGGAATCTGCCCAGCATGCCCATGCGTTAAGATGGCTCTGCAATCCAGGTCGATAACAAAGAGACTATAAAATATTGGAATGTATCATTGGAACTACATCAGAGTAAAGGCAATGAGATTGTGACATTATACAGGTAAATCTCTTGGTCGCGACATGATGCATCTGACCGTAATACGTTCTCGCATGGTGAGTCAATGATTGAGGCATAGAGGGGGTGCAGCATTTGAACACGGCTCATTGTTACATTGCAGGACAGCATGGGGGCAGTTAGAGATTCAGATAGCTTTTGCTTGGTGGTAATCTGTAGTGTTAAATGGAAGTTACCCCGTATTTATACATTGTTGCTGTATTCATGGTTACCATAAAAAACAAGCAGGACTCCAGCTATATGGTAGTGAGTTCTTGGTCATGTAAACGGAGGAGTAGGAGCTTCAGGTAAGTATACCTCCAACTCTTATTCTGCCCCAAAGCATTGCCATCCAGTGGTGGAATCTTAACGGGGGCGGGGGTCTTTGCAAAAAATGCAGAATTCCCACATGTGAGGCGACTGCTTTACTGACCTGGGACTACACATGGATCACTTGTATTTTTATTGTAGAAACCCTCTCTTCTGGTGTGTAACCCTGGCTGTGCAATTCTAAGGTTGGCAAATTCAGACTTGATATAGCACATATAAGAAATGGTGAACTGCAGGATTTAAAGGGGAGCCATCAACTCCCAGAATATTTAATATTATGTTTACATATTCCCTATATTTAACATATATGTAGTTGCGAGTTGTGAAAAATATAATTAAATGTAGAAATCCACACCTCTTTATCCTGCAGCTGGGTGCCTTCATTTTAGCATCTTGTCATTCATTGTTATGAACCCAGCACTTGGCATAGAGGAAGCATACAGAGATAAGGAGAAATGAAGACAAAACAATGTTTCTATTTACCCTGTCTGAAATGTAATTTGCTAAATCTTTATTGCATATTTAAAAGAAAATGCATTTCATGACGAAGCTTAAGACCCGTTATAGGTGATTATCAATATTTTATTCAATTGTATAAATTCCAGAGAAATTAACGAGAAACATTAGCTCATGATCACGAAAATTAGTTAATTCCGTAAACCAGGAATTGTGGAGAATTAACCAGTGAAGTGTAAAAGTTAGACCAAAATAGCCGCTCTTGAAACGTTCACCATCCCAGGTATTTTGAAGTAAAATTTGCAATTCATATTTTCGTGAATGAGCCCCACAAACTGGCTGAGAATCACAGGAATTGAAATCCATGGCAATGAGAGTATCACAGACAACCAGTCATTAGCCCAAAGAAGATTATTATTTATTTTTTTCATGAACGCAATTATCTATTTTTTCATGCCAACATTCAGTCATGCATATTTGTTTATCCATTCCTTTATATCTTACTGCCATATTATCAGTGCCAACGTTTCTAAAAATCTCTGTGATATATGTCTGTTTTAGTCGAGTAATTGTTTATTTTTGGATTCTAATTTGCACATCCCTCATGATGATGCTCCGGTTAACGTTGAAGCAGTTGAAGAGACTACTGTCCTTTGGGTAAGTACACAGCCTCCAGGCCTCGCAGTGCTTGCTCAAACTGTGAACACTTTGCCATAATGTCTACTGACAGCGTCAGTTCATCTCTCTCTCTATACTCTATCCTGTTCTCTGTTCTTCTCCCCCCGACTCAGCCTAGGCTTTCAAAATCCGCCCAAAATAAACTCTTCAGCTTCTATTTCCCTTAAGGCCTCTATTGCTCCTTCCATCTAGTTTTCCAACTAAATTATCCAACAATCCGTAAAATAGTGTTGCAACATAAAAACATTGTAGATAAATCAACATGGGATAGGGGAGGATTATTTACTAAACAGTGTGTTATAGTGACATGGCAATCGACTGGTTCATTTTCTTTTATTTATTCATTTTTTGCAAGTCAGTTCTTAACTCATCACCATTCATTGTTTAGTAGGTAGAACCCTCGAGAGGTTAAAAAATATAGGTCCCATAGCAGGACAACAAATATTTTGTGGTCGGACTACAGGCCACTCTGTTTTGACCACTAAGCTGCTAAATGATCCATAATGACCTCACGCAGATATTTTAGGTCTGCTCTTAATTTTCCTGCCAAAAACATCTTTGGAATTTACCAAGGGCAAGAAATTATTTTTGCTTGCAGATCGGGTTGTTGATGCTAAGACAGGCCAGTTGGTGAAACAGGTGAAAAGGAACCTGAGATTGGCTATTCTTTTCTTCAATTTGCGATGGTCAGCAAGTTTATCGTGCCAGTCTCCTACTGGTATGTAATGCTCTTTTTATTTTAAGACAATATAATTATAGGCTGCACCACTGGTGATTCAGTCTCACTCATTGACAGTGCTATGAATAGCAACCCCATGGAAGATGTGTTCCAACTAAATATCTCAGTCTGTGATGATGTCATAGAGGTCACCTTGCTGTAATTCACATTGAAAGGCTTTCACGTATATTAGCGCATTGAGGGAGTTTATGGGAAAATCAATAAAGCCTTGTAAGATGCATTTTTTCACCATATTTTCCTTATTAGAGTCAGGGAGGTTTTCTAATGGTATAGATTTTTTCCCCCAGTAAATATTGTTTAGTGGGGTACAGTTACAGGAAGAAACCCCACTAAATTTAGCTGCTAACTGGGTCTGGCAACTAGAACTACCATTTTTATGACGCTTCTTCCCGTGATTTCTCTAGCGTTTGCAATTTCGCATTTATAATTTCAGCTATTTCAGTTACACTATAACAACTTTTTCAGAATACAACGTCGATGTCATAGTTAACATTATATATTATAAATATTAAAGAAAGAATTACAAAGAAACTTAAAGGGGCTCTCCATTGCCAGGAAAATAAACCCTTTTTCCTGGCACTAGAGCATCCTGGAGTTATTGGGCGGCGGGAAGGTTTACATGGGTCAACAGTCATGTATCTACCGAGAATGTCCCTTAAAATCACGTGTCCCAAAAATGAAAGGTTTACTATCAAAGCAAAATGGTCAATAAACATTAACTTATGATGGAAACATTTATTATGGTTCTATATGGTATTTTTTTTTAATTTTATGTTTTTGGTTTTAGCCGGCTCAGGTATGAAATAGGGGGTGGGCTGAGCTAAGGGTGCCAGGGAAAGCACACATTTATATCAATTGTTCCAAAAGGGACAACAAACTTCGAGATGGCACTTATAAACTCCAGCACTATGGCCACTACAAAGAGCTGAAGTAGTTATGGAGATTAGAGTGTACTTTTATCCCAAGTCATATTGGCATTCCTGTGCAATTTCAGTGGGTCCCCGATTTTTGGAACATGTACATCACAATCATGAGCCTCTAGGTTACTACCTAGAGTAAATTGTTTTGTTGTTGTAGAATTAATGCTTTCTTTGTTGCAACTTTAGACAGTTCTACAACTGGGAAGAGTCTAATGAAGACATTTGGCAAAATGTATTTTGTTAAATATAATATTAAAGTTAAGGAATAGGTCAGGAAGCTGGTCCAATGAATGTAATTTGAAAGAAATACTGCTGTAGATGTTAGCACAGCATAGTGAATAGCTCCATTTTCTGTTCCAGCGATGACTGTAGCAGTTTAAGGTAACGTGCATGCAAAGCTGCTATTTTCCATTTCCGTGTAAGATTAAATGTCAAAACTTCTGAAAACACATATTTTTAAAAAGAATGTGACTCCAGAACAAGAAAATTATGCTCCTGCTTTGTGATTGTCTCCTCTCAGCCTAGGGCCACATGCAGTCCTACAGAACCAATAACCAATCCCATAATTTGCCCCTTAAAGAGATGGTAACCCTAGAACTAAGTTAAAGGATAAATCTCTATCATTTGTGGAAGGCTCATCCAATCTTGGCTATTTCTCCAACCATGTTTTTTTTTTGTCTAAAATATGCAATTCTCCTGTCTATTGTCCAAGGTATTCCAATTTTAGCAAATAGAAGCATTTTGTTTAAATCCCCCTAAAAGGATTGCTTGGCAAGTTCCATTTTTGACTAATCCGGATAACATTTTTAGCAGAGAAGGGTATTTTACAAGGTGACCGGTGAATAGCAGCTGTGACATTCCTGGGGGTCCATGTCCCTGTGAAATGGATGAGTCAAAGAATATCTTACAGGAATTCCTGGTGAACACACTGTGTTGTTTTAAATTAGATGTTTTGAATGTGCCAATAAGCCAGTGGAATGTTACAATCCTGACTAATGACATACCTGCCAATAGCTTTGCTATTCCAGACAAAGTCCCACACTCAACGTTCACTATGTCACTATTTTTATCTTCCAACCTAGGTTACAGACTTGAGGTTTATTCCAAAACCTTATTTTACCTAACAGATTATCACCAAAACAGGTGGACATTTTTCTGAGCCAGAATAATATGCGGTATTTATGAGTGTATCACAGAGCTCCGTCAGAATAAAACGTACAGGGTTAAAATGAGATGTGTCGTGAATTCAACATGAATTTCAAATTTAAGGGCAAAGCAGTCAAACTGGGAGTAAAGCGGATTTGGATAATTTTTTCAGTTCAACTATTTTGGTTTTAAATTTGAAACGCACTGTGAATGGCAGAAAATTCCCTCTTTACTGAATAACTGTCAGAGTTGTCAGATGCATATATGAGTGTGAGTTTTATTGGCATGGAGCTCTGTGAGGCAATTGACACTACATATTACTTTCTTAATCTGTACTCTAATCACCTCATTTCATGTACCTACATCGTACCCCATGTCCCAACTTATTCCATATACCTACCATTCTTCCATGACATCATACCCTTTCTGCCAACTACTGACCCCGTCATAGGGTGAATGGCAAGCACAGGAAAGAGCCAGGGTAAGGAGTATACTGCAGGCATATACTCCAGGTTTGGTGAGCGATGCTTGGCCAGCAGGATGGAAATAGAAAATTTAGCGTATAAATAAAAAAATAAAAACCTGTTGCTTTGCCTGCAATTTCTAAATGCCCATGGATGCTCAAAAGGATACTTGTCTGGTGCCTACCCCCCCTAGATCTGATACTGAGCCTTTCTCCCCAAGAGTGCTGAAGCTTTAACCGTTTAATTATGGCTTTAATAAGATGCTCATAGTTATTTACTGAAGTGAGAATTCAAAATGAATTTCGAAATTTAACTGGTTTTCAAAATTTACAATGTTTCCAGTTTGGCTATTTTCACCTTAAGGGGACAGTTTAGACACCATAACAACTTCATCTAAATTAAGTTGTTATGGAGCCAGAAAGCACCCGGGCGCACTCTTACCTTAAGGAGTTAAGCCGTTCTTGAACACTCAGAGTTCCTGATGCCACGCGGGGGTCCTGCGGATCGGTGCTAGAGATTCAAATAGGGTGAACAGTTCAACTCCTTAAGGTACGAGTGCTCCCAGGGGCCTCCTGGTACCATAACAACTTAATTTAGATGACGTTGTTATGGTGACTGGAGTTCCCCTTTAAATTTGAAATTCACTTTGAAATAACCGTGAATTCTCACGTTAGGGAATAATCCGAGTATGACTGCTTTAGGTCATTTACGTGGTCTTAGGTGAAAAGTTTGAAGAGATCATATTAAGCTCCAGGATTAGTTTGGATCCTTGTAGCACTAACCTTCATTAATTAAGGTGTCATGAAACTTATTACTCAATGAAGACCTATTTATGAGCTCCCTATGACACAAGCACCTTCTGTTCTATAAATGTTCCCTTCCAAGAGGGCCTCTTTTGAAGGAACAGTTCCTCTTTGAGGCCCAAATTTCCCTTTACCCAATGAGGATGAATTGTTAAAAACGCCCGCCTTCCATGTGGAATAGCAGTAGTACCCGGGAAACAGACGAACGATTATAAGTGCATTCCAACCCTTAAAACAGACTCAACAGGACTGGCACCCAGGAAACGAATTAGCCATTAGTATCTCCTCATAAAATACACTCAGCAGGACACTGCCCATAAAACAGGGGTACAATTACCAGTGTCCCAATATAAACTTAGCAAGGATAAATTCCAGAAAATAATCATATTAATACACATTATCCCATAATTAACTTAGCAGTACTAGTGTTCAGGAAATAAACAGGCAAACTATAGGGTTTGTGTATAAGCACGATCCATATAGCATATTTTTGCCCCATATTATTTTATTTTTAAACAGGCCTGATACGTGGGAACAAAAGAGCAAAATTGTGACTAATTTCACAATGATGATAAATGTTAAATACAAGATGGCGGGGGGTTGTTATGCAATTAAATTTATCTAAAATGGTGACTTCTGCACCTTTATTTATACATTGTCTGAGACAACATTCCTTAACAAGAATGAGATCCTATCTAACTATTTTGACATAGCCGTTGCACTGGTGTCTATTTCTGTCACAAATTATTATATACGTAATCGCAAATGATAATTATATTACAATTGCACAACTTTTTTCACAGAACTACTTTTTTATGTCACCCCAACCCCCCTATAATTAGTCTCACCTTCAGCCCAAACCCACAGAGGTACGAAGCTCTAACCACACACTGCTTTTAAATATACGGTTTGTGTGACACACAATTTTTCCTCTGTCCTCATAGTGGCCTGACAGAGTGGTTCTGATTGTCACCCAGTTTTGGGAAGACTGAGGGAGAGTACAGTCATGTTTTAATGCACCAGTAATGCACGTTTGATGTTTTTTAGAGTATTTAAGCTCATATGGAGGAGTTTTGTGGTATGGGCAATGCTGACCACATACCAAACGACATAGAAACATAGACTGTGACGGCAGATAAGAACCTTTTGGCCCATCTAGTCTGCCCAATGCCTGCGTACATGTGACGCTATTAGGATCATGGGAACTACGGTCCAATAGCCACTAGCCCTGTCTTGTCCAACTTCTCTTTGTCCCAATGACACGACTGAAATTCTATAAGAAATGTATAGGAGGAGTGTAATGGTGCCATACACAGTATGCACTCCTAGGCCAAAGAATAGCATAGCTATACAAATCAACTGTTCTGGATATGGATGGACAGTCCTGATATTGGACTCTGGTCCCACTGTCTGGGTTTTAGTCTGATGTCGTGTCCTGCTTTTGGGCACAAGAGAGAAAAATCTCCAATACGCATAGCACAAATGTCTTGTTATACAATCATTCAGGAGTGCTTGTGCAGAGCTCTGTACTTGAGCAGCCCTAGTTGACTGGATTACCGGGCTGGCTGGCTGTCAATATTGTTGCCAATATTTGAAAAAAAATTCCAAGGACACTTAGGTGTCATGTACATACACATATGCACACACACGCACAATAACACACACAGATAGACAAACAGGCCCTGGACTACAGGACATGTCCCAGGCATAGGGTGTTTTCCAACATACTGCAAAACAGGTGTAGCCAAACCATGGCTGAAATTTGTGTGAGTTGAAGTCCAATCACAACTATAGTTTTTAACCCAGATAATAGAAATACATAATACTGTATAGAAAAACAAGATTGGAACCTAGAACAAATACCAGCACAGGGATGTGTGGAACAATACCTACAAGGACTGCTCCTGAAAATCTGGGTATGTTGTCATGTATTGTTTGGACACATGCCTTTGTCAGAGCCTTTATCTTTCCATATTCCTTGTAAATGCTACCACCCAGTGGGCAGCAAGTGTAGTAAAAAAAAAAAAAAAGTTCAGCAGTACGCGCATGCTAATGACGTCAGTGGAACGCACGTGAACCGCAAATCCAGGAAAAGGCAGCATGGAATCACTCCTGAAGCAGGAGTTGGGCTCTGTCCTCATCAAGCAAGCTGGCCACTCAGGAGGAGGCTGCATTAGCCAGGGGCAGAGCTATGACACTGACAAGGGCCGGGTCTTTGTCAAGATCAACCACAAATCTGAGGTTCCAAGGCTGCAATCTGAACCTGATCTCTCTGAAACTTAATTTATTATTATTTATTATAATTAGTTATATTATTATTTATTATATTATTATTTCAGCATATTAGTCCATAGTTACACATATACTCTCCCTGCTAGCTCTTTATTGCATTTTAAATTGATTTATTGCACTTTAAATAATGCAAGTTTAACTTCTGACTTGCTACCTGCTGTGTATTACTGCTCCCAAGATGCTGAGCCAGCCATTTGTCCCTGCAGTGCTCAATGGCTGAGCGTTGTTAGAATTTTAAGACACTATAGCTGGACAGCAGGATGGGTGGCTGTCACTGGTCAATTAATATACTAAAATTACTTCATTATAAAAATAGAATAAATTGCAATATTAGTGAATTTTTTAAATTATACTTACAATTATGTAGCAGCTTATCTTTATTATAGTTTAGTTTGTTCAATAGAATTGCACAATATTCTGTAGTTTTGTGTACTGAAGTGAGACAAATGGTTTATTCACTAAACAGTGACTTGCTTGGAATTGCAAAATGAGTACATTGGAATGTGTATGCATTGCTATTTATCATGCTAAACAAATTTACGTTTATAATGGACAGTAACTAGGGGTTTTACTGTTTATTGTTTAGATGTATTTATTGTGCAGAGAGGATTAGTCCTGATTGTGGCACTCGCTGCCATGCTGCTGAGTAGTGTAATTCTGTGTGCCCTGTACAGTTGGTACTGGTGTCTGTAAATCTCTAAGAGATTATGCTGGTACAGAACATCTAGACTGCTCACGGATCCTGTATAATGAGTGATTAACACTGACGTGGTGTGAACAGTTTAATAAAACGTATGTTTGTTTGTATAGAGTGTCTTCCTGTTAATAAATAAATAAAAATAGATCTGGTGACTAAGCATATTGGACAATTATTTATTCTATAGTAAATTTGTAGAGACCTATTGGGTTCATTCAGTTATTTTGGCTATTAAGGTGTTCAGTCTATAGCAATCTGCAGAGTTAAATAGTTACTCCAAGCACCATGACCACTTCATAGCGAGAGAGAGTGACGTCAGACAAAAAGAATCAAGCTGCAGGGAAAAAATGGACTTGGTGATGGAAAGGACCCTTCAAGGTTTTAAAAAAAAATAAATAATTTCACACATTTTTTATTTGGGGGGTTGGGGAGGGATGGACCAACTCAGAAAGTGTTACTCTAACCAAAGGCAGTGTTTTATGAGTAACCCCCTTAATTGTATAGTTTGCAGGGTATCCTGCAAGAGTAGGCAATATTTGACACTCGAGATGTTGTGGACTATATCTCCCCTTATGCTTTGCCATTATTATGGCTGTAAGAGCATTGTTTGAGATGTAGTCCAAAATGTCTGGAGTATCAAGGGCACAATGTTGTGTTTTTTTTGTGGTTTTTTTAAGAGGCAGCATTCAATGTACATTCTGTGAAGAACTGCAGACTTGAACGATCAGTTTAAGGAGACCTGCTGGGTTCATGGTTTAGCCAGTTGGGTTCAGCCGAGATCATTGTTTAGTGTATCGAGTAGGGTCATTGTTGGTGATGTAGAGATTTGCAGGGTTCACGGATTCCTCTATTGAGATCTGCAGGGTTCAGTTTTCAAGCTTGGGAGAGCTGTTGGGTTCTTTGTTAGTTCCATGGAAAGTTACAGAGTTCTGTGCGAGGTCTATGTACATGTGAAGGGCCAGTGTTCCATCTTTGGAGTGATGCATGGTTCAGTGTTCTGTGTACAGAGAGCTGACACAACGAAATGATCACATAGTTTTAGGTGTAATCACATTTCTCTCACAATGTCCATAATCATTAGTTAAATCTTAAGAATGAACAAATAGGTTGATACATTTTATTTTAAGAGTTTGCAGTTACAGAGAAAGGTAGACTGAGATTCTTGCTCTATCATACCTGCTACTGTCTTCTGCTTTTAGGCTCGAAGGATGTTCTTGGGAGAAATGGCCAGCTTGGAAGCCATTCTACAGACAGAAACGGTGATTGCCCCTAAGCCAATCAAGGTTATAGACCAACCAGCAGGGGGAGCCGTACTTGTTATGGAGCATTTGGACATGAAAGGTCTAAGCAGGTAGTTTTATGTCCTAGCTGTATGGAGTACCTAACTTTCACAGATATTAATGATAACTTAAAGGGACACTTCAGGCATCCAGACCACTTCTGCCCATTGGAGTGGTCTGGGTGCAAACTCCCATCACCCTTAACCCTGCAAGTGTAATTATTGCAGTTTTTATAAACTGCAATAATTACCTTGCAGGATTAAAGGGACACTCCAGGCACCCAGACCACTTCTGCCCATTGGAGTGGTCTGGGTGCCAAATCTCACTACCGACGTAATGCAGAGGAGGAGCGGAGGAAGAAGCAGCGACGTGGGACATGTCGCTGCCTCTGGTAAGTGACTGAAGGGGTTTTCACCCCTTCAGCAACCAGGGATTGGGAGGGAGAGGGGACCTGCAGTGCCAGGAAAACTGATTATTTTCCTGGCACTGGAGTTTCCCTTTAAGTCCTTCCCTAGTGGCTGTCTATCAAACAGCCACTAGAGGTACTTGAGGCTTCTTAAAACACGAAAAGTGTTTTAAACGACGCTGGATGTCCTCACGCTATGTGAGGACCTCCAGCATCGCTGGAATTCCCATAGGAAAGCATTGAATAATGCTTTCCTATGGGAGGTCTAATGCGCGTGTGGCCATTGTCACGCATGTGCATTAGGTCTTCCCCGTCGGCGGGGGAGGATCATGGGCAGAGCCTGACCCAGCGCCGAGGGACATCGGCGCTGAGTTCACGTAAGTGACTGAAGGGGTTTTAATCCCTTTAGCAACATGGGATGGGGGTGTGATGGAGGGGGCACTGCAGGATTCTCTAGTGCCAGGAAAACTGATTTGTTTTCCTGGCACTGGTGAGTCCCTTTAAAAAACTAATCATGGAGGAAATGTAACAAGCAGCTGCCAAGTTTCTGTTTATCTGATGTTTTGTAGTAGATTCATCCCAAATTGATTGTCAAAAACCAAGTAAAAATGCTTATAAAATCACCTTACATCTGGCACCTAAAAAATAAAAAATTAAACGTGTGCTCCCATTAGCTGTGATTACAACTAGGAGACAGATTACTCCAAAGCTTTCAGGGTAACTGCCATCCATGATTGGACGTGTTCGCATTTGATGTTGAGGAAGTATAATTTCAGCATTATCAGTGTGTATCTGCAGAGGGATCAGCCTTTGGGTGCTGGGGAGAATGTTGTTTTTTTGTTAAAACCACTCCAAAACAGTTTGATAGAAAACCAGGGACCTGCCACAAACACATGAGGGTCTGACAGAGTATTATGGGATATGCTATTTGGCAAAATATATATATATACAGTATATGACTGTATCTGTTACTATAGTCTAATTGTAAGTATGTATTTCCACATATAGTAATTAGTCTTTCTGTTACAGACAATCGTCAAAGCTTGGCGAGCAACTGGCAGACCTTCACCTCCATAATCAGAGGCTGCGGGATAAAATGACTAAAGAAAGTGGGAAAGTGGGTAAATATCAAGCCATTTCACATACATATGGATGCTCTTGGATGTTGTTGGCTCTACCACTGGCTTGTGTTTAGAGCTCTGTATTTATTATGGAATGTTAGAAACCCCCTATAAGTCATATCATCCTACAAGTCTAATCGGAATCATCTAGATATAGGTTTAATCTGTTTATTATATCTGTCATTTTGGGCTGTTAGAATGATTAATATTGTTCTCTTTTACTTGGAAAGTGCATAACTAGTATGAAGTTAAAGGAGCACTATAACAGCAGTATTTCTAACGCTATAATGCCCTGTTGGCCATTTTGGTTACTGTCCCTTATCTGCCGGTAGAAGTAAAAAGTAATTTTTCTTACCTTTCCACCCCAGCAGTGCCCATCCTTGCAGCAATGTTTTCAGCTGCATGGTTAAAGCAGGAGGGAACATTGAACCCAGACCATTTCATTGAGATGAAGTGATCTGGGTGCCTATAGTGTCTCTTTAAGTAAGTACATACTTTAAGGGTCAATTTATACACTGTCACATCACAACTTTGTATAATTGCAAAGTTGATGGTTCAGAGAGAACCTTGCACCTACTCTCAGCTCTGCGAGTGGATTAGAACATATAAATATCTCTGTAGCTCTAATCCAGCCCCTTAGAACTGTCAGTCGTACAGCCGGAATGCTCAGATCCAGCTGTACAGCAATCATTGTGCCCAAGCTTTGAGGAAAAAGTGGTCTCCTTTCAAGAGAGTGAGCTAAGTCATGGACCACCAATATCTGCTTCCAGAGCAGTTCCACGCATACCAAGTAAGGAGTGAAGCTGCTCTTGGGAGAACAGTTTCCCCTCCTCCCCCACAAAGTCACTGTTCAACTGGACAGAATAAATATATTGTGTTCCTAAGCATACAGTGTCATTAAAGTGCTGTGAAAAAGAAAACAAAAATCAAACAAACAAAAAAAAGTGCTGTAATAGTATTACTGGAATTATCTGTGACTTTTTTTGGAGTCAATAAGAATCAAACTGTAATGGAGACAGGGGGCAAACCCTGTCTTGTCCCATTACAAATTGTAATCGGTTATCTGATTATTTTTAACCATACTTTTAAAGTGGATCAGTAACAATATATACATTGTTTAACGGTAGGTAACCCATTATGAATACATTATAGATACCTAGCCTGACGACATTGGGTTTACTTATATGTATTTCTATTTATTTTGTGATTCTCAAGGTAAAGGCGCAGGACAAGCAGATGTTCAGTTCATAGACAAGTTCGGTTTCCATATAGTGACCTGCTGTGGCTATCTTCCAATGGTAGGGCTTCTTCACTCTTTTTCTTAGATCTTTAAAATCAGTATTTTGTGTGATTAATTTACCGTATCTAGCATTTTTTTTTATTTTTATAAATTCTTTATTTTGAAAGGTTTTTTTTGTCATGGGGTGGGGGTACAGAAGAAGAACCGAGGAGTTAGCATTATGAGATACAAGATTCATTCAACTGAGTTTACAGTGATCAAGCATTGCAAACACATGTACCAGATATCTATTAGAAAACTCAACTTGGGTTAAGCGCAACTAGATCATTTCTACATTCTCGTCGGAGGCTGTGGTTGGAGCACCGTGTCACTTGGTTGTAAGGATGTCATATGTATTTCTTGATTTTGCGTCTGTTCGATTGGTTCCGTATCAGGCTGGTTTCAGGGTATGCCTTTTTTGGTGGCTAGGGTGTTTGGAGATCAAGTGACTTGGTGGACATGGTGCGTCCATTACGGTACTCTTAGCCTCTTGAGGTCTCTGGTGCAGTCGGCTCAGGGAGATGGGAGAGTTTACAAGGGTGGAAGGGGGGGTAGTGCGTCTTTCAGTATCTTATTGTGTGTGTCTTGGCTTATATTCGTGTGAGCGAATTTGTGGTGTGGGGGGGTTTGGGGTTTTTGGGTAGAGGGGCGAGGGGGTGTGGTATGGTGTTGTGTTCTAAGGAAATTGGGTGGTGGAGATTTGCGGTTCGTCCACGTAGTATCGAGCCTTTATCTGGGTGTTGTGTCGGGTAATTGTGCTGTGGTTGTAGTGTTCTGGTTTGCAGTGTTTAGGTCTTTGGCTAGGCACTTGCCGTTGTTGTCGGTGTGGTGGGGTTGTGGGTCTCGACTGTATCTGATGTAGTCAGTTTTGCAGGGTCGGGATTGTTATGTCGGGGATGGGTTGAGTGGCCTTGACCTGTGTAAGTAGAAGAGCTGGTAGTGTGTGTGGGTTGAGTTTTTCTTGGGATGGTGTTGCTTGAGGGGGGTCGAGGATTGCGTATTCGGGGATGGGGGTGTGAAAGAGTGGTGGGTGTGAGATATTGGCAGGATGGCTGAGGAGTTGTCTGGTGAGAGCGGTGTGGGGAGTGGTTGTGGGTCTGGGTTGTGAGATGGTTATTTTCGGTGGATCTAGCATTTTTTTTAATGGAAATACATCACCTCTCTCAATGAGCAGCATTTTATTCCAGGACCCAGTTTCTGGAGGAGGAAGTGCCTCTAGTTGCAGTCAGGAAGACAGACACTACAGGCGTATTTAAATGGACACTACAGGCACCCAGACAACTTCATCTCATTCAAGTGGTCTGTGTGCAGTGTCCTTGTTCTCTTAACCCTGCAATGTAAAACATTGCAATTTTAGAGAAACTGCAATGTTTAAATTGTAGGGTTAAGAATGCCTCTAGTGGCTACCTACCAGACAACCATTAGAGGTGCTGCCAGCAGTTTTAAGGAGTTTCACTCTGTCTTGCGGCGCCGGACGTTCTTATGTTTTGCATGAAAATGTCCAGCGTCTTGCAAAACTGCATAGAAAAACATTGACTGGTCTCTATGAGAGAGAGAGAGAGAGTTTCACACAGCTGTTTCTGCGGTATTGTCAGTATGACAGCCAGTAGAGGCATTAAAACCCTGCGATGTAAACATTAATGCAGAACAACAATGTTTTTACATGGCAGGGATAAAACGAGAAGGACATGGCACCAAGACCACTTCATTGAGCTGAATTATTCTGGGTGCCTATAGTCGTCCCTTACCCCTGCAGTGTAAACATTGCAGTTTCTGTAAATCTTCAATGTTTTACATTGCCAGGTTAAAATGACAGGACCACGGCACCCAGACCACGTCATTGAGTTGTGTATGGGTGCTACATTTTTAGTGGCCCTTTCCAATAATTGAGTTGAAGGTTTTTCCTTGTTGTACAGGTGAACGATTGGCAGGATGATTGGGTTACCTTTTACGCCCGCCAGCGCATCCAGACCCAGCTTGACCTGCTTGAGAAATCATCTGGGGACAGAGAGGCGAGAGAGCTCTGGTCACAGTTACAGGTGGGTGGTTTATGATTTATTTTAAAATTGCACAACCAAGTGCTATCATATCATTATATGAGAGTCTGTTCTGCAGCTGTATGCACAAGCACATTTCTTCACTACAGTCATGCAATGAATGTACCTTTTAGAAACCATACTGTGACTTCTTTAAACCAGAACAGTAGTTTTCATTCATGTCAGTTCATCAATATTACTACGGCTCTGTTTATGAAATACTAAATATCCCATACACTCAGTGGTGTATCCTGGTTTTGTGCTGCCCTGCATGACATTTCTTTTTCATTTGACTGTTGTCAAATGAACACAAAATTGTATTCCTAACGCTGTATTGTCCCTCTGCCCTAAAGCTATTGTATTGCTCCGGTGTTAAAAATGTCCCTTGGTTTCTCTCCGTCACTGCCTCAGACATCGGAAACGTGGGTGAACCTATTGTTTCTCCAAAATTACAGTGTTTTACATTGCAGGGTTAAAGGCCCAGTTGCACTACACCCAGACCACTTCAATGAGATGAAGTGTTCTTGGTGCCTATACTGTCCCTTTAACTGTTTTTTATATGTCCCCATTGTAAAGTGTTGCAGAACATGTTGGTGGCATATTATTCAAAATCTCTTGTAAAAACCTGAAAAATCATTATTTATATATTAGAATTATTTGTGAAAGTTTCTTTTACACAGATGTAGTATTTCTCAAAGGACCACATTGGTCACCATAACAAGTTCATTTAACTGAAGTTGATATGGTGCTAGGAGGTCCCTGACGCTGTCTCATCTTTAGGGGTTAAACTCTTAACGAACAGTTTACCCCAAAGTCTGTGCCTTCTGCTTTCTAAAATCCTAGATAACGCCAGGCTTGGGCATCATCGGGCAGGGGTGCTGATGATTGGCTTAGAGCATCATATTATCGCTCTAAGCCAAACAGAAGCTCCGTATAAAAAACCATTGTTTTTTAAATGGTATGGACCAGCCTAAGCCAGGCACTAGCCATCCAACCAAATGCTGGGATTTCCGTAATCTAGGATTTTAGAAAGCGGAAGGACAGGTGTAGCACAGACTTTTAGGTGAAATTGTTAGCGAACGATGATCCTGTGCCAGGGACCTCCTGACACCATAACAACGTTTTGATTAAGTTGTTATGGTGCACAAACTGGTCCTTTAATGCTCTATAGATCACTATAAATGTAATTTGCAATGGCAAGTCCCCTTTTTATTTATTATATTTATTTGGATTTTATTTATTGGATTCGTTTGTTACAGCTGAAGATTCCAGCACTGTTTGATGGCGTTGACGTTGTGCCGGCTCTTCTTCATGGAGACTTGTGGGGAGGTAACGTGGCAGAAGTGGATTCTGGCCCTGTGATATTTGACCCCGCTTCATTTTACGGCCACTCTGAGTTTGAGCTTGCCATTGCTGGCATGTTCGGTGGCTTTGGTGGATCCTTCTACTCCGCCTACCACAACAAAATTCCGAAAGCACCCGGCTTTGAGAAACGACTGAAGTTGTATCAGCTATTCCATTATCTCAACCACTGGAACCATTTTGGAAGCGGCTACCGAGGCTCATCGCTAAGCATCATGAGGAGCCTTGTGAAGTGAATGGCTCTCCTCGCTGTATTGTCTCCCATCAGCTCCTACCAACTCACCTTCAGTAGTGGTTACTCACTGTACTCGGTATTATTGAGGATTCCAAATTCATTTCAAATTTTAGCTAAATGAGAAGAGACTGTCTCCATGTTAGCTTTGTTACTAGCGTGACTTTCTTGTCCTAAAATATGAAACTTACTTTGAATTCCCCACAGTTGACTTTCAAGAATAACCCTGTAATTATTGCATTGATTTTAACACCTAACAGCGGGTGTAAAGCGTGTGATTTCCTGATTATTGTGTCCTCCATTCTTAGCACAGATAACATTAATTACAGATCACTCTATTAAACTTTTGCTCTAACCAAACATTCCCTGTGAGATTATTAACCAAAGGCTGTGGCGGTGGACATTGCATGCTGGGATCTTCAGTTTTAATTTTGTTGATACAATGTGCAGAATTTATATAAATGAACTGCAGGCTTTAATTTATATGTTTTTGTGGTTTACATAGTCCTTTTAATGCCCTCAGTGCCAAGGTCAAATCAGAAACATTTCTGTCTCCCAAACATAGAAACATAGAATGTGACAGCAAATAAGAACCATTCGGCCCATCTAGTCTGCCCAATTTTCTAAACACTCTCATTAGTTTCTGGCCTTATCTTATAGTAAGGATAGCCTTATGCCTATCCCACGCATGCTTAAACTGCTTTACTGTGTTAACCTCTACCACTTCAGCTGGAAGGCTATTCCATGCATCCACTACCCTCTCAGTAAAGTGATACTAACTGATATTATTTTTAAACCTTTGCCCCTCTAATTTAAGACTATGTTTTCCTTTGAACTCTTTATGATCAAATTGTAATACTGTGCTTGATGTCCTCACCAGAAATCCTTACTGTGCCGGTAAAGCACAGATAACAAGCATTGCAGAATAACTCACTGGTTTGCTGACAGCAGAAACTATAAGCTTGAAATGTTTAGCAAATTGCAATTGAATTTTTTTTATTAACTAATTAATTTGTTTGCATTTTTTTATGCGTTATCTATAGTATTCATCAATGACAAGAATGTGTGAGCTTCAGCCCAATATGACCCTTTTACAGTGCAAATAAAAGCAAAAAAAACCAACAAAATATTACACAAGGATTACTGTAACAAGCTATATTGTGCCTATGAAATTTAAATACAATAAGCCATCATTAATGTATGTGCTATATTAAGAATAAAGTATACTTACTAGTCCTGGTACATGTGAATTTGCAAAACAACATGGTATGTACAAACAATCCACTAGGGGGGTGGGAGAGGAAATAATTACATTTGCTTGTATGGAGTACATATGTGAGACAATGAGTTCTAACTGAATGGGGTAAGACGCAGTCTATGTAAAAAAGTGTGCATATACCAACCAACAAAACCGTAAAATGAACCAGATATGGATCTGCATTAAAGGGACTCTCCAGTGCCAGGAAAACAAATCTGTGCCCCCTCCCTCCCACCCCATCCCATGTTGCTGAAGGGGTTAAAACCCTTTCAGCGACTTACCTGAATCCAGCGCCAATGTCCCTCGTCGCTGGGGCAGGCTCCGCCTACGCTCTTCCCCCGCCGACATCAGCCAGCAGGCGAGACCTAATGTGCGGCATATTCAATGCTTTCTTATGGGGATTTTGGCGACGTTGGAGGTCCTCATGCGTAGCGTGAGGACATCCAGCGTTGTTTAAAACACTTTTCGTGTTTTAAGAACACAGAAGCCCCTCTAGTGGCTGTCTGATAGACAGCCATTAGAGGAGGACTTAACCCTGAAAGGTAATTATTGCCGTTTATAAAAACGGCAATAATTACACTTGCAGGATTAAGGGTGATGGGAGTTAGCACCCAGACCACTCCAATGGGCAGAAGTGGTCTGGGTGCATGAAGTGTCCCTTAAATCTAAATCAGTAAATGTAAACATACAAAATTAATTTTGTATATTTGTAGCACACAGCCATGTTACAATGCTGCCAACCCCTTCTGACACCTGATTCCAGTGCTGATGTCCCTTGGCGCTGGTTAGGGGTCCACCTCTGCTCCTCCCCTGCTGAGGAACGGGGAACGACACACCTAATGTGCATGCGCAGTGAGTGCCATGCTCGTGTTAGGACTCCTCCCCCCCATAGGAAAGCATTATATAATCTTTTACTACAGGGTATTAGGTGATGCTAGATGTCATCATCCATAGCGACCAAAAATGCCCAGAACCACTGGTAGAGAGCCGCTAGAGGTGGAGTTAATTCTGGCCGGTAATTATTGAGGTTATTCAAAAACTGCAAAAATTACCATTGCAGGGTTAAGGGACCTGTGACACTGCACCCAGACCACTTCAATGAGCTGACGTGGTCACACTTTTATAGCCATTGGAGTGATGCTAAAAAAACTCCAGTTATTTAAATGTGCGTAGGGATAGTGTGCAGGTACCTAAAATGAGCAACACTACCAGATACACACACGTAGGCCTAATAACCAATACATGAAAGCAAAACGTCTCTGTAAATCCACTCTGGACTATTGTGAACTGGAATTCCATCTGCTCCTGGTGTATCCCCTGCTTTTGATACACATACCACAGGTTGGTATGCTGGTAATAATTACACTAGATATGATTTACCAGCAAATATACTGTAACTACTATGTCTAATTACAATGTGCAATAATATCTAATAATAATGGGCAATAATGATGATGATAATGTATAATGATCAAGAAATTAATATTTAGTATCTGTGGGGTTCTCTCCATGTTATTTCCAGGGTTCTCTCTAAAAGGGCTGTATGAAGTGCATGATAGAGAATTTTAGCTGTGTTACTGGTTGTGACTGTATTATACAGTATTATAGCTGGGTTACTGGCTGTGGCTGTGTTATACAGTATTATAGCTGGGTTACTGGCTGTGGCTGTGTTATACAGTATTGTAGCTGGGTTACTGGCTGTGGCTGTATTATACAGTATTGTAGCTGGGTTACTGGCTGTGGCTGTGTTATACAGTATTATAGCTGGGTTACTGGCTGTGGCTGTGTTATACAGTATTATAGCTGGGTTACTGGCTGTGGCTGTGTTATACAGTATTATAGCTGGGTTACTGGCTGTGGCTGTGTTATACAGTATTATAGCTGGGTTACTGGCTGTGGCTGTGTTATACAGTATTATAGCTGGGTTACTGGCTGTGGCTGTGTTATACAGTATTATAGCTGGGTTACTGGCTGTGGCTGTGTTATACAGTATTATAGCCGGGTTACTGGCTGTGGCTGTGTTATACAGTATTATAGCCGGGTTACTGGCTGTGGCTGTGTTATACAGTATTATAGCCGGGTTACTGGCTGTGGCTGTGTTATACAGTATTATAGCCGGGTTACTGGCTGTGGCTGTGTTATACAGTATTATAGCCGGGTTACTGGCTCTGGCTGTGTTATACAGTATTATAGCCGGGTTACTGGCTGTGACTGTGTTATACAGTATTATAGCCGGGTTACTGGCTGTGGCTGTGTTATACAGTATTATAGCCGGGTTACTGGCTGTGGCTGTGTTATACAGTATTATAGCCGGGTTACTGGCTGTGGCTGTGTTATACAGTATTATAGCCGGGTTACTGGCTGTGACTGTGTTATACAGTATTATAGCCGGGTTACTGGCTGTGGCTGTATTATACAGTATTATAGCCGGGTTACTGGCTGTGGCTGTGTTATACAGTATTATAGCTGGGTTACTGGCTGTGGCTGTGTTATACAGTATTATAGCTGGGGTTACTGGCTGTGGCTGTGTTATACAGTATTATAGCTGGGTTACTGGCTGTGGCTGTGTTATACAGTATTATAGCCGGGTTACTGGCTGGGGCTGTGTTATACAGTATTATAGCTGGGTTACTGGCAGTGGCTGTGTTATACAGTATTATAGCAGGGTTACTGGCTGTGGCTGTATTATACAGTATTATAGCTGGGTTACTGGCTGTGGCTGTGTTATACAGTATTATAGCTGGGTTACTGGCTGTGGCTGTATTATACAGTATTATAGCTGGGTTACTGGCTGTGACTGTGTTATACAGTATTATAGCTGGGTTACTGGCTGTGGCTGTATTATACAGTATTATAGCTGGGTTACTGGCTGTGGCTGTGTTATACAGTATTATAGCTGGGTTACTGGCTGTGGCTGTGTTATACAGTATTATAGCTGGGTTACTGGCTGTGTTATACAGTATTATAGCCGGGTTACTGGCTGTGGCTGTGTTATACAGTATTATAGCCGGGTTACTGGCTGTGGCTGTGTTATACAGTATTATAGCTGGGTTACTGGCTGTGGCTGTGTTATACAGTATTATAGCTGGGTTACTGGCTGTGGCTGTGTTATACAGTATTATAGCCGGGTTACTGGCTGTGGCTGTGTTATACAGTATTATAGCCGGGTTACTGGCTGTGTTATACAGTATTATATCTGGGTTACTGGCTGTGACTGTGTTATACAGTATTATAGCTGGGTTACTGGCTGTGGCTGTATTATACAGTATTATAGCCGGGTTACTGGCAGTGACTGTGTTATACAGTATTATAGCTGGGTTACTGGCTGTGGCTGTGTTATACAGTATTATAGCTGGGTTACTGGCTGTGGCTGTGTTATACAGTATTATAGCTGGGTTACTGTCTGTGGCTGTGTTATACAGTATTATAGCTGGGTTACTGGCTGTGACTGTGTTATACAGTATTATAGCTGGGTTACTGGCTGTGGCTGTGTTATACAGTATTATAGCCGGGTTACTGGCTGTGTTATACAGTATTATAGCTGGGTTACTGGCTGTGACTGCAATGTTATACAGTATTATAGCCGGGTTACTGGCTGTGACTGTGTTATACAGTATTATAGCTGAGTTACTGGCTGTGGCTGTGTTATACAGTATTATAGCTGAGTTACTGGCTGTGACTGTGTTATACAGTATTATAGCCGGGTTACTGGCTGTGACTGTGTTATACAGTATTATAGCTGGGTTACTGGCTGTGGCTGTGTTATACAGTATTATAGCCGGGTTACTGGCTGTGACTGTGTTATACAGTATTATAGCTGGGTTACTGGCTGTGGCTGTATTATACAGTATTATAGCCGGGTTACTGGTTGTAACTGTATTATACAGTATTATAGCCGGGTTACTGGCTGTGTTATACAGTATTATAGCTGGGTTACTGGCTGTGACTGTGTTATACAGTATTATAGCCGGGTTACTGGCTGTGGCTGTGTTATACAGTATTATAGCTGGGTTACTGGCTGTGGCTGTGTTATACAGTATTATAGCTGGGTTACTGGCTGTGACTGTGTTATACAGTATTATAGCTGGGTTACTGGCTGTGACTGTGTTATACAGTATTATAGCTGGGTTACTGGCTGTGACTGTGTTATACAGTATTATAGCTGGGTTACTGGCTGTGGCTGTGTTATACAGTATTATAGCCGGGTTACTGGCTGTGGCTGTGTTATACAGTATTATAGCCGGGTTACTGGCTGTGGCTGTGTTATACAGTATTATAGCCGGGTTACTGGCTGTGGCTGTGTTATACAGTATTATAGCCGGGTTACTGGCTGTGGCTGTGTTATACAGTATTATAGCTGGGTTACTGGCTGTGGCTGTGTTATACAGTATTATAGCTGGGTTACTGGCTGTGGCTGTGTTATACAGTATTATAGCTGGGTTACTGGCTGTGGCTGTATTATACAGTATTATAGCTGGGTTACTGGCTGTGGCTGTGTTATACAGTATTATAGCCGGGTTACTGGCTGTGGCTGTGTTATACAGTATTATAGCCGGGTTACTGGCTGTGGCTGTGTTATACAGTATTATAGCTGGGTTACTGGCTGTGACTGTGTTATACAGTATTATAGCTGAGTTACTGGCTGTGACTGTATTATACAGTATTATAGCCGGGTTACTGGCTGTGGCTGTATTATACAGTATTATAGCCGGGTTACTGGCTGTGGCTGTGTTATACAGTATTATAGCCGGGTTACTGGCTGTGGCTGTGTTATACAGTATTATAGCCGGGTTACTGGCTGTGACTGTGTTATACAGTATTATAGCCGGGTTACTGGCTGTGGCTGTATTATACAGTATTATAGCCGGGTTACTGGCTGTGGCTGTGTTATACAGTATTATAGGCTGTGGCTGTGTTATACAGTATTATAGCCGGGTTACTGGCTGTGGCTGTGTTATACAGTATTATAGCTGG